TGAAGTACCTGCCCATTTGGTATCTCTTGCCACATAGAAGTAGCCTAGTGCCTATTTATTTGAGAATCTTCCCACAATTTGAAAAAGTTAACGTTACCCATGGCAGTTCTCTTCAGGTTACACATTGCTGTAACTAATTCAAATGCCTTGCTTTGGGATTTTGGATTTTGGGAAACAAGATTGAGATTAATAAAGGATAACAATGCTCCAGCCATAAATAAATCAGAAGGATACTAATGTCATCTGTTGATAGCAGCTTGTATATACTCTGTGTCTAGAGACTACCTTCAACTTGGCCTCTTAATGTAAAAACTAATATATAGCACTGTTGGTTCTTAATTCAGTTGCAAGGTGACAGGGTGCTGGAAGAGATTTTCTGTCATCATCTAGAAAATGCTTTCATTTGGATAGGTTGTAAAGCAGTAGCAAATAAATTATTTCAGAGAATGGGTAAACAATTATTGCTTATTCTTCTATAAGCTAAATAAAACTCAGTAAAATCATAAGAGAATTTTATGAAGAAACTATTTGGAAATAAAAACAGGCGAAAGGCTTTATGTGGTTTTTCTATTTGTATTTTGTATGTTTTTGGAGCCTTCAGTTCTGTGTGGTCCAAGAAAAAATCTTGGCCTCTGTTTTTTTAAATTCCCACAGACTTAATTCCAAATCATGTAACTCTACCAATACTCATTTTTGTGTAAGGACATAAAATTAACATAATTAACATAAAAGTGCTTCTGTTGGGCCCTCCGGAGGTTTGTTTTGAGTGAAGACTGTAAATGAGAGTGAACTGGGAATGTAAACTCAGACTAAGAGTGAGAATTGGAAGAGGATTAATGACAAGAAGAGGATACTAGATCTGCCTTCTCCCATACTAAGAGCAAGTCTTGGTTTGCTCTCTATGATGGGAGATGTAGACTTCATTAAAATTTGTTTTAATCTTTAGTTCATAAAAATTACTCTTATCTGCAGGGTACAGATTTTTTTTAATATTTGAAAAGTTCACGTAAGTAAATTGGGAAATGATGAGCCACTTTCTTGTTATTACAATAGTATGAGTATTTATGTCCAGCGTATACACTACAGTATTGTTTTCTGCATGATTTTTAAATGCTCTTATAAGGTGTATTTCCATTTTGAGGAACTGAGGCTAAAAGAAGATAAGACAGTGGTCTAAGATCACATAGCTAAAGTGGTAGAACCATTCCAGTTCAAGCCCGGAAATGTAGATTATTTTCACTATCCCTTTTATTACGAAATGTCATATTTAAATTTTCCTAAAGTTGTATACTTTATAAGAACTATATTTTTTGATATGTCTGTTAGACCGGTTCTTACAGTCCACTTATCTGACAAGTGTTTATAATTGTCCTCTTAACCTTGCTTTTATCTTTTTAATGAGTTTGGTGAAAGTACATTCCTTTCTCTCATATTACAACTTAAAATTTCTGACTTTGCTTCTCCTCCAGCCTTAACAGTCAGGAGAAATACAGTGACTTAGGACACTGACATTAATGGTAATTGGGAGTTAAAGGCTCATCTTTTGCAGAGGTCTAAAATTGTGTTCTGACTGCCACCAGCTAACTATAAAACCTTGGGGGAACCACTTAACCTTCTTGGTCTCAGGCTCATCATCTGTAATAGAGTTGAACTAGGTCTCTGAAGTACTGTGGCACTCTAAAAGTCTGTGATTCTCTGTTCTGACTTTTAGCCAAGTGTCAAATATAAAGTGATTAGCGCAGTATCTGGATATAGTATACACTTAATAAATTGGAGTTATTTTTAATTATTAGAGCATTTTCTCACAAAGAATTTTCAGTCGTTTGATGATCTTGATATAAAGGAATGGAAGTAAATTCAAGAAATTTTATTCATTTTCATTTGAGTGTCTCTGCTCTTGGCTACTTTTGCATAGCCCTGACCAGTAGGGAAACGCCAGCATCTGGTGACTGTTCTCTGTCTCATTATTTGGACCCATAACCTAACTACTTCCTAGAAACTGGACTTGCCATGTTTCTGGGTGATAGTATATTAAAAGAAAGAAAACAGGAGCAACTGGTAGTAAATAGGTCTGTAGTAAAATATCTAGATTAATTAATATTAAGAACAGATTTATATTCTGAATAGGCTCATGGGTGTCTGTGTTATATTAAAACTCTATTCTGAAATAACTGTTAATAAAAAGTTAGAATCAAGGGACCATGTGGATTCACTATGAAGAAAGAAACTAGAAATTACAGGTTAAAATGCTTTTAGAATAATCAAGTTTAGAGTTTCTTTGCCATCATTTAGTCTATCTTATTACTCACAGAAGAATTAATTCTAAAACATCCAGCCTCCATTAGAAAACTGCCATAGTAGAAATCCTTGCTTCTCAAAGCACTAATCCAGTTGCTGCATTCCAGTCCTGCAGAAGCTATTTCACTGAACTTAAATCTGTTTCTGTTTGTCTGCTTCATATAACAGCTCATGCATCCTCCGTAAGTGTCCTCTATCTTCGAGCTCTCCCATTTTCCACTCTTACGCTCTCTCATTCATGCTCCATCAGACTTTACCCATCTCTGTTATTTTCCTATTTTTGATTGTCCTTCACAATGTCTTCCCTTACATCTTCCTTATTCCTTCTTCCCAATGTAAATAGAAGCTAAAAACAAATAGATAAACACAAACAGGTTTTCTTTACCTCTCTATGCTTTTACCAAAAATGTATCTTAAACCCTAGGCAACTTCTGCACAGCCTTGACCAGCAGGGGGAACTCCAGCTGCAGTGACTGGTCTTTGTTACTCATTTGGAGTCATCCCATTATTATTAAAATAATTTCAAAATTACTCTTATCCCCTTTCACAAAGTATTATTGGTAGGTTAGTAGTAACTTATAAATATGTAATTAGGATTGATTTTTTTCTCAGTATTTCTTCATTGCTCAGCCCCTTTCTAACCTTCATTGACTGAAAGCAGATGCTTATATCATCATCTCTAATTTTGTAGAATTGATCTATTCTTACATTACATTTAACATTGATTCTGTATGGAACATAAGATTGTTTTTCTGATGCATATGCAATCCATAGCTCTTTTAGCCTGTACCTATGCAACATAACTTTAACCTGGCTAGTTAATTGAAATGAATGTGCTAAAATTTAGTCAGTGTACAGTCTGCTAATAAAAAAGAGTTAGGATCTGATAGAGCAATACATTAAATTTTATAAGAGACTACAGGAGTTTTTGTTGGAATTTGATTTGTTTGAAAGTAAGGCAAGTGTCATTTGTCTAAACCCTCTTCAGAAATGATGACATAGGTGGAGCTTCTAACTAAACTTGATCTTACAGTACAAGTGTGAATTGTTGAGATGTTTCTTTGAAGTTGAAGGAGGCTTTCTCTCTAACAATTGGTTTAGATATTAAGAGCTGAAATCAAAATTTTCTATTTTTGGTTAAATTTGTTTCCAAAAACTGACATAGACACAGACAATGGAGAATCAGTTGGTGATAATAATACATGATTGTATTTAGCTGAAGATTGCATGGGTAATTGCAGTTGGTCTCAGTCCTGGATTATATCAGAGGTGGCTACAAACAAGATACAGATGAGAGATGATGATAGATGGGAGTAAGAGTGGTAGAGATAGAAGTGGTCAGGTTTAGGAAATACTTTTTTTTGTTGAAGTATATAGTTGATACACAATCTTATATTGGTTTCAAATATACAACACAGTGATTCAGCAGTTACCCATATTATTAAATCCTCACCCCAACTGGTGCAGTTACTATCTGTCAACATAAAAAGATATTACAGAATCATTGGCTATATTCCCCATGCTGTATTGCCATTCCTGTGACCAACTTGTATTATGAGGGAAATATTTAAATGTAGAGCTGTCAGAATTCTCTGGGTGTGAGAGAAAGAAATATTAAGGGTGGTCTCAGTGGTTTTTGGCCAAACAGCTGATAAAATGGAGTTGCCATTATCTAACATAGCAAAACTGTTGCTGAAGGAACCAGGTTCTGTATATATACAGATGTTTGTGCTTGACTGACATTTGTTGTCATTAAACAAAGCTTATGAAAGAAACATGGATTACAGTTTGTCAGAAAGACTGGATGTAAATGTGGACCAAAGGTGGGGGCACTCACCTATGTTATATAAAAACTTTACATTAACAGAGAGTGTCATGTCATGCTCAGTATGTTAGTTGTTAGATGTTCTGTATTAAGTAAATTGCCATAACTAGAAATGTTTACTCTGAAGTGAAACTTGAAATCCTCTGTAGTTATAATTATGAAGTCTCTTAGTTAGGTATTGTTGTAAAGATACTTGTGGGTATATGAATGCATCAAGGACATCATATTTCTATTTTATAATTCTGTTTTTGCTTTTGAGTCAATTTATTCATTGTAATTCTGGGTTTTATTTGAGATAGAGATTTACAGTTAAAATTCAACTGGCAGAGATGGAATTCAATAAGAGAAAATTCACTTACACATTTTTAGTCATGTAATTAATAGACCATATACTTCTGTGTGACTCAATTTCTTTATCCGTAAAATGAATAGCACCTGTGTGACAGGTGGTTGGTTGGCAGAGATTAAATTAGTTCCTACACAGAAAGTGTTTAGAACAATACCCAGCATATAGATGGTGCTCAATAAATGTCAGTTACTTTTAAAAGGGAAAATTTGCTTCTAAGGTGGTTGGATGATTGAGTTAAATCCCCCAGTCCCAAAACTAAATGTAGATTTGTTGTTCTCTTATACATAGTACATATTTTAATAATGCTCTTTTGAATATAATGAGATTTTTATTCTTGGATTTTAAGGAAACTTTAGCAAAATATTTCATACATAATATAAATTGTTCTTTGTCTTCTTACCTGTGGAGGTATTAGCTGAAAATTTTTTAATTGCAAACTTATGTGTTACTGGGTCTTATATTTTGTTTATCTAGCACTTTAGTTTTCAAAACACGTTTGACACCAAATTATGATTTTTGTCGTTGCAGGCAAGAAGACAACAAGACCCTAGTCCTGGTTCCAATTTAAGTGGTGGTGATGACCTCAAACTTCGTTAATCAGTAGATGTGCACAGATGTGCCCCCCATCTTTTACATATACATTGGTTCTAGTTGGCAAAAACAATTGATTAAAAGACCAGAAACTGTGATAACTGGAGGTACTATGGTCTGTTTCTCAACCTTAGGCAGTAACAGGACACCACAGACTGCCATGGTTTTGCACTATGATTATTATTATACCTGCATTTCTAATTTTGTATGCATGTAGCCAGTAATTGGTTTTTTTTCTATGCAAGCTTACCTTGTTGGCATTATTTTAGTGAGTTGAAACTGTCCATTTGTGAAGCTCTTTTTCTCCCACTTTAATTTAAAAGTCATGTCATTTAGAAATTAAACTTTTAATATTTTTTTTCCTCTAATCAATTGCTTTTTTTTTTTTTGTAATTTTAAATGTGTTGGCTATACAGCTTCATTTTAGATAGGCATTCTTGATTTTTTTTTGTTTTGTTTGTCCCATTTCCTTTTGTGTTTTTATAGTCTATGGCATTTTAAAACTGCTGATGTGTTTGCATTATTTACAAGCTAAAGACCTGGTAGCATAAAGCTGTCTGCCACAGCCCTCTAATACAGAGTTTACAGTTTATTAAAGTTGCAGTATCCTTTTAAATGTTGATGATCAGCTTCTTTTCTTTCCTTTTTAAACATAAATTTTTTAAATTGGTATTAATTCTAATCTGCCCCAGATCTGTTTTAGATTCTGTTCTGTAATCATGAGTTTGGGGATATTCTCCATAGATGATAATACTCTACTGAAATGCCTAAAGAAGTCACAGACTGGCTTCTGTTTTATTCAGGGATTTTTTTTTAAGTCAATCAGAAAAGGGATACTGGAGCTTCTTCATGTATGTCACAGCATATTAAACTGGAGACAGTGATGAATCAGCTACAAAGGTAATACTGTATTAAAATCATGTTTAAGATAGCTGCTTTTATGTGTATTTTATAATGCATGCTTTTGTAAAAACAATGCTGGATGATGAAAGATTAGTCTTAGAAAATGTTCATCTGTGCAGAGGATACATTTTCTTCCATTAATTATCCTGGAAAAAAACTCACAGGTTGTATATATAATATTTTCCAAAAGGACTATTTATTAATAGAGCCTTTTGAGATGAATTAGTATAAGGATATTTTTTAAATAGGCTCACTGTCAAATTGAATGCAACTTTTCCTTTTAATACAAGACTGGAAAAACGTGTGAAGTCATTTGACACCTCCATACAAATATTTTTCATGATCATGTTCATTAAATGTTACTATGTTTCTGAATTTTTGCAAAAATTATTTTATCATAACAGAATGGCATTATTTTAAAGAGTTTGAAAAACTGACATGGTCAGTTCAGAAAATGAACTGAAACCTGAATAATGAATAAGGTCATTACATTAAAAACATATGTGTGTATATATACATATATGTATGTATATATATACTTGATTGATGAGAAAGATGTGACTTTCATTGTATATAGGTCTTATAATTCATAAACATATCCTGTATCAGAATAAAAACACTTGTTATATATTTGAAGTCATGCATGGTAAGCAGTGTGTTTAAATTGTTATAAACAGTGCATCATAAAAGACCATGCTGATCTTGTGTAACTAACTACTATGAATGAATTTGGTTGGTATTTTGGTGTTGTGCGGCTCACATGTTTACACACTCAGTGCCCTAATTTCCCCCAAGGGAATCGCCTTTTAAGTGGTCCTTATAATGGTCTTCTAAGGTTACTTTATCACAGAGCTTCTTGATTTTTTGCTTCTGCACTTCAATTCTTTTTAATAACATGATGATGATGTTACATTTTTCTCTAGTGCTTCTTGGCTAAGAGCTTTCAGTCCACCAGTAACTAAGATCAAATGTTACTAAATGTTCGTGTTGCCATCTTTATGTAAATATGAAATTTTTCCTGTCATTTAGCACTGTGCTGCTTCGGTCCGTCTTAATGCTGGCATTAAGATTATGAGCCCTTTTTCTCCAGTAGTGCAAGCTTTGAAAACTACTTTTATTAAGTTATTGATGCAATTTGGTATTTTTCCATAGTCTATATTTAAACAAAATTACATCATTGCATCATCTTTTCCAAATTCATCTCCATTAAAACTTGCCTTAAGCTACCAAATTGCTTTTGCCATCATTAGCCATATTGTGTGTTTGTATGTTTAATTTACTTTCACAATAAAGTTCTGTGTAGTGAAAACAGGGTCTTTGGCTCTTTATTGACATAATCCAACAATTTCTGTTGAAGTGTTCATTGTAAAAAAAAATTGATTTTGTTGTTTCTAAACTGTTCTTTTATCCGTTTTAACCTTGAACAAAGAAAACCACAGAACAGTGGTATCTAGTGGTCATTTCTGCTCATTCCAAATAAAACCTTTCATGTAAATATCACAAGAAAAACCAATTTCCCTATATATATATATGGTTTTCAAAAAATCTGACTTGATTTGACCATCCTATGAGATATGACTATAAAGTAGTGACTTTCGTGGGGGGAGGAAGAATTCCAAAAATTACACATCCAAATTAATCATTTTTCAAGTTAGTCATTTTAGAAGTACACACTTGATTTGATTGTGCTGGTGTTATATCAGACATTCTTATATTTTTCTTGGCATTTTCCTTCACCAGAAAATTAAGCATTTTACTTTAAAAACATGGCTTAAGCTTGAGCCATAATGAAAAAATGTACTTTTCACCACCAGACTTACTGCAAATAACAAATACCTTTAAATGCTGAATTAGCACTATGAAGTAAAATTACAAAGAATAAGACTCATACCCTGTGGGTTAATTGCAAAAACTGAGCAGTAGCATCATAGTTGTAGCAAGCATATCACCTATAGAGACAGGTGTTTGGATATACTAGTTTTGGACTGCTTGGGAAAAGAATGCTACTTGATTTATGTCTCATTTGGCAACAGGGAGTTTTTCAAGCCATGAGCCATTGTGTACTCATTTCTGTACAAATTGCCTAAATACTCAGCAGCTTTAAACAATAAACATCTCACAGTTCTTGGGTTAGAAATCTGAAAGAAGCGAAGTTTCTCACCCTGGTCCAAGATCTCAACTGAGGTTAGAGTCAAGGTGTCAGCCTTGGGTAGTCATCTGAAGGCTTGACTGTGTCTGAAGGATACCCTTCCAAGCCCACTTCTGTGGTCATTGATTAGCCTCAGTTTCTCATAACTATTGGATGAAAGCTCTTGATTTCTTGCTAGTGAAGACCTTCAGTTCCTTGCTATGTGGGTGTCTCCATAGGGCTGCTCACACCCTGGCAGCTGACTTCCCCCAAAGCATGTGATCCAAAAAAGTGCATGCCCAAGATGAAAGCCGCAGTCTTCTTAATATTCTAATCTTGGTCTGCCATATTCTGTATGTTAGAAAATTGGGTCAGGCCCACACTCAAAGGGAGGAGTATTAAGCTTCATTTCTTGAAGGGTGGGGTGTCAAAGAGTTTATGAATATATTTTAAAAACCACAACAGCCATATTGCCACATCTATATACATATATATCTATAATAGTATTTACAAGAGAGTTTTGGCGTTTTCATCTCCCAAACTTATTCTTTCCTAGATATCATCAGTTCCTTTTCTTGCATTACCACTAATATGCGTCTGTTTGTGTATAATTCCAAAAATGTTTCATGTCTAGAAAAATTACGATTATAGGGTATTATCATGGGTGGAAATTGCAGTTTGGTCTGTTTAAATTTAGGGCACTCTAAAACATAAGTGACTTTCAGTCAATTCTCAACTTGTGGTTAGAATAAGCAACTTAGAGTTAAGGTTATATACTGGCCTTATACAGATTTCAGGAACATTGAGAAATGTGAATTGATAAGATACAGAGGGAAATTTTTTATTAAAGAAAATATATCCAGTATGGTAGGTACCAGCCATGTGTGGTTATTGGGCATTTGACATGTGGCTAGTACAATAAGAAACTGAATTTTTAAAATTTTTAAAATTTAAATTTAAAAATTGAAGCAGTGTTATTTTTCTGTTAAAACTGCTTTGGGATGATTTGACTTCACTTTAGCCTTTGAAAATATAGTTTCCAAGTTAAGATGCACTGCTAGCATAAAATATCAGATATTTAAAGATCTAGTACAAAAAAATGTATGATATTTCCCTAATTCATTATTTTGACTACATATACTGGGTTATATTGCCATTTGATATACTGGGCTAAATAAAACATTAAAATATCTTTTCCCTTTTTAATATGGCTACTAGAAAATATTGCACGTATTGTTTCATATCAATATTAAGATTGTAAGTGAGCAAAGAACGTACAACTGAAAATTTTTTTTTAATGTTGAGGTTTTGTTAACTTAAAAAAAATAGATGAACATAAAATACGATTTTTACTCCCTAGGATCAGTTAAGGAGAAAGTGTGTGTCCTGTGCCTAAAATAGATACAGTCCCTGCCTTGAGGGAACCTATAGTCCAGCTCAAAAGCTGACCAAAAGTAGTAACAAAGTTTAAGTCATATTGAAAGTACTGGTGGTTATGTGGTATATCTAACCTGGTCTAGTTGGTCAAATAAAGTTTCCAGGAGACATTTGAAATCTGAAAGATAGTAAGTATTGGGCCAGCAAAGAGAAGGTAAAAAAACTACAGTAACCAGCCTAGGCAATAGTGTGCAAGTTTGAGAAACTAAGAGCAGTTGAGTTTGAATGGAACATGGAATGGAAGGAGTTGCAGCAGTGAGATGAATCTCAAAAGAGTCAGCAGAGGCCAGGATAAGGTCACAAGCAGTGTTTGAGTGGCTTTTCTGGCCATCTTAAAACGTTTGAATTGTTCCCAACAGCAAACAGGAAGCCACTGCAGGATTGTGAGTTTGAGGGAATTGGTGCTGAAAGCTCATTTTGCTTGACTAGAGAGAAAAAGGCTAGAAGCAGGAAGTCAGTTCCATTCCTTGGCAACCCATCCGAGAGATTAATGGAGCTTAGTCGGCATAGAGACCTGAGAAGAAAACACAGGAGGCACAACTGACAATTGTACCAGTCTTTTGTAGCAGGATAGGCTGAATTGTGTTGCCTTAAAACCTCCAAAATTTTATTGGCTTAAAGACATAATCTTACTTGTCAAACACCCATCATTGGTTGACCTAGGCTGACTAACCAGTCACTGGAAGTAGTCACATTGCCAGCTATGTGACAGAGCCAAGGAGATAGTGTAGTGAAAGGAGCACTGGCTTTTAAAATTCACCTGAAATCAACACAGGACTTCTGTTTACATTTCTTTGGATCTAACAAATCACAGAGCCATGGCCAATTTCATCAGGGCCGAAAAGTAACTACCTTTTGCCCTTGAGCCAGAATTTATCTGCATAGCTCTAATGAGTATCACAGGCCACCTTTCAGTTATTAAATATTTAGTTTTACTCTTCTCTCAAGAAAATATGTCTACCATAAGAAAACCTAAAAGTCAGCATTGAGCTAAATTCTAGGCTATGTGGTTAGCTGCCCCTCTATACAGCATACAGTAGCAGGATAGGGACAGGAAAACTGCAAGAAACACTTCCATTCAGAAAGGAGAAAAATAGAATCACTGGTCTAACAATTAGGAAATGTCAGTGGGGAGACCAATTGAGGGCCTTCTACTCTGAGAGACAGGAATGTCCTTTGTAAGGCTTATTGGAAAGGGTTCCTAAATCCACTGTTGTCCATGACCCTTGGTCCTATCTCTGATTTGCTAGATGGCAGTTACCTTTCATTTCTGCTTTAAAACTGGCTTTTTTTGTTGTACTTTGACAAATTGCAACAAAAGCCTCCAATGTACTTTGCTGTCTGAATAACACCTACTGTCCATTCAGCTACCCAAAGTTGACTTGATTCCTTTTTTCCCTCCTCTTCCACATTCAATCTGTAGATACTGCAACTGGATTCCATCAATTTTGTCACTAGTAGTTTTTGTTTTTGTTTTTTTTTACACACAAAGCATTTACCTGTGGGACCTTATGAATGCAGTCCTAAGAGTTTAATTATTGCTGAACATCCCCACCCTCAGTTTGGGGAATGGCTTTTGCTGATATTCTCCCAAGTTGGCCTACTCCTCTGAGGCACCTCCTCCTGCTTTGTGTACCAGGCTCTGGGCTATGCCCTCCTTCCAGCCCACCATCCCAAAGTTGCCACTCCCATTCCTGACAAAGAGCTGGATGGATCACACTTAAACCAAAGGTTTGGGATAACACAATGATCAAAGTTAACCATTTGCTGTTGACTTTGACATTGCTCACAGAAACTTATCTGCCTATTATCCCAACAAGGAATTTCCAACTTAGTTCTTTCAGTGTCTTGGGTTTTTCAAACTAAAATTCTTTTTACATTGTTATCCAGAGTGTGTTGCTGTCTCTTTCCCTGTCTTTTCCCTCCCACACCCTCACTCCATCTGCCCACCCTTAGCCACAGGAAATAAATCCCTCCAAGTGTTTTTTGAATAGAAGAACCATTTCTAGTCTAATTGGATTTTTCAGACATTTTAAATTGACTAAGATTACTCCTCACCAAGCTTAGACATTTTCTTCTTAGACATTTTCTTCCGTGCTTTCTAGGCCAGCTGCCCAAGTAACCTTTCCTAAACACATCTGTAATGCTTGCCATGCATGGCAAGAGATAAATATCACTTGATCCCTGCCCCTTTTCTCCTCCGTATTAGGATTATTGATAATTTTTTATCTTTCCAGAAATGTTCTCCCTTTTTGGTATGGCCAGTGTTACTTTTATTTATGTATTTAGAGATAAAAAGGACCACATGCACAATTTTGTATCTGGCTTTTTAGAGCTCCTTCCACATCAGCATATAGAGATAGGCTTCATTTTCAAAAATCCTACTATATCTATTACAGTCTATTACATATGTCAGTATCCTATTATACATATCTGATAATAAATGTGCCCTAATACCAAATAACATATGCATCCTATTATCAGAGTTTAGTTAGCCACTTCCCTATTGATGGACACCTCAATGACTCAGTTCTATTGTTATAGCATATGCTGCCACAGTGGACATCCTTCTCCATGTTTGTTTTAATGCCAGTTGCAGTGTTATCAAGTTTTGGTAGAGCCAAGTTACATACATTCCTAGCAAACTGATTTGAGGATTTAGCATGTTACTCTCTTCCCTGCTAAAAACCTCCCTCGTTAGCTCCCTAAGACCACAAAGCCTTTAATCCCTCTGGACCTTATTTTTTATGTCTCAGGGTGCTGTGAGAATTCAGAGACTACTTCCTCCAGAAAGCTTGGCTCCAAAAAGGGCCTTGGTTGCCTTTCAGAGTGCCCCAGGGCAAGGGCCAAAAGCTCTGGCGAAACAGGCTACAGAAACCGAACCCTCCTCGGGCTTGCAGTTGAAACAGGCTCAAAGGGTAGCGGAGGTTTGGTCAAGACACACGGCTTTGGCAGCAAAGCTGGCTTTGCACGAATCTGAGCTACTGCCAGCAACCTCTGGATCCTGGTCCCGGGGACTGTGCTCATCTGGACGTGGTCGGGCGGGTGGCCGGCCTAGGTCTTCCCCTTTATTGATATTGCTCTCCCCTAATTCCCCCAAGCCCCTGAAAGCGCATTCGAGCACACTCCTCACACGCTTTGAGTTCGACCCGAGCCCCAGGGGCGGCTGGGTAGGGAAGAAGTCGTTTCTGGACACCTAGAGCCAACTGCAGCCGGTGTCAGGCCCCAAACGGGGGTGGGACTTCGGGACCCCGCATCCTCCCTTCCCTCTGGGCTTCAGACAATGAGCCCTCGGAACTCGCACTTTGCGCCCAGTAAATGTGAGTGGGATGTACGTGTGAACGGCAAATGGACGTTGTGTAACTATGTCACGTGTGTGTGCCGCATGGTGTACTCATTCTTGTGTAGACGTGAAATGTGTGCAGTATGGCGTGCAGGTGCGGGGCTCCTCGAATAAGGATGCTGATTCCAAGAGCGCCCGCCCAAACCCTGGTACTGTCAGGAACCCTTCAGCCTTCGCCTAGATTTGCGCGTGCGCCGTTCCACTTTAAGCTCCTCCCCCAGATTGAAATCCCGCCCTCGCCACACTTTACGACTGGGCACGCCACTTTTGCTGCAGACGCTCCAGCTGCCGCCGCTACTTCTATTACCGCGGCTGTTGCTGGTGAGGTGAGGTGAGGTAGAGTGGGGTTGCGCGGGTGTTGCCGGCGACCAGGGAGGAGGTGGAGATAGGACCTGTGGGAGCAGCGGGTCAGCCCCTGCATTGTCTCCTCAGCCCCGGTCCTGTCTGCGCTGCCGCAGGGAGGCCGCCCGGCCCGGCGAGCTGAACCAATGCTGGATCTGGAGGTGGTGCCCGAGCGCTCTCTAGGGAATGAGCAATGGGAATTTACGCTGGGTGAGTGTGGGGTTCTCCCTCAGGACCCTATTCCCTAGTCCTTACTTCTCTCCTGGCCTTTCCCGCCTCTGGTCTCTGTCCCTTATTCCCCTGTGCCTGCGGATCCTCGGCTCTTTAGTCCCTTCGGCTCTTTGGCCTCCAGGCACTAGATAGCCGCCCCGCCCAGCGCGACCCGCCGGTCCGTGGCTCCGTCAGGCCTTGACGCCCTCGCTTTAGGCCTCCGCAGGGCCCCTTCCGGGGCAGTGGTATAGTAGTAGTAATAACAGTGGTTGACACGCCCCAGATACTTAACACAAGTCCAGGCCTTGCTCTCCTACTCGTGATTATCTCAGGTATGCCCCCTCGGGGTCTGAGGGTATGTACTGTTGTTATCCTATTCCCATTTTACAGACTAAGTAGCTGAAAAATGACTGACACCCTTAAACGCCACCGTTTAAGGCGTCTCTTTCCTTTTCTGGGCCGTGGGTTGCCTCCTCAGAACGGGAAATCTAGGTCCTGATCCCATAATCAGGTGTTGGGGATCTGCTCAAGGAAGTTGAGAAGAGACTGCGTGTGTTGAAAGAACTTACAACTTGTGCCCTTCGTGTTTTTTAATGTGGTCGATGTGGTGTATTCCTAAACCCAGACCTTAGCTGAGTTAAAGATTGAATGAAATAGGAGTTCTGGGAAAGTAGCATTTAGTTTGTAGAAAACACAGCTTGATTTTTTTTTTTCTTCTGTTTTTTGGCCCAGTTTTCCCTATCCTGAAGTCATTTCCTTTATATTCAGAAAACCAGTGTGTGTTTACTTTGATGCTACAGCACGAGGGAGAGGAGTTGGGGAACTGGTGTTGGTGCTGTTTGTTTGTGCAAGCCTGAACTTTTGTCGTACTAATTTGGGCTACTGCATAGAGTCAACTGCTCCACTGGGCTTTAGCTTATTCTTGAATCTGGAAGACTCATGTCTATGGAGACAGGATAAGTGAGAAACTGCAGACCAGATTGCTGGCAGGGCCCTCCTGGTGTTGAGTGCCTGTAAACTGAACTACAAGCCTCTTCTGGATTGTAGGAGGCAGTTTAATTGAGAGGTCTTACCCAACTTCTCTCATAACTTACATCACTCCTGCAGAGTTCTTTTCAAACTTTTAGCTGATAGGAAACTCCCTAGCCTCTTGGGAAGCACCAAAAGCTTGATTGGGAAGCTGGTGATATCTTTACCTCCAGACCCATTCATCGTGCTCATGCCATTTGGCTTCTAGTTAGGAAAGAACCCCCTGTACCCACAATTCCACTCATACCAGAATTTCACAGGGCAGAGTGAGAAACACAGCCATAGCTTCAAATTGTGTTTCAGTGTGACTGGGTTGTGGATTTCTGTGGTACAGTCTCTTAGTCAAAAGTGATGAGGATGTCAGTTAAGACAAAGATTTCAAAAAAACTGGGTGGGAGTTCTAGGCTTCTTCTGTCAGCTGTTGTTTTGATATCTTAACCTCCCATCCTAACTTTTCCAGTTTCCAGGAATCAAAGGTTTGGGTAATTCTTTCAAACTTTCTAAATAGTAGCCAGAAGCAGTGAAAAGAGCATTTCTGTACATTGGACTAGAATTGAAATTTGAGGGAAAGCTCATAGAGGAAGCCTGAGCCTTGATGACTCCTTTGCAGCTCTTAAAAATCTGCATTTTAAAATTTGTCTGCATAAGAGATGGTGGTAATTTAACTTCCCTAAGCTTAAGGAAAAAAATCATTTTCCCTTCTCTCTCAATCTTCCCAGTCCTCAACACATTTAAAGTTTAACTGGGACTGATAGGTAAGAATACAACTAAGAAGTGGGTCTGTGCTTTAGAATTACATACCTAGGCTAGAGAACTAGGCAGTGGTTAACTAAAGTCACCACAACCCTGTAAGGTAGTCTCCATTTGCCAGATGAGGAACAGGTTCAGAAAGGTAGAGATCATAAAAAGTAGCCTAGCAGAGATTTCCTGCTTCCCCCTGCTCTTTCCTTCTGAGGATGATTGTCTCCAGATTTCTTTTTGGAATCTGTGCAAATGCAGATGTATCTAGCCTTTGCCATCATCCGCCTGGCATCGCAGTGGGGAGCTCCATCCAGCTTCTTGGCTGTCTTCCTGGCTTTTGTGTAACATTTGGAGATAAGGGAAATGCCAACAACACAGGGACAGGAAAACCTAGACTAAAAGGAATCTCTGAGAATGTCACTGATGGCTTGACTAGTGGTGGAGTAAAGGCAGTGCAGACTTGAGTTTTTTCAGTGAGTTTTGCAGACTACTGGTATGGAGACAGGTATCTGAGTTTGTTTTTAAAATTAGTCTTGAAATGCCCAAAGAAGGTTACTGGAGAACAGCCCCCAGAATACTGATAATCTCCAAGGTTGCCTCATTCCACAGAGAGACTGGGTGGCGCTCACTCTGTACAAACATTGAAAACTGAGTAAGAAATGGTCATATGCCCTGAAAAGTTTAGTCTGTGAGAGGGAAGGATTACAGAAATAGTTCATTTTATTATAATGAGGTAGAGGTTGTGTAGGAGGCTATGGAAAGGGAGAAGAGACTTGATCTGACCTGAGGGTTCAGGGAAGGCTTCCTGTCAAACTACAGGAACTAGTACCATTCCTGGAATCAGGAAGGACCAGGAAGGCCCTATTGCAAGTCTACTGCCAGATTTCTCTTCTGCGCTGTCTCCAAAGACATAAATCATCCAGTCAAATTAAAAATAAAACAAAACAACAGGAAAGATAGGTGGTGTGTCTAAGGAACTATAAGCAATTTGGTATTATAATTAGAGCATAAGGTACTGGTAGAAGAAGAAAATAGGTTCCCCAGATTTCCAGTTCTCTTTGGTAAGTAGCTGCCTGGAACACTATCAAGGAGTCTCTGGGTTCAGTGGGAAAGAGGATCTCTATTAGTAAGATGTGTTGAGGGCATAGGCTTAGGAAGGCTTTGAAAAGATGGGGAAGAAGGTGCTTTCTGGCTTGATTCAGAGGTATTGAGACCTAGAATACAGAAAAGCAGCCAGACTCAAAAGATGAAAACATCACTTCTAATCTGTCAACTTTTTATTTGCCTTTGGTTATATACAGAAAACAGATTGAGATATGAGTCAGAAATTAAGTGGTTGGTTGGATGAATGAATGAATGAGGATGGGCAGAAGGAAATACTGCCCATCACAGAGAACTGAGAAAGAGGAACAGCGGGTAAGAGTGGTGTTGATAGAGTCATGATGAGAGTTCTCAGAGGGGAAGGATAGTCACCAGGGTCTATAATACAGGACCTCTGTGTTCTATTTAATTGCTTTGTTTCACTCATGCAGAGCTCAACATATATATAGGACCACCCACTATCGTGCCAGGCATGGTGATGGGTATACAGCAATGAGTAAGACAATGTCTCTGTCCTCAAAGAGGTATAGGGGAGACTCTAACAAATAAATGGGATAGGAGGCTTCATGAGGTAAGGCAGTCAGGGAAGTGAGCTGTGAACCAAAACTTGAAGAATGAGAAGGAACCAGCTATGGGAAAAACATTTCAGCAGAGTCAAGAGCTAGTACAAAGGCCTAAGATGGGAATGAGCTTGACACATGTTAGGAACAAAGGGAGGCATGGGAGCAATGGAAAGAAAGGTGAAGGTGGACAAAGGTCCAAAGCATTCAAGACCTTTAGGCGATGGCATGTTTTATGCCCCTGAAATGGGGAGCCGTTGGAGGATTATAAACAAGCAAATGATGAAGTCTGTAAGATGTAGGATTTGTTTAGACAGCTGACCATATACTTCACACCCTTTTGGGGTTAGGTGACTCTGTTAGAGCTGTGACAGTGTTCTGGTTTCTTTGCCATATATATGGTTGGTTCCTTTCAGAGGACTTTTATGGCCTTCCATTACCAGCAGCTGTGTGACAACTAGTCGTCATGGCTGTTCTTTCTCCCCAGGTCACTCAGGACCGGAGGACCTGAAGATTCCAAAGCCAGGAATTTGATGTGATTAGGTGGAAAAGAATCCTCTCTCAAGAAACTGCTTTGTGCCATGTGGTCAGAGAAGCCATGTGGCCTTCTCTTTCTCAACACCTAACTGAGCTTATTTATCTTCTCCGCATGGATGTTGCCTGTCAGAGAGAGACAGCATAGATGCTCCTCTGTTTCAGTAATGGCAAAGCTGGGTGATGCTTCCACCTTGTTCATATCCTCGAAAAACATTCATTAAGCCTCTATTATGTGCTAGTCCTGTGTTACAGAGGCTGAAATACCTTGTTTAAGATCTCATTCCCTCCAGCTTTCTTCAAACTGTAGAATGGACCACTGAAGGGAGGCAAGATTGGATCATTGTTTAAAGTAGATGGGTCACATGTTTGTTTGTTTTTAGATCTATTAGTGTTGCATTTATTTTTATTTATTTACTTTTTTATTAAGGTGTCATTGATATACACTCTTATGAAGGTTTTACAAGAAAAACAATGTGGTTATTACATTCACCCTTATTATTGATTCCCCCCCATTGCAGTTATTGTCCATCAGTGTAGTAAGATGCCACAGAGTCACTACATATCTTCTCTGTGCTACACTGTCTTCCCTGTGACCTCACACACACCATGGGGTCACATGTTTTTAACCTTCTAATTCTTTGTGTGAATAACACAGGCATAGTGTCTTGCATTCATGAAGCAATTGGTCTTTGTTTTTGGATTGTCTGGCACTTTACTATGGATTGTGTCTCTGTAAGTTTCTTCTTGTTTGAAATAAACGAACTCTGAAAACATACTTCTGGTGTTCCCTGTGAGTCCCTGGGATCTTGGAGATGTTGGGATTTGGATTTCTTAAACAGGGAGCATATATAAATTTGTTTATAATGGGCCATGAGTTCAAAATCAGGTGTTAGGATTTTGAGTATGTTTGTGGGTTGATGGCCAAGGATCCAGTGGAATCCTTAGTAAAGTAAGTTGATTCTGGTAGATGTGTGATTTTTAACTTTTTTAATGAGCTCTTACAAGTCATGTGCTCCTGCAGGTTCTCATTTGAGAGATGAGACAGATGCCAGAAAGGAAGGGAGGAAGGACCCTGCCCTGGGTGATAATGTAATCAATCCATGGTAGAGTGAGAACCAGAGTCATGCTGTCAGGGCTTTTCTCACTCTTCTTTGGTTCATGCTGACTTTGCTTTCTCCAAGCCCTTTCGCCTGATTGGGATCCACACAGAAGTCCTCATTTCCGTAACACTTTTTGTATATTCTCTCCCTTCCCTTATACAATCCAGCTGTTTCCCTTAGTGCTTGCCACTAACTTTATTCTAGCTCTTACTGCTTATTGAACTTTCATTTTTTCATATGTTTGTAGTCCTTAGTGGCCCCCACTCTCACCCCCAGGCTGTACTGCAGGGACTCGTGCCTAATACAATGATAGATAGCCCAAGTAACCACACAGGTGTCCTTGCTTTATTTCAGGAATGCCTCTGGCTCAGGCAGTAGCCATTCTTCAGAAGCACTGTCGCATCATCAAAAATGTCCAGGTTCTCTACAGTGAACAGGTGAGTGGTAGATGATTTGTTTACTGAAGCAGCACCCCTAATCAGTGAGTCACCTTCAGAGGCTGATGCTCTGTAAGAGGCTGACTGGCAAGAATTGCTGAGTCAGTGTGTTTGAATGAGAGAATCTCCAGCACTAGTCAGTTACCCGGGACATTTCTTTGATTCTGAAACTTTGCTTCTTGATAATCTAGTGCTGCCAGGTTTGGAAGAGCAGTAATAACTGAACTTTTTTTTTTTTATTGTGTTTGACTACCTACTGACCCTTAGACAAGGACTTGTCAATGGGAGGTCACCTCAGGGACTCGGTGGTCTTCCAGGGGGCTTCTAGGGGCCTCTTTTGTGTTTAAAATAATCTTTTCTGCTTTGTTGATTGTTTTGGTATGTGTTTAGGATTGTTACAGTGCAGATGTCTAGCTAGAAATTTTTTCTGATTTAAGGTGGTCTCTATTAAATGTTGGGCAACTGTCCCAGGAGTTAACCCCAATCGTAAAGTATTACATGCACCTACAAAGACCTTTCCAGTTTACAGAAAGAGTGTATTTTAGGTTAGCACCAGAGGACTTTCTGGAAATCAGGAATTTTTGTATTTGGTTTTATAAGTAAAGTTAGAGACTGTTTTTTATAGGCCTTTAGAAATAGGATTCTTCTTATCTGTCTAAAAATGCAATCTCCCTTTTACTGAACCCTCTGAAACCTGTGATTCTTCTAAGACACAGACCATATGCTGCCATGTAGAGCAGCCTTTGTGATGCCCAAGTGTCAGAAACCTCAGGGAATAATTTTAAGCCTATACTGGCCTACGGAGGATATCCCTTCTGTATACTGGCCTACAGGATGTCCTTTTCTGAAACCCGTTAAGTACCAGTTTGATGGTTTTAGTTCCATTTGTTCTAATTAGTTTCAGATCCAAAAGCAAATGATGACTTATTTTTTACATAAAGAATGTTATGAATTAGAGGTGGGTGAGATTTCTGTGAGGCTTCCCAGTTTGCATTAATGTCAGAGTTGAGCCTGTTACCTATACCCAGACATTACATTCTACAGTACTGTACCCCTCTACCAGCCTAGTGAGCTCTGTGTGACAGGTACTTCTGAGACAGGGACTGCATAATCTCCAAGCAAGTGCTTGGATAGTCTTGTGCCCATCACAGAATGAGGGACTTGTAGGAGTGGGCCAGGTGTTCCTTGAGTCACAATGCCAAAGTGAGTTCTCATTTATAAAGTGAATGATGGTGACTTTTCCTCTTTGTTACACTCAGAACAAAATGTAACAGATCATCCCTAACCTAATCTGACTTTCAGTGTTAGACCATAAGGGAATTACTCATGACAGGTAGCAGCCATCAAAACAGGGATAATGGGCTTGCTTCTTCAGCTTGTAACCACCTGCACATTCAGTTAAGTCAGATCTGGGTACTCCAAGATTAAATCTATTTGAAAATAGGCTTAAACTTTCTTAACCAATTTTTAAAACTGAAGCTTGTATCTTATATCACTGCCTTGTTGTCTGTTGTTCTAATCTTTGGGTACAAATAGTAGTTATAGCATTAAGTTAATTTCCCCTGATAACATCTCAGCACTTGGAATCAGTTAGAAAACATGGGTTTTTAATTCTAGACCTTGGTTCACATCCTTGCTCTTCGCATTTCTTAGTTGTGCAACTTGTGGCAAGTTAATAACCAGTCTGTTTCTTCTCTGTAAAATGGAGGTAGTTTCCTTATAATAGAATAACCTTTTGATGAGACCAAGAGGAGATGTTGTCTCAGTGCTCTGATATAGTCCTTCCTCAACAGGGATCCTTTTCTCTTCTGCCTTCCTTCCCTTCTTTTCCCATTTGTTACCTTGCTTCCCATAAGTTCAGGGAATAGTTTGGCCCCATTAAACATTTTAGAAATACTTTCTTGTTTCTAGCAAATCACACCTTGAAGATGAAATATTCATATCAAGTGAGTCGCATCTTTCTTAGAGGGAAAAGATGTTAACAGCTAGCAGCAGACAGCTTTATTGAACTCTTTCGTATGGAGAACTGCATAATGCTGGGCTTCAGGAAGGCTTGCCTAAATACCAGGTAGTACATGTATATTTTGGTTCTGGTTCTGGAGATATAAAGTACTAATAACACTAATTGGGTGTGAGGATGATTTACTTGCTTTGGAAAATTGCTTAGTTATATCCTGAGTTGCAACAATGCCAGGAAAATACTGATCAGCTCTTGGGAGAGTGTAAGAAAATTCAGATCCTCCCAGCATTCCTCTTCCATGCAAGGATCTTGAAAGATGCTAAGTTGTTCCTTCATTCTGCTCAACCTCCATGGAGTGACCTTCTCAGAAATGGAACTGTGTGTTCTAGATTGTAAATAAGTGACCTAAAGACAGGTTCATTATTCTGTTATCTTCTTGAGATCTAATGGTTTTAAACATTCATTCAGATCAACTGGAAAATCACAACATTCTTTCTTCTAGTGTTTACCAGGCTTGGTGGTGCCACCTGGGCCTGCTACCTTGTGAAGATCAGTGGGGTGGAGGAGAGCATACAGTCTGTGCTAATCCCTGAAGGCTCTTTGGAGAGAACTTTTCCAATGAGGCCCATAACCTGCAGTGGCACCTGGCTTTCCAGCCTGTGTCTCTATCTCTGACAGCCAAACCTCCATCATTCATTGTGCCTACCTTGAGAAACTCTATTAAGAAACTTCTGAAGACCCTTTTGAGAACTGTGTGCCAGTTTCAAGAAGGGGCAGGATTTTGAGTGGTGGTGTTTTTCTTCTGCTTGGCAACCTGGTTCAGGGCTATGGAGAGTTTCAGACATTGAGTCTTTGAATTGATTGCATTGGAGCAGAGGCAGACTGGTGGGGCAGACATGAGGGTAGAGTACTGTATGCTGAGTGCTGTGCATGGTGCTTTCTGACCTACTATCTCTGTCTCACAACTCTGCAGGGAAGGGCTGATGGTATTCCCACAAAGAAACTAGAGCTCAGAGAAGTTCTGAGAGTCATTTAAGGTCACCAGCTGGCCAGGACTCAAGGCCAGCTCTGTCCACTGCTCTGTGCTGCTACTCCCCTCCCCCTGGGACTCAGAATGGGCTAATGTAGAAATATGACTCTGTAGATTTTAGCCTTTTCAGAAAGAAGCATATGTGATATGGGATGGTGGGGAGGGAAGGAAGGAGTAAGAGTGTCATGTCATATATAATCAGGTACTTCTTTGTCCTGGAATGTGGTCTAAAACAGTCAAAGAATAAAATGTGTTCCCTTGTGGGTGGTACATACAACCTGGGAGTGAATGGACATAGGATCAGCTAACAGGCATTGAGTATTATCTGCTGAATTTGGATCTTGGCCGGGCCTTTGACATGACCTATATTCCTCATCAACTGCTCTGTAGGTTTGACAGCAATAAAACCATTCTATAGATGATCCTGCACCCACACACACACACAAAAAGCCTATATACTCACATAATTTTGGCCCTTTACTCCAGCTATTACTACTCAAAGCATGAAAAAGAGAGGCTCTTTTCAGCCAGTATTATATGAAGCAGCAGTGTTGGGCTGGAAGTAGAGGACACTGCATTCTCCTAACAGTCTGTCTCTGGCTTCCAACCTCATTAGCTGGGAGAGAGAGGGGCTGTCTGCACTTAAGTCATTCCCTGTGCATCGCATTTAGATTGTAAGGTTTTTAGTAGGTGCTGATGAGTAAATTAATTGCTCAGAGTGTACTTTATTTTTGTTTTGTAGTCTCCTCTAAGCCATGACCTCATCCTTAACCTGACTCAGGACGGGATCAAACTACTGTTTGATGCTTTCAATCAGAGACTTAAGGTAACTATAAATAACTAAAGTTTCATGTCAGGTTGATTAATATGACCAATTGTGAGATATTTCTGAAACTTGTAAGCAGGAGTAGACTTTCATGGTCTGAATTCAGAGTCTACAATGTAGGGGCTGAAGCTGTGCCTGTTTACCTAAAAATGGGGAAGCTGAAGGGTGGTTAGAGAAAGACTGGGAAGAATCCACTCCCAGGTTCCAGGGGTGAAGGGCAAAGAGTGTTGAAGATTTGCTGAAGATGCTATGAGGAGGGGGCTTTGATGTTGAATAGTAAAACAAGGGAGGAGCTAAGTATTTGGCATAGATTGTCTGGAGTCTTTAAAAAGGCATTAGAAATCCACAATAGGACCAAAAGACTAGTCAGGTGTATATGTCTTGTTTTTTCATTCTTAGGTCAAACAATATGACTTGGAAGATAAAAAATGGAACAGTTCTTCCTAAGATACTGGGGCTTAACACCACCAGCACTGAGTTGCTTCTTTAACCCCTATGAGGAAGTGTAAACAAACAACTTGCTAGTATTTAGGGTTGTCTTATTTGTGTTCAAGTGCAATTTACTAACACCTGTTTCAGTCCAGGATGTTTTTAATACACTGTTTACAAATGCTTGAGCTTCACGATTTAGTCATGTGACATCAGACAATGCCTCAGAGTCATGAGGTTGAATGTGGTTCTGGGCAGCAGCATGCCAGTGCCATTGTTAGGCTGTGGAGTTGCCTTTCCAAAAGACTTGAGTACTACATAGTTGTCATCCCACCACGAGTGAGATGCTGAGGAGACAAGACAAAATATGAAAAATAATCTATACATGGAATGAGAATTTCTCATTTATGATGGTTTTTCAAAAAGCAGAATTGGATGTGAACATTCTTAGCCCCACAGTTCCTTTGCCTCTCCTGGACTCAAGTCATCCTGTCTTTACAGACCATCCTGTCTTTACAGTTTCACACCTGGAAGAGGCATAGGATGGTCTTCAACGTGGTTTCATCACAAATTGGGGGGAATTAATCTGGAAATTTATCTTTGACTCAGAAATCCACTTCAGGAAACATAACTGAAAAAGACAATGGTGAGGGGAGTGTTGCCAGATATTTGTAACAGGGCTTCTTACAGTAACGAAAAACTAGAGGTAATGTAAATGGACAATAAAGGGGGATGGCTAGGCAGCCCATCATAGAATCACAGCATGGTGAGGACAGTGTGTATTTAGCAAGCACTTGGTACATGTTAGGCGCATGGCTGAGCGCTTCCCATGCATTTCCTAATTTAATCCTAACAAGCCTATGAGTAGTACTATTTACCAGCGAGACAATGGAGGGACAGGATTAGTGGTGTGCCTGACACCAGGCTTTTAACCCTGTATTGCCAGTACGTAGTGACTGATCACTGGGATTAGAAATAGCTTAGGTTCTGTTGGTGGACATGGGAAATAAATGGGATAAAAGCTGAAGAAAATGGTGTGAGCACACTATGCAGAAATGTGAGGGATAAGTGTATTTGAATGGTAAAGGAGGTATATAGAACCTTCTCTTCTGCCTCTGTGGGGTCCCTATGAAGAAGGCGGGGCTGGGGTCCTGCTTGAGCCTCTGAAACAGTGATGAAGCAATTCCTCGGGTGCCCTTGGTTGGCACCAAGTCTGACCTGACCTACCTGCTACTGCTCCCTCCAAGAGCTTCAGAATCCACCTCTCTTGGATGCTGTCTCCGGCAGTTCCCCACCCCCTCACTAGGCCTATGAGAGAGCCCTGTGGAATGAGACTTCACAAGTCACAACCTTTATAGCCACCTGTCTTTTCCTTTCCTATGTTGGCTACTACCATGTCTTCTCTGGGGAAATGAAGGCCTTTTCCAGCCCAGAGGGTGGGAAATCATGGATTTCAGACTTCCTTGGCTGCTTGTCCTTGTGACCCAGCAAGCCCCATCGGCCAAAATCTGCATGTTGATTTTCCTAGTGACATGAAGGATTCCAAAGTGGTGAGCACTCTGGGTCCCTTGCCACAAAGTGCATCCCTAAACTCTGTGATTAACTCTCGCCACTGTTCTCCCATTAGGCAGGCAGGGTTGAAGCACCTGAAAGTGTTGGTCTGGGCTGTTGGAAGTGGGTGACAGTGACACAGGAGGAACATCCTGGAGGCCCACCCCCACAGGGTGAGTGGCAGGAAGCCTTTTGGGGGGTCATTGGCCAGCTGTAGGGGTAGCAATCAGGGAGTCAGAGTTTCTGGCCCTGCTTGCTATACAAGCAGGGCTTCTGGCTGATAGTTGGTGTCCTCTGCCAGCATGGGGCCCTGACCTTGTAAAATAGCATACTGGTTTGGCCCAATAGACTGCCACGCCCAGGCTTTCTGAAGGGGACAGCAGGTATCTTTTTTAAATTAAAAAAAAAAAATTTTATTAAGGTATTATTGATATACACTCTTATGAAGGTTTCACATGAAAAAACAATGTGGTTACTACATTTACCCATATTTTCAAGTCCCCACCCATACCCCAATACAGTCACTGTCCATCAGTGTAGTAAGATGCCACAGATTCACTATTTGCCTTCTCTGTGCTACACTGTTTTCCCCGTTATCCCCCACACTGTGTGTACTAAACATAATACTCGTCAATCCCCTTCTCCCTCCCTCCCCACCTGCCCTCCGGCACCCCTCCCCTTTGGTAACCACTAGTTCCTTCTTGGAGTCTCTGAGTCTGCTGCTATTTTGTTCCTTCAGTTTTGCTTCATTGTTATACACCACAAATGAGGGAAATCATTTGGCACTTGTCTTTCTCTACCTGGCTTATTTCACTGAGCATAATACCCTCCAGCTCCATCCATGTTGTTGCAAATGGTAGGATTTGTTTCTTTATTATGGATGAATAGTATTCCATTGTGTATATGTACCATGTCTTCTTTATCCATTCATCTACTGATGGACACTTGGGTTGCTTCTGTATCTTGGCTATTGTAAATAGTGCTGTAATAAACATAGGGGTGCATATGTCTTTTTGAATCTGAGAAGTTGTTTTCTTTGGGTAAATTCCCAGGAGTGGAATTCTGGGGTCAAATGGTGTTTCTATTTTTAGTTTTTTTAAGGAACCTCCATATTGCTTTCCACAATGGTTGAACTACTTTACATTCCCACCAACAGTGTAGGAGGGTTCCCCTTTCTCCGCATCCTTGCCAGCATTTGTTGTTCCTAGTCTTTTTTATGTTGGCCATCCTAACTGGTGTGAGGTGATATCTCATTGTGGTTTTAAGTTGCATTTCACTGATAATTAGCGGTGTGGAGCATCTTTTCATGTGCCTGTTGGCCATCTGAATTTCTTCTTTGGAGAATTGTCTGTTCATATCCTCTGACCATTTTTTAATAAGATTATTTGCTTTTTGGGTGTTGAGGCGTGTGAGTTCTAGATTTTGAATGTTAACCCCTTGTTGGATATGTCTTTTACAAATATATTCTCCCATACTGTCGGATGCCTTTTTGTTCTGTTAATGTTGTCCTTTGCCGTACAGAAACTTTTTAGTTTGATGTAGTCCCACGAGTTATTTTTACTTTTGTTTCCCTTGCTCGAGGAGATGTGTTCAGGAAGATGTTTGCCTGTGTTGTCTTCTAAGAGTTTTATGGTTTCATGACTTACATTCAGGTCTTTGATGCATTTCGAGTCTACTTTTGTATATGGGTTAAACAATAATCCAATTTCATTCTCTTGCACGTAGCTGTCCAGTTTTGACAACACCAGCTGTTGAAGAGGCTGTCACTTCCCCATTGTATGTACATGGCTCCTTTATCATATATTAATTGACCATGTATAGTTGGGTTTATATCTGGGCTCTCTAGTCTGTTCCATTGGTCTATGGGTCTGTTCTTGTGCCAGTACCAAATTGTCTTGATTACTGTGACTTTGTAGTAGAGCTTGAAGTTGGGGAGCATAATCCCCCCAGCTTTATTTTCCTTCTCAGGATTGCTTTGGCTATTTGGGGTCTTTTGTGGTTCCATATGAATTTTAGAACGATTTTCTGTAGTTCATTGAAGAATGCTGTTGGTATTTTGATGAGAATTGCATTAAATCTGTAGATTGCTTTAGGGAGGATGACCATTTTGACAATATTCTTTCTATCCATGAGCACAGGATCTGTTTCCATTTATTGGTATCTTCTTTAATTTCTCTCATGAGTGTCTTTTAGTTTAGTTTCAGAGTATGGGTCTTTGACTTCCTTGGTTAGGTTTATTCCTAGGTATTTTATTCTTTTTGATGCAGCTGTGAATGAAATTGTTTTCCTGATTTCTCTCTCTGCTAGTTCATTGTTAGTGTATAGGAATGCCACAGATTTCTGCCTGTTAATTTTGTATCCTGCAACTTTGCTGAATTCAGATGTTAGATCTAGTAGTTTTGCAGTGGATTCTTTAGGTTTTTTTATGTACAATATCATGTCACCTGCAAACAATGACAGTTTAACTTCTTCCTTGCCAATCTGGATGCCTTTTATTTCTTTGTGTTGTCTGATTGCCGTGGCTAGGACTTCCAGTACTATGTTGAATAGAAGTGGGGAGAGTGGGCATCCTTGTCTTCCTGATCTTAAAGGAAAAGCTTTCAGCTTCTCACTATTAAGTATAATGTTGGCTGTGGGTTTGTAATATATGGCCTTTATTATGTTGAGGTACTTGCCCTCTATACCCTCTTGTTGAGAGTTTTATCATGAGTGAATGTTGAATTTTGTCAAATGCTTTTTCAACATCTATGGAGATGATCATACGGTTTTTATTCTTCTTTTTGTTGATGTGGTGGATGAGGTTGATGGATTTTTGAATGTTGTACCATCCTTGCATCCCTGGAATAAATCCTACTTGATAATAATGGATGATCTTTTTGATGTATTTTTGAATTCATTTTGCTAATATTTTGTTCAGTATTTTTGCATCTATGTTCATCAGAGATATCAGTCTGTAATTTTCTTTTTTTTGTGGTGTCTTTGTCTGGTTTTGGTATTAGAGTGATGCTGGCCTCATAGAATAAGTTTGGAAGTATTCCCTCTTCTTCTACTCTTTGGATAACTTTAAGGACAATGGGTATTAGGTCTTCACTAAATGTTTGATAAAATTCAGCGGTGAAGCCATCTGGTCCAGGCGTTTTGTTCTTAAGTAGGTTTTTGATTACCAGTTCAATTTCATTGCTGGTAATTGGACTGTTCAGATTTTCTGTTTCTTTCTGGGTCAGTCTTGGAAGGTTGTATTTTTCTAGAAAGTTGTCCATTTCTTCTAGGTTATCCAGTTTGTTAGCATATAATTTTTCATAGTATTCTCTAATAAGTCTTTGTATTTCTGTGGTGTCCTTAATGATTTTTCCTTTCTCATTTCTGATTCTGTTTATGTGAGTAGACTCTTTTTTTCTTGATAAGTCTGGCTAGGGGTTTATCTATTTTGTTTATTTTCTCAAAGAACCAGCTCTTGCTTTCACTGATTCTTTCTATTGTTTCATTCTTCTCAATTTTATTTATTTCTGCTCTAATCTTTATTATGTCCCTCCTTCTACTGACTTTGGGCCTCATTTGTTGTTCTTTTTCTAGTTTAATTAATTGTGAGTTTAGACTGTTCATATGGGATTGTTCTTCTTTTCTGAGGTAGGCCTGTATTGCAATATACTTTACTCTTAGCATGGCCTTCACTGTGTCCCACAGATTCTGTGGTGTTGAATTATTGTTGTCATTTGTCTCCATATATTGCTTGATCTCTGTTTTTATTTGGTCATTGATCCATTGGTTATTTAGGAGCATGTTGTGAAGCCTCCATGTGTTTGTGGGATTTTTCATTTTCTTTGCGTAATTTATTTCTAGTTTCATACCTTTGTGGTCTGAGAAACTGGTTGGTACAATTTCAACCTTTTTGAATTTACCAAGGCTCTTTTTGTGGCCGAGTATATGATCTATTCTTGAAAATGTTCCATGTGCACTTGAGAAGAATGTGTATTCTGCTGCTTTTGGGTATAGAGTTCTGTAGATGTCTGTTAGGTCCATCTGTTCTAATGTGTTGTTCAGTGCCTTTGTGTCCTTACTTATTTTCTGTCTGGCTGATCTGTCCTTCAGAGTGAGTGGAGTGTTTAAGTCTCCTAGAATGAATGGATTGCATTCTATTTCCCCTTTTAATTCTGTTAGTATTTGTTTCACATATGTAGGTGCTCCTGTGTTGGGAGCATAGATATTTATAATGGTTATATCTTGTTGGATTGACCCTTTTATCCTTATGTAATGTCCTTCTTTGTCTCTTGTGACTTTCTTTGTTTTGAAGTCTATTTTGTCTGATACAAGTACTACAACTCCTGTTTTTTTCTCCCTATTAGTTCCATGAAATATCTTTTTCCATCCCTTCACTTTTAGTCTGTGTATGTCTTTGGATTTAAAGTGAGTCTCTTGTAGGTAGCAGATAGATGGGTCTTATTTTTTTATCAATTCAGTGACTCTATATCTTTTGATTGGTGCATTCAGTCCATTTACATTTAGGGTGATTATTGATAGATATGTACTTATTGCCATTACAGGCTTTAGATTCGTGGTTAACAAAGGTTCAAGGTTAACTTCCTTACTGTCTGAGAGTTTAACTTAACTCACTTAATATGCTACTACAAACACAATCTAAAGGTTCTTTTTTTTTTCTCCTCCTTTTTCTTCCTCCTCCATTCTTTATATATTAGGTATCATATTCTGTACTCTTTGTCTGTCCCTTGATTGACTTTGGGGATAGTTAATTTAATATTGCATTTGACAGCATGTATCTTATGAATCACAGCTATTCCCATGCTCTTCCACCTTCCCACCTCTTTTCATGCTTTTGAGCTTCATATTGCCTTTAGCTGACTTCATACCAAGTAGACTTGCCTGACATGTGTTGAGTACCTTCCCTGTGTATACTGTAGAGCCAGACATAGGGGCTTAACTTCGTAGGACCATTGAGCAGCATACATATAGGTAGTGTAAGAAAACATTGATAAAAGTGCTATGATGGCCCAGCAGAAGAAGTGATTCTTAGCAGCTGGTAAGATCAGAATAGCTGCATTATAGTTAAGAGGTGCCCAACTTGTTGTTCAGTGCTACGATCTCTAAACAAAGTTAGGGACAAGGTCTGGCCAAGAGTGAACTGCTTAGTATGTCTCAGTTTCTGTAGCAGTGCTAGAAGCTTCTACATCCAGCGCCCCACAGCCCCTTCCAGGATGAGGTCCAGATTGTCAGGGCAAACAGACATTGAACCAGTTCTGCTTGTATCTCTACGTTAAAGGCCAGACTTCCCAGCTAGAGGATGGTAGAGGTGCTTCAGGCCCCTGCTAGTCATGCTGCTGGCTGCCAAGCTCTTGACACCATTAGCATAGAGGACTTCATAGTTCTTACTGCTGGGTAACTAGTATCTGAGTGTTCAATACCTTTTCCTTTGTTTCAGCCCTGAGTTTTTGGCATTTCATCTGAGGCTGAACCCATCAAAACTCCACAAGGGCCCTAAGGTTCTCCAAGTTTAACCAGATGCCCTTCATTAGGGATACATTTAAATATTGTCAACACTTTTCCTAAGCTAATGTAATATGACTTGTTTTCTAGCAGGACAGAACTTCCCCCCAATCTTTTTGTTTTGTAACCTACAGTATTTTGAAGCTATATTTGATAATTGACTTGATTTAGGTTTTATACTGCAGCAAAGTATGGAATAGAAGGAAGGGGGCTCGGTATCCAAGGTTACAGCTTTAACAAGCATGCATTTGATTCTGTGGAGGGTTTCACTGTCCTGTAGGGTTGTGTGCAGTCTTCTGCATGACCCAGCAGTAAATTAGGTAGAAGAACCTTGACCCAGGGCATCCATGGACATATATTGAACAATCCACTAGAAGAGAGGGAAGGAGAGATTATGCTATGTACATGGTATAGGTCTCTCCTCTGAATTTAAAAATGAAAACAAATGGTAATGTGCAGTGCTTCAGGAGAATTTTGGCTTTTTTCTTCACTATTCTGTAACTGTCTTTTTAATTAATCTTTTTCAACTACAGAACGTTAACTCTAAAACATTTTATTTATTTAATTTTTTTTAGGTGATTGAAGTATATGACTTGTCTAAAGTAAAGTTAAAATACTGGTAAGTTTTCTCCCCTCTGATATATGTCAGAGGATTGCTACAAATGGGCTTTATGTACTACTGTCATTGAGTTTGTAAAGGATTCCTATCCACAACAGTTCTCAGATTACAGCCTGGTGCCATGATTTCCTAAGGCAGCCTGCGAACCTGCTCAGTTTCCTGGGATCTCTTTCCCTAAGAACACACTGTGTGAAACATGCTTCACATATATGTCAAGTTATTTAATCCTCATAATAAACCGGGACCTCAGCTCAGAGGTGATGTCAGTGTCTCCTGGGTCACTGCTGCCCTCCTCTACAAAACCTCTTTTGGCACCTGTTTATATCTTTACAAGTGACAGATGGGACAGACAAGGGTAATGTCAAAACCTATGCTAAAAAGAATGACAAAGGAACCACCTGCTATTTGGGGGCCAAAATATGCTTTTTAGAATGAAAGTGGGAATGGCCTGTATGATGCACAAGTATTTGAGATCCTATTATGGCAAGGTTTTGTGCTAGCATCTAGAATACTCTGTCCAGTAATGGTTTTCTTATAGGCTTCCCTTTCCCTTTGATGAGGGTGTGAAAGAGCCTAGTTCCTAGGGCTGGCCTTTGCCAGGAGAGGAGTAGATAAAGAAAATGTGTAATAGCTCTGGCCCCCACAGGTTCTAGTTGTCTTCAGTCTTGTTGGGGCCTTTGTACCTCAAGGCCTCACTTCCTTTTACCCTCTTAAGAGTCAGTGGTGGTTAAGAGCATGGAGTTCTAGAGTCAGGCTGCCATGGATTCAAGTTATGACTTCATCATTTTATTACCTCTGTTACGTCACTTAACCTCTTTGAGCTTATTTTTTCATCAGAAAAATGAAACCAATAATGTGGCTGCTGGGTTAGGAAGATTATCTGAGATAAGGCTGGAAAAGCACCTAGCACAATGCCTGGTTAAAAAAGAGGTGTTGCATAAATTATACTAATTTTTAAAAAATTATTCTTGACCTTTAAACATCCTGCTAGAGTCATACATGTCTTATCATCATGCTCATCATCTGGAATCACATGCCCCTTTTATTCCCAACCCCTTCTTCACAACCCAGTTTTCTTTGCACAGGATCCATTCCTCCCTGACCCACCTAACCCATTCACCCAATCTGTGAGTGCTGGCTCTTCTGCCTCTTAAGAACAAACTGCCTTGCTTGGATACACCCTTGTAAGGTGCTTGTCCCTCTTTAACGAAGTTCCTTTTCAAGCCAAACTACTAGTAAGCATCCTGGAAAAACACATTAACACCTTCCATTACTATGGCTGCTCTTTATCCAAGTCCAAGTGTCATGGGGCTGAAACCAGATGTATTTCCTTCTGAACTGTGCCTGGTGACCACCAGTGTCTTAGGAGGCCCTAGAGGATCAATCCTATATATCAGCCTCAGGAGACTTGACTTGTTCTGACCTCATTAATTATCTCTTATTTTAAAAATCTTTAATTAAACTTTTATTTTGATATAATTTTAGACTCACCCACCTGATTTAAGAAAACTATTCCATCTCTAGTGATCTATAAGCCCATCCTTCAAAACCTGATATTAAAAGGTATCTTTGTTTTTCAGTGGAGTGCATTTTAACTCTCAGGCCATCGCTCCCACCATTGAGCAGATCGACCAGTCTTTTGGTGCAACCCACCCTGGAGGTAAGCCAAGCCCATCTGATTCCTCTGGCATCTGTAGCATCTGATTATCTGTCACAGTCCATAGTGACAAACCTGGCAAGTAAATGGTGCCACCTTAGCCCCAATCCCCTACAGCCAGATTACTATAGGATTTGGCAGTTGATACTTGGGTGTGAAGGAAAGCTCCTCCTTTGTTTTCAGCCTACTTGGTCAATTCAGAAATAAGACACAAGGAAGGTGTTTCCCATCATTACTCCCTTCTAGGCTGGTTTGTATTTGTAACCTCTGATGCCATTCAAATGTGTCATCTTCTCTCCACTCCCACAGTGTACAACTCCGCAGAGCAGCTCTTCCACCTCAACTTCAGAGGACTGTCTTTCTCTTTTCAGTTAGACTCGTGGACTGAGGCTCCCAAGTATGAGGTTAGTCCTTCCTTTCCTGTGGTATTTGTTGCCCAGTGTCCAGGTGCTGTGAATCAGCAGACAGTGCCATTAGGGAAGGCCAAATAGGTGCTCCTTCTTTGGAGTACCTCATCTCAAAGGACTTCAGGGACCAAGGTGGGTAGAGTGGGTGGGTTGACAGGAAGAGCAAAGCCCAAGCCGGCCTTCATAGAAAGAGGGCACTTCCCATTGCAGAGTGAGGTCAAGCTTACATTTCATAGATCAGTCTAGTTGTACCTTGCTTTGAAATTCAAACAAATTACTGTGTTTTTTCTCAATGGCCTAAAATCTGAAAGAGTTTATACTGTATCTGCAGTTACCTATTGCTTTTAGCAAAATGTTTCATTCATCCTTAGGCAACAACATGTTTAGGCTTATGAAATGATAGCTTTTCATAAGGCTTACATTTACTAAAGGAGTCCACTCCTGTATTTTCTCCCTGATGATGGAAAGAAAAACCTAAGTAAAATTAAAGAGGAACTTGAATGACTGGAGTAAGTTTATTGACCCAGAGCTAGGTTTGACTATGAGCTTTAACCTGGCCAGTTCTTGAATACCATGAGTTCTGGAGAAATGCCAGAGCCTGGTCACATGGCCTGCAGAGTGCTCTTAGATGAAACTTTTGTCCTGTGTTTGCAGCCCAATTTTGCCCATGGTCTAGCTTCTCTCCAGATACCCCATGGAGCGACTGTGAAACGAATGTACATCTACAGTGGAAACAGCCTACAGGATACCAAGTATGTGGGGTTGGGGTGGGGAAGCATGAGCTTCATGCTAAGGCCATGGGCTCTCTGCTTAGTCCGTGCCTGCCCCCAGGGCTCCTGTGATGCCTCTGAGCTGTTTCTTGGGCAATGTGTATGCTGAGAGTGTAGATGTTCTTCGAGATGGAACTGGACCCTCAGGTTTACGACTTCGCCTACTTGCTGCAGGTCAGTTACTGGCTTTGGGGTAGTAGCATCACCATTACATCCATGTTGAGATAGTCCAAAGTTCTGCCTGCTTAGAGATAGTTGTTAGAAGACAAATGGTGCAGATGTTTATGGTTTAAAGCTTTCATTTAGATTTGTGAAGGAACAAGACATCGTCTAATCATTTGCAAATCTTAATAGGCAACAGGAGTACTACTTCCCTTGGCATGTACATAATATTCAGCTTTGCAGTGGTTTCCACACTGTTCCCTGAAGATGTGTCTTGTGGCCTGCAATATTGTCTGTTCTCCCCTTTTCCACACTTTATGTCCAGTTCTCAGACTAGGCTGGCAGGAGGGACTTATTGAATTGATATTTGGCCACATTCTGCTGAGAATTTTGCTGGCTATGAACAAAAAAAGAGTTGTTCCTTTCGGTGGCTTGTCTCTCCAAGATCCACACCTCATTTTGCAATTTTCTTGTGCCTGGTCAGTATCAGCTACTTTAGACCTTGGATCATGATTTAGTAGTACAGGGATCTCTAGTAATACAGAGTTTGCCTCCACAAATACAGCCTAGGAGCCAACATAGAGACTGTGACTTCATGGAGCTCATAATCTAGCCAGCATTGGTTCATAAGTTGGGGTCTTACATCAGTCTCTGGGGCAGTGGTTCTTAACTGTTAAGAATCTGGTATATAAACTATAAACTCACTCCCTTGAGTAGTTGGGCAGTTCACAATTCCAGGTTGAAAATTTCTTAAAATGTAGTTTTCTAGCCAAGGCAGAACACCAGCTATTTAGGAGTGTTGCACTCAAGCTGTAGTTTCTGAGAGAATTAAGATGGGCAGCAGAGTCAAGTGATAGGGGCTGTCTTCTCAGGAAGATCAGTGCTTGAAATGGCCAGGTAGTCAGTTATCCCAGGTGACAGCAGGAAGAGCCTGTGGGGGCGAGATTCTCAGCAATTCTGACTGCCATCCTGCACAGCCCACTTCTAGCAGTCATATCTCACCACTTATAAGGTCAGTAGGGAAAACACTTAAGTCAGGGCCTCACCAAGTTATTGTCCATCCAATCCACTACTCACTGAGAGCTTTCTTTGGCAAGCAGAAGGGTATCTTGTCTCGAAAGATCCATTTCTCACATCTTCCCTTATGGAGTGTGGCTACAGTAATGCTTTTAACATGGAAAATCAGTTTAACAATAATTTATAGGAAGATTCACTCAAAGGAATCAGAAACTAGAATAGTCTCTAAGGGTAACTTTACCTGGGTAGCTAGTAGACAAGAGAGAAGACTCACCTTTGAAGGGTGCCTTTCCTGCAGCGCCATCTGAATATTCCAGGTATGTGGTAGCTGGAGATGTTGGGTACACGGTCCAGCTTGACAAGACTTGGTGGGTACTCCAGGTTAACTGTGTTTGCCTAAGCTACATAATTGATAGACAGAGATTAGTGTGAACTATGCTTTTCCCAGTATCTAATTCATTTAAATACAGCCTTTATTTGCCACTTAGTGTGTATGTGTTGTGACTAAAGACTCTTGGGTTAGCTGGAGAACTTGGTACCTAGTTATTTCAGATTTTGGATCCCTGAAGTCTTCTGTATATAACAAATGGATTGCTAGACATGAAAGAGCTTTGGCAACTGTAAAGCCCTGTGCAGTGTAAGGTGATTGCTGTTATTCATGGTACCAGGAATTGTAGTCCTACTTGAGTTTTTGGCTTTCTTTTCTATTTTGGGCAAAACATTTTGTATACCTACCCCTGTGGAAAAATTTTATTATTGGTGTGTCTGTTGCTCTTCCACAACCACTTCCGTGTGTGTATGTGTGCGTGTATGATGGAACCACTTCTGAAGTGTATTAGACAAAGTCAGGATGTAAAGATTCTTCCCAGAGAAGAAACTTTTGGCAAATCAGGTTATTTCATTCTCCCACTTTTCTAATTTGTCTCTTTCTGATGTTAGTGGGTCTATCAGGTATGTGTTAAATTAGGAAATAAGTTAATGTGTGCTTCACTCTTGGCTATTCTATAGAGTAATCTTCAGGTTCATTCTCTGGTTTAAGGTTAGCACTGAGAAGTATCTCTTAACATAAATCTTTGTATCTTGTCAGAATCTGGAAAGTGGCAAGAGATAATAGCACCCCATTGTATACTTCCATAGCACCTCTGCTGCAGCTTGTTGCAGCACAGTTGTGTGATCTGATTAGGATCTTCACACCATATGCTCCAATGTGGGCAGAGACTGCACCTGTTTTACTCACCATTGTGTCCTCAACATCTAGCAAAGTGTCCTAGCCCATGGTAGTCAATACATAAATATTTGGTAAGTAAGTGAATAGTTTCCAGAGTTCCACATCACTTCTGTGGGACTCAGTGAATCTCTGGCATTCTTTTCAGTAGATAGTGATCTCTTGTACACAAGCCCTGGTTACTTGTATTTCTACTTGTATGCAGTCTTACCCCCGAAGCAGAATTGGTAATGCACCATGCAGCCAGTGGCCTCTCTGGAGCCCCCAGGGCCTGGGCTACAGGATCTCAGGCCCTGACTGGAACCCTGACCACTTTTCCCTTGTTCTCTGCAGGTTGTGGACCTGGCCTATTAGCAGATGCCAAAATGCGGGTATTTGAACGTTCAGTGTATTTTGGAGATTCTTGCCAAGATGTTCTTAGCATGCTTGGCTCTCCACACAAGGTTTTCTATAAGTCAGAAGACAAGGTAGGGGAAATGTGTTTATAGAGTGGATAGGCAGTCTCCTAATTTTGTTTTTTAATCAGCATAACTTAATATTGAATAAACATGAACTGTTTGCCATTTTCCTATAGAATCTGTTCTATTAAAACTGATAGGAAAGTAAATCCAAAGTTCTTCGCCTACCCCTTTGATCAGATTGTTCTGCTTTTCTTTGGATACCAGGACCCAGTCTTTAGTCAATCAAAGTTTTATGGGTTGTTCAGCACCAGTAGCTGGGACTCCATACTCTTGCTTACCCAACAGCTTAATGTTATACAGAAACTCAATTTATAGACTTCATTTGATCCAAGAACTGTTGAAGTGGTTGGATTTTAATTTGCTGTGATTTTTTTCCTAACAGATGAAAATTCATTCTCCTTCCCCTCATAAGCAAGTTCCATCCAAGTGCAATGACTACTTTTTTAACTACTTCACTCTCGGAGTGGTAAGTTGTGATGTCTTAGAGAAGCATTCCATTTCTTTTGGGGGGTGGGCAGTGTACCTGGGCACAGCTGTTACCATGCCTAGCAGCTGGCTATGTGCCCAGTTTTGTCTTGCAGTGGCATTGGTACCCCAAAATAGGCCTTCCCTGCCCCTAAGATTGCTGAGTTCCCTGGCAGGTCTTGACTTCTTTTCTGAGGAAAACATGTGACATAGGTGGAAGCTGTGGGAATCACTCAGATTAAGATGCTTTGGGAACTGGCCTTTTGTAAAGCATAGGATCCTTTTCTGGAGTCACAAAACAGGGAGACTAAAAAGTCTCAAAAATAGTGGGAGTGTGATTACGTATTTTGAGGGATCATCCCAGAGGCATTGCTGCAACTCTGCTCTAGACCTAAGGTGCTGAGAGGAGCTGGTAACCACCATTGGTTATGACTTCCCAGCTGGTAGATGAGATGCATGTGTGAGAAATGATGGTGTTCACACTGCACCACATCTCAGGGCAGGGCTGGCATGGACCTTGGGTCTTCTAACCTTTAAGCTTTTTAGAGCCTGAGGTCCTGAGGTAGCAAAGAAAGGGTGAATTCCAGAGAAGGAGAGAGGAGAGACTGGGTCTACCAAAGAGGAGCCAGGATTAGTTGGGGAGTGGCAGTGAGATCGTAAACTCTGGAGGGTGGGAGGGAATGGCACTGTTATAATCTGGACCTCTTTTGAGTGTCAGAGCCAGTGATGCTGTGTTACAGGGAAGATAGAAAGAATGGACAAGCCCTAATAGGACTTAGTGTAGGACTGTTGGTGAAGGAGTGGAATCAGGTAACCTTGGGGTCACAGACCTGAATAGCTGGCAGGGTGTGAAGCTGGGAAGGGTATGGGGATAGGAGGAAGTGTTCAGTAGGCAGCATTAAATCCAGGTCTGAGTCCTGGTGAGAGGCTGGAACTTCAGTTCCAGGGGTTGCTGACTTCCACAGAGAGGGCCTAATGGAAGCCAGAAGCATCTGGCAGGCTGTGGTGTTGAGAATTGCCAGGTGGCTTGAGCCCCTCGAGACTACCAAATCTTCTTGGTAGTCTTTAAGCCAAAATCTCTTCTTGGTTAGATTTTTTTATCAGGTGCTTGTTAGGAAAGATCTCTTTGACATGTCTGAGTTCCCAAGCAGTGGAAGCTGTAGCCCCCTGTACATGCTGGGCCTGCTGCTACAAGGTTTGGAATGGGGAGGTCTATAGATGGTTGGGTTCACCTCACCACCACCACTGAAAATGTCCAGTGAAGGCTATGTGGTCTCAGCTGTCCCCTTGACTATTGTTTGGGAGAAAGCTGTTGACCATGGGCATCCCCACGGTGAAGTAGATGTCTCTGAATTGGACATGCCCTAGAAAGTCCCCTGCCCTCTTTCTGTAAGTTTCTGTACTTGGGCATACTTGTTTTCTCTCCCAGGACATCCTCTTTGATGCGAATACACACAAAGTGAAGAAGTTTGTCTTACACACCAATTACCCCGGGCATTATAATTTTAACATGTGAGTACACTGTACCTGCCCCTATGGGAAGTGAGCTTTGGGCTGAAAATCCCCAGGAAAGGGAGCTTGTGGCTTTGGATGTTCGCTACACCTGACATTGTCCACACCAGAATTCTTGCTGTTTTGTGGGAAATAAACATTTCCTGAGGGTTTTCTCTTTCCTGGTTTATAGCCAGTACCTTGTGTCTTTCCATTTGTTACCCATTTTACAAGTAGGGAAAGCTCAGTGTCTTACCCAAAGTGATAGGGTCTTTGGACCCCAGAGCCATGCCCATTTCATTTGACTCTAGTGCTTGAATCTGGCCTCCCCCAGGAAACACTGTGTCAGGCCCAGAGCCAGGGCTGTGGGCAAGTGTGCTTGATTCTGTTTTTCCTGGGGTGCAGGGTTGAGATGTGGGGTGATCAGACCTCCCAGGAGACCCAGACTTTATCCATCTGCCTCCTCTCTCTAGTTACCACCGCTGTGAGTTCAAGATCCCACTAGCCATAAAGAAAGGTGAGTAGTGAATGTCCCTAGGGTAAGGAATGGGTTTTGGGGTCAGTCTTTCATGATAAGAGACAATGATCCAAGTAGAGAGAATGTAGTGGTTGAGTTTGTAGAGCCTTTGCCCACCTGATTTCACCAGAAGCCTCAGCTCCTCTGGGTTGGGCTCTTTTTTCTAGGGGCTACAATCTTGTGTGACTGTGGAATTGGTGGTCTCTAGGGAGGAGAGTTTCCAGTCTACAGTTGATTCATCTAGATGCTCCAGCCCAGCCTCATGTCTCTTGTCCACTGCTGGTTAGTGTAGCTCACACCTAACAGACCCCTTCAACCCTCCACTCTCTTGTACTCAGGAACTCTCAAACAGCCAGTCTATCCTCACTCCATCCTGCAACTCCAGTGCAAAAGGGGCCAGGTCTGGATTCTGCCTAGGGATGGAGTCACAGGTGGGCTGAGCCCATCTATCTGAGCAGGTGTGGAACTGAACTCAGGCTGGGCCAGCTATCAATCATCCCATATTCTCTTTTCAGAAAACGCAGATGGTCAGACAGAAACATGCACGACCTACAGCAAGGTGAGCGCTGACTTTACCACCTGACACAACCCAAAAATGGGATGGGCGTGAGCCTGTCAGCAGTCTGGAGCCCATGTCCTCTGGGCCAGCCATTGGTCATAGGTATGATCAGGTCCCTGCTTACCCCTTGCCACCCCATCCCTCTTGCAGTGGGACAACATCCAGGAGCTCCTGGGCCACCCTGTGGAAAAGCCTGTCATCCTGCACAGGTGAGTTGAAGGTTGCTGTCTCTAACCACCCCATCCTGGTCCTCATAGCCCAGAAGGTCCAGGGAAGCCTACAAGTGGGTATGGCTTAGAAATGACAGAAATGTCTAGTGTTGCCACAAACATACTTCCTGCCCTCACCCTATGCATTAGGAATGGGCTAGCTATTCTGCATGTTTACCTGTACCAGAGAGGTTGCTCCCTGGGGATAGCCCCTTCTTCCACCTACCTCCATATGTGGGGGCCCTTTCACTCCTAGTTATTGAGAAAGGAAGGCAGTTTTGACTGACTGTCCTGGGCTCTTTTTTTACCCATCAAAGCTGCTCCCTGTTGTAGTTAGTTCTCAGACCAATACCTGGTTACCATGCTGCCTGAGGCTCCCTCTCTCTCCTGATTTCTCCCCACCCTAGCCTAATTGCATGATTGTCTATGCTCTGTTGGACTGTGTAGGATTCAGAGCTCAAGTGAGGCCTATCACTGCCCCTGGGACCTGAAGGGCCTATGTGGGAAACATACAGCCAGGAGAGACCACTAGACATAGCCCCCATTCCAAAAAGAACTGGATGCTTTGCCTGGCCTCAGCCTCTGTCTGCCCGTCTAATTCTGGCTTCCCTGGCCTCAGGTCCTCCTCCCCAAACAACACCAATCCATTTGGCTCCACATTCTGCTTTGGTCTTCAGCGGATGATCTTTGAGGTAAACCCTGGGGTTGATGGGCTGGTGATCATGGTAGGAACAGGCAGATGATTGAGAGAGATTGGGGAGTGCCTAACAGCCCTGCTGGGCAGGTTAATCCTTCCCCAACAACCCTGTCAGCCAAGAACCTGCCTACACACATTCAACAATGAGAGTTCAGAAATTATGTTGGGGAAATTCAGGGTAATGGAGGCTAAAGCAGTGATCTATATCCAACAAGATGAGAGGTAACAGGGATCCCACATTTATATCTGAAAACATTATATTAGGAAATGGGACTACAGGGCAAGTAGAGCTCAGCCTGGGGGTGTTTTGAATGCCATGTGAATGAACGTGCTGTGGGTGAGGCCCCACTGGCTTGGGAGAATGGGTTTCTCCTGTTTTTCCTTCTAGGTGTCATATCTTCAGCCAGCCCCTAGCAGTTCCCAAAGAACTGGACAAATAAGCTTAGTTTATGGACCCCATAAGGAGCAGGCAGCCCCTGGGGCAGAGATGACTCCTAGCATGTGTTGGGGGATGTTACAGGATCAGCCCAGCCATGTATGCTAGTGTGTTGCATGCATCACCTCCAGACCCCATGCCTGGGAGCTGCTGCCTCAAGTCCTTTCTCTGCAGTAACAGCCCCAGTATGATCCCACTGGTGGTTTCTGTGGGTCTGACTGCCTGCTTTGCCTACAACCCTTCTGTTTCCCCTTGACTTGCTGTCCTCTTCTCACACCAGGTCATGCAAAATAACCACATTGCCTCGGTGACCCTGTATGGCCCCCCAAGGCCTGGTGCCCACCTGAGAACAGCAGAGCTCCCCTAAGGACGTCATCGCCCATGCCCCTCTGCCCCATGGAACTGTGCATTGCATCCTGCTCAGCAGGCTTCCATGTGCCTCCCTGTGGGTTTTCTTGGACACCTTGCCAGTGTTGAAAGGCTGATGTGATGTTCTGATGTAGGGCTCAGGCTAGGTGCTCTGCCATGGGGTGAGCAGCCCAGATGTTCCTCTGTCTGTCCTCAGCCTGCTGGTGCCAACAGGGAACACAGACTGCAAAGAGAAGCACAAACTCGGGACCCAGGCGCTCTTGACTAACACATAAGGAGGCAGGGTTCTGTCTCCCCTGTCCACACACATTGGGAAAACTTGGGACTCTTCCATGGCTGAGGACACAAGTACCCAGGACAAGGACAGGATGCTGCCTTTGGCCCAACATTGCCGCATGACCCTTAAGGCAAGCAGGTAGCATGTCCATAGTACTTGGTTGTGACTTTTGCACTACATCCACTTTAGTTACTTGATGAGCTGGCTGTGGCCAAGGTGGCCCACCTGCCCTTCCCTATTGCTTTCTTGTCTGTGCTCCCGGCCAGGCCCAGTAGGCACACCCAACTGGTTGAAACACTGCTTTCTGCCATCCAGGTACATGCCCATGCCTGATTCCCACACCTCTTGGAGCCAGCATTCAAGGTTGCCTGTCCTCCCACTTTGCCTCAACTTTGTTGGCAGGCTGCATGTTTCCATCCTATTTGCCTCTTTTATTTAATGCCAAAGTTTTAGCCAAAGACATCTCCCTCCTTTTATTGTGTTGCAGCATTCTTTTCTGCACTGTGGGCTGGCTCCCCTGCTCCAATCCTTAGACAGTGTCCCCAGGCCAGGCCCATTCGTAACTCAAGGCCTCTGGGGGCTCAAGGAGGGCTGGGCTGCTCAGTTTCTTCATGGGTCTTGCTAAGGAAGGTAGCATACGTGCTTTACAAATATTAATCCTTTTGAAAAGAATTGAGAAGAGAAATGTATAATTTTATCCCATTTTTAATATTTTGGTCTAGCAACTTGTGATACATAGATGACAATTTTGTGAGTTTTTCAAATGTGTGTATAGATTTTTGTAAATATGACTTTTGTAATTAACTCATGTACAGCCTCATCCTGTATAGTTTAACAATGAATGTGCAGGGGACCTGCCCTGGGCTTCTTTGTGGTTTCTGGGCCTACAGCCAAGCTTGTGTGGCACTCCCATGACTTTGTGACTGACTGGTGTCTTCCCATTTGGACTGTGACCTGGCCAGAGGACCCCACACACACATCCCACTGTTGGGGCAGCCAGGACTGTTCCCATACTCCTAGAACGGTGGAACCTTCCTCATTCCCTGCCCACATCCCTCCTCCAATAAAGACCTATGCACTCAGCAATGGCTCATCATGTGCTATTGCTGGGATGTTTGTACTAAAGTAAGCGTGGGGGAGTTGATTTTTTTAGAAAGGGGGTGGTTAAAGAATATGGGAAGATTTGTAGTGGTGTTATCTTAGAAGAGGTTCCTAGGCTTCTGAAGAAGGTAGCCTCTGGCAGGAGACTGACACACTTGTGTGGGTGTAGGTTCTTGGGTAGTTGGAGATGAAAACTAGATAGGACAGTACACTCATGTGTCCCTGTGTGCCTGCCCATCTCTGGTGTTCCAGCCAGACCTGGACCCAGAAGGAGTTGCCTTCAGGATAGCAGACCTTGGAAGATCCAAAGACCTGGACAGGGCTGAAAATCCAATTTGGTGGGGCAGGTAGGAAGCAAAATACCTACTTTCAGAATGAGTTGTGGCAGAATGCCTGCCAGTTCCTTGAGACCTGAGCCACCCCCACCATGCTGTGGGGACCTGGCCTTAAAAAATATCTGCATTTGTCAGCATCCTGGGGGTTCCAAACCAAGAAGTATGATCAGATTCCATGAGCCTCTGCCACTCCTCCCACCCACAGATATACACCAATTATTTGGTACTAGGAGGACCAGACATGTCTACCTGCTTATTAGCAAAGAGCCTGGCGCTCTACCACCTCACCCTGGCTATCTAAAATGACCTCCATTTGATTGATTCCAAACCGTCTCCCAGTGTGTGAGCCAGCAGGGCCAAAACTCAGTCTTCATTCCTTGGGATCCTGTGGAAGCACTTAGCGATACAGGGCTAGAGCCTAAAGTCTTCTACCCTGTTCTCAGGAAAAACTACATACACCCACAGTAATCTGCCTCGGAAACCTCAGCGTCAAACTCCATCCTACTATATTCTGGGTTGGAATGAAGGGAGCTTGGGGCTGTAATAGGTGACTAGGGGCCCCACTGGAAGGGGCCAGCAGCAACAGGTCGTGGATGTGCACAGGCTGGCCCGTGTGGCCCATGCAGCAGGTGCCACATAAGCCAGATGTCTGCAGCAGAGAGCCCATGCACTACAACCAGCTCACGGTAAAAGCAGGGGTCAAAGGTGTGTAAGTGAGGTGCAGCTGAAGGCCGGGGGATGCCAAAGGTACGGAAAGCAGGGTGAGACTCAGGGGTGAGCCGCAGGCGCTGTAGACACATGCCCAGAAAGACGTCGTCGATGGGGAAAAGCTCAACCTGTGCACAGGCACCGGCCAGACGGCGCAGTGTGGCTCCCGAAAGCACGAAGCCACCGCCACCTGCGTAGGCAGGGTAGGCAGGCAGGCCGTACACAGCTTCCGGGATGTAGTATTTGCTGGCCCGCGCTCGTATTGGCCGTGCTTGCACGATCACGTCACCCGCAAGCAGGTCCTGTGCAGGGTCACGGGGTGCCAGGAACTGCAGTAGGTTTCCCACGTGGACAAACACGTCCGAGTCGCCCTTAAAAACGAAGCGCACGTTAGGGCAGTAGGCTGAGGCCCAGGCCAGAAAGTGGATTTCCTTGAGCGTTAGGTTGAAGAAAGTGTCATCAAAGGCCCAAAGCAGGATGTCCGCGTAAGCTCGGCTCTCAGCACGCAGCAGGGCCCTCCAATGCGTTGGCGTGCCTGCCCCCTCCGCCTCCGCCCCCTCTGTGCCCGCACCCCTGGGCACGCCCAGTAAGAACACACGGCGCACCAGCGCCCCCTGCACGCGACCCTCAGCACCCCACGTCTGGCGCACGGCTTGGCGCCGCTGGAAGTCAGCCGCCACTGACTTGACAGCGATGAGCAGGTCGGGTCCGCCGCCGGGGGCGCCATCTCCTTGGCACTTGTGTGGCTGGTCAATGAGCAGGGGGAAGCGTCGCTGGTCCTTCGCGCGCAGGTAGCGGCCGAAGTCAAAGGGTCCGGTTGGCGTGGGCGGCTCCGGCGTGTCCTCTTCGTAGACCGGCGGGACTATGCCCGCATCCAGTGCCTGAAAGGCGCGGAGCTGCGGGCTGGATCCTGGGGCTGCCACACCTTGTGCTCGCGGCGCGCTCGTCGTCGGACCCGCGCCTTCGCGCTGCGCATAGAGCAGAAGGCCGAGGACGGCGCCGAGAAGCAGCGTGAGCGACGCGTCCCCGCGTAGGCGCAGCCTCCGCCTCATGTCCGTGTAGTCGGCGCCCGCGCCCCCTGCGGAGAGAGTCAGGGGCTCGGGGGACGCGGAAGCCAGCAGCCGGCAGGGGCTCGCGGCCCCGCCCTCCCCGATGGGAAAGGGTAGTGGGCCACACGCCAGGGGGCTCCGGCTACCGGCCGTTCATCTCCCTCCGGTGGTCTGAGCCCCTAACCGTGATGGGCGCCTGAACGAGCTGTTTCTCCTAGTGGCCAAGTACCACCCCCTCAGCTCCAGCCCAAGACGGTGCCCCAGGACCGGGACTGGGAGACTTGAAGCATTGGCCCCACCCCCCGCTCTACTTCCCCGCGCTGAAGCTGAATCCCTTCTACCCGTCCCTACCCACCACGTTGGTCCTTGAGATTCCGACACTCAGACACTCACGCTCGTCCCTTGGGAGCGGCGTGGCCCCGGACGCCAGAGCCCCCGGGGCTCAGCGCATGGTCCCAAGGGCGGCCATGGATGGGGCCTGGGCCAAATGCAGCGTTGGCAGGAAGGGGGGCCCGGGCTGCTGCCACGTGACCCTTAAGCTTTGAGCTCTCGGACATCTGGAGCTCAGCTCCGCCCCTGCGCCGCCCGGGAGCACTGTCTCCTAGTGGGGACTAGTAGAGGGATCTTCACAGGCAACCCTCTCTGGGCAAGCCCGAAGAGATGGATTCTGGGCTCGGAGCAGGCTCAAAACCCCGAAATCCACCCTTCTGGAGGGATTGGGGGGCCGGAAGAAGCATTAGCCTCTCTGGTTAGTCTCCCCTCCCCTGCCTTTCCAGAGTAGGACAGGGGGGTCCCAAATCCCTGGTCTACCAGGCAGGGCCCATAAACTGCTGCCTCCTTACTCTGGGGTTGGCCATGCCTCCCAGCATGTGGGCGCGCGCACACACACACACACACACACACACACACACACACACACCCCTCACTCAATTTTCACAACAACCCTGGCAGTAGCTCTCATTGCTCATGCCCAGATGGAGATACTGAAGTGTTAAGTGACTTTCCCAGGATCATACAGGAGTAAGGTAAGAACACTGCCCCAGGTCTTCTGGGATTCAGCCTAAGGACTCTGCTGTCCTCCCTTGCCTCTCTCCCATCCATTCACTGGGATACAGGACAGGGGTCCAACCCTGTCTTAACTTCACAGGTGAGCACAGCAGACCGTGTCCCAAGAGGCAGTTCTGAGTCCTCTGGTCCCTAGAACTCCAGGCCAGCATAGTCTCCTGCAGGTAGAAATAACCAAGCCTGGGTCACTGCAGGCTAGGTTGGGCTGGCCAGGATTGGTTTAGCTTGGGGGACTTCTGAAGTAGGCCAGAGAGCAAAGGGTTTAATGTGGATCCCAGGTGGATAGAGAGGTGCTCTGGAGATTGTGCCCAGTCCCTGCCTAACTCTGCTGCCAGCTCACTCTTTCTGGAACTCAGAGCCTCCAGGTCCCAGCCCGTGCAGTGAGCCCTGGAGTAGACAAATCCCACACCCCACCCCAGAGATTGTGAGGATAGGCTACAGGAACCAGAACTGCCATGCAGCACCATCCTCTTTCCAGTCGCTATGCCTTCTCCTTCTGACTTCTTCCCACGAATGTTTTCCTTTAAAAAACCAACCCTCCATCTTGAGCCTCACTCTCCTGTTCACAGACTTCTCAGGAGTCCTCTACTCTGGCTTTCTCCACCGCCTCACCTCCCATCCCTGCTGTGATCTGGCTTCAGGCTGTCCCAGATGTCCCAGAAACAGCCCCCACCTTTTCCCTAACACCGGTGGACACTCTTCAGTATTGACCAGTCTGCAGCCACCATCACAGCAGGTGAGTAGTCCCCTGGCTTCCAAATCACCTGATTTTCCTCCTTCCTCTTTGAGCTGTTTTTCTGGTTGGTGTCCTTCAGGATCCCACCCACTCCCACTCCCACCTACTTCCACCTGTCCATCCATGAATCTTTAGCCCTCTTCCCTGAACTCAAAACTCTCTCCCTGTATGTTCTATAGGAACATCATGCCCAATTTGTCTTGAACAGAGCAAGCACTTCACCTCCCCCAGAGCTCCCATCTAAGCAGGCAGCCCATCCTCCATCCAACTGGCAAAGGCAGAAACTCTGGGGTCCTCTCTCAACTCACTCCACATCGTGTCATCAGGCCTGTTATCCTTCCTCCCAAACACCTCTCAGCTTCATCCCTTCTCTCCATCTCTGCTGCCACTGCCCCAGCCCCAGCCTGAGCCACCATCTCCTCTCTTTCTCTCTCTCTCCATCCTTACCAGCCTCCCAGTCCTAAATCCTGAAATCCTTTAAGGGCTTCTCACTGGCCTCAGTATAAAATCCAAACTCTGTAAAATGGCTTACCAGACCCCATCTTTCTGCTTCCCTCCTTTACCAATGGGTCTCTCTGCAAATCCACCCACCTCTAGATCCAGCCACTGTAAACTTTGTTCTTCTAACATCCTCCCTGTCACCTTCCTCAAGACATCACCTGAGACTGGCAATGCCCAGAATATTGCCCTTCTTTCAACTCCCAACCTCTTACCCTATTCACACTAATCTCCCAGGAAGCCTAACCCTTAACCTGGGTTAGGGCCCTGCTTGCTGCTCCCACAACTCCTTGTATTTTTCACATAAAAACAAAAACAAAACAGGTAATATTTTATTACCATTGCTTAATATTTGGAGTCCCACACTGAGTGTGAACTGGTGACAGACAGGATTTGTGTACGGTGTTCACCACAGTATTTGCAAAACCCAAAATGACTCCTAGGATACAGCAGGTGCTTAGTGAGTAGTTGTTCAGTGGGTGAAGAGGTAAGAGCTGGCCAGAAGCCCCTCTTCTGGGGTGGGAGAAGGTGAGGCAGACCTCCGTGGCAGGTCACCCACTCTGTCTCTATCTTAGTATCTACAACTGAATCCCTAATGGCACCTCAATAGGCACCCGTGGGTGTTTGTCCATCTCCTGGAGAAGGTAGTCAAGTCTGCCCAGAAGCTCCAGCAGTTCAGCTAAGTGGGGTTCTAATTTTGGTCTCAGAATCGCGTGGATGGACAGGAGGTCATAAGTAGCAGCAAACGGGACCCTAGGGTCATCTAGGTGCTCCAAACCCTGGGCAACTGGCTGACCGCCCCTTTCTATGGTACCCAGCCTAGGCCAGGCCGCCATCGGGATTCACCAGGCCCAGCAAGTTCTCTGCCAGGCTGGTAAGCTCGTTCTCCTCGAGCGCCTCCACTAGGCGCTGCAGCGTGGCGCGGCGGCCCTCGGCCTGCACGAAGCGCCGCAGCAGCTGGAACGCCTGCTCGTACAGCCCTTCGCGCTCATACTCATAGGCCAGTGAGTCGAGCGCCGGGTCCCGCAGGGCAGGACAGCCGCGCTGCAGGGAGCGCCCCACCTTGCGCCATTTAAGGCCCACTGAGCGCGCAAACGTCTGTTGGTCCTGCAGGCTCAGCGGTCGGTTCACTGTTGGAGGGAATGGAAAGTGGAGTGAGCTGGCACCGCAGACCGGTACCCTTTCATCCCCGCCCTACTGCTGCCCCACCCAGACCTTGCTCCTCCCTAAACCCCATCGTCCCGGTGACCCAGCCTCTCTCCGCCTCTCCGCGCACGCCTCACCTACGGGCTGACCCTGGAACAGAAAAGTCTGGCCGGATGACGGTGGCTTTTCTGATGGAGTGGGGGCCGGAGCGACCTCCACGTCGCCGCCCTGGCTGCCCGAGCTGCACGTCAGACTCTGGAATGCATCCTCCAGCTCAGCGAGTTCCTCGTCGCGGAGCCGGTCGGGCTGGGGAGGGGAATGCAGCGTCGGTGGCAATCTTAGCCGTGGATACCCGTCCCGTCCCACCCTGGCACCAGCCCGGCCGCACCTTCTGAGCGAAGATACAACTCAAACAGCGTTCCTCATCCGCCAGCAAGGCGTCCAGCCGTTCCGCGCCGGCGCGCAGCTCCAGTTGCAAGGGCACCGAGCGCAGGGCAAGCACCGCTGCCAAGCACCCTTGCAGCACGGCGTGCAGCGCCCCCTCGCGGTAGGCGCGGAGGAAGCGGCCGCAGAGCTGACGCCCGCAAAAACGCAGCTGCACAATCAGCTGCGGGTCGTTGCGGTGGATCTTGAGCATCTGTGGCACGTCGGGGCTCCCGCCGATCTCTGAGGAGACGGGCAGTCAGGTGCCAGGCGGTCCCATGCGGGCTCATTCTCCAAGGGACCGAAGAAGGGGTGAAGCCCGCAATCAGACCCCCTCCCCATCCCCAGACCTTGGGGACTCGGGGTTATTTTTACCCTAAAGCCCCTAGTTGGCAAACAAAATGGGATGCAGACAGCAACAACATATATGAAGGCCAGGACATATCAGAAGGAGCACCCTACGATGGGGGTGGCTGCCACCCCAGCCCAATCCCTGAAACCCCAAATGAGGGTGGGCAAATGGACGTAGGGAGAGACTTCACAGCAGAGGAACAGTTGCCAAACCGTGTAGGTAGGCAGCCGGCAGGGCAGCAGAAGGGCGAGAGGTTTCAGGAATTCGGTCCCATCAAGTGCAGCTCCCACTGACCCCAGAATGAAAGGGGCTTTCACTGCTCTAGGGTAATCCCCCAAACGGCTTGTCTCCTGTGGCCTCTGCCCTGAGATGGGAAAGGGGGACCCTAAAGGTAGGTACTGGGGAGTGGGTCTTGGGCAAGGAGTGCTGCAGTGAGAGGAAAAGAAGAGAGAGATGTGTGATTAGTAGAAGCAGTGAGCCAACTGGTCTACGGAGTGGGGGGTGGGGGGTACATCAAGCAGAGGGACATTAGTGCACACATAGGTAGATCGTACTGACACGGGGACATATTTCTACACTCAAGGGCACATGTGCATAAACAGAGAAGACAGAACCTCTGCAACCAAGTAATGCGGTGGTTAAGCACAGGCCCATTGTTGAGGAGGTGGGGTCTCCGCCCCTGATCCCGCCCGGCAAAGGCCTCAGGCCACCCCTCCCTCTCCAAGTGGCCCACCTACCCACGCACCTGCCAGTGCAGTCCTGAGAGCCCTGTATACCGCCATCTTCTGTTGAGGGTGAGCATAGGCATCCGAGAGAACTACCTTATCCAGTGAGGACTCCACAAACAGGTAGGCGCTGCCCACCCACTTCTCGAGCCCTTTTGGCTCAACTGTCATCTTGCCTTTGGAGACATGGATAATCAGACATCCAGATCACCTCCAACCCAGCACTCCAACCCCATACAGCTGGCACACTACACTTTTGATGTTAAGTTCATTATCCCATAGGCAGCCCTGTGCTTCTGGTTCTGTACAGCCCAGCCTAGCCCAGCCTTGCAGTAAGGAATCCCCTCCACTGCCTTCTCAGGAAAAGCCCAGGGTCACAGTAGTGGGAGAGGAGAGATACTAGTCTTGCAGGAGAGAAGAGAAGTTTTGCCCCTTCTTCAGGCAGGATCTCTCTTACCAAAGCTGACAGAAGATATTTTCATCCTGGATGGTGCCAATGTCCCACAGCCAACAGGACTCATGTCCTGCTATGCCCTCAGCTTAAACTTGAGCCCCCAGGATCCCTGTGGGCTACAGTTTCCCGTAGGTTTTCTCACCTGCATTCCTACTGTATCTCCTGGCTTCATTTCAGAGCACACCTACAGTTTGGACCTGCCCAGATTCCCTCCCATAATCCCGATTGGGTCCTCTTCCCGTTTCTCGACCCCTGTGCCTGTTGGAAGGGCTGGCTCCACTCCCTAGCTTCAGGTGTGGGCATGTGAAACTAACCTGGCCAATCTGCATATTCCATTCACCATTCTGAAATTAGAGTTGGGTGGATTCAAGTTAGACCAATCAGAATCAATCTGCAACTTTGGTTGGGCCAATTAGGAAAGAGGCACTAGTTTCTCTTCCTGGGCTGAGCTGGAAGGAAGGGCTGGTCTCCTCTGCCAACTGCCTGGGAAGAACCTGGCTGAGAATGAAACTCATAGAAGAATCTAGAGCCGAGAGATGGGAGAGGTACATTCTTAACCATACTATGCCCCCTAGCTGCACCCTGGACTTTCCAGGTATGTGTGCTAAATCATTCCTTTTTGTCCTTGGAGCTGAGTTCTTGTCAAATTGTTCTATTACAGGTTCCTTCCCTGTCTAGACAGCCTTTTAGCGCTAGTACCTCCATCTATCTTTGGAGAGAATCCCTAGTCCTAGACCAAAGGGCAAAATTCCCAGCCAGGGAGCCACTGCACTGACCCTCTTCAGATGGGGAACCTTCCTCCCCACCTCACCCAAGGCAACATCCTACCCTTCTACTAGAAAACTAGGCCCAAGATACCACCTCCTGCCTCACCAGTCACACTTCTTTACTCTCTGGTCTTCATTTACACATGGTGGGCTAGGACAGTTGCTGAGCCCCGGTTGTGAGCACCCTAGACCTCACTGCTCTGGGCAAGACAGATGGGATTTGCCCCAGCTGGCATCCATTTGCATAAGGGATAGGGAATCTCAGATGAGGGTTGCCAAGAGGAGGCAGGACCACAGTCTTGGACATTGCTGGGGAAGGTGAAGGGATCATGAGCCCAAAGCAGAGGCTGTGTTTCAGATCAGACCCTAACCTGAGAGCCATAGCTGGGACAGTAAATGCGCAAGGTTCTCCAGCATCATGCAGACTTCGCAAGAGAAAATGATAGCTGGTAATGGTCCCACCCTGGATCTGAGCACAGAGGACATGACTTCTGAGCACCCCTGCCCCCCAACACACCACAGCCTTTTGGTAGAAAACATAATACTTGTGTATTAACCCAAGACAACAGTCTGGAAATTAACAGGAAGTTAACATTGTTTACCTAGCGGTGGGAGTGGGGATTATTTTCATTGTATTCAGCAATACTACTTTATGTAAAATAGACACATTTCCTTTGTATTAAAAGGCAAGAGAATTTTGTTTTTCTTAGAAAGGAAAAAAAACCGAGATTCTGTAGGTGACAACTGGGATCAAGAGCAGTCGGGAGACAAGTAGAGAATTCTGGAGAAGCAGCCAAAAAAAGGGTAGGATTGTGTGGGAACCTGCCCTCAAAACATTTCCTCTTTTGCATCTTCTTAGCCCCCCGACTTCAGGATGATGACCAGATGGATGTGGTCTCATCCCAAGGGGTGGAAGTGGGGTTGGGAGGGGGCCAGAGTTTGCCCGTAAGGCCTGCGGGGGGAGGGAGGCACTGGAAGCATCGGAGAAGGGGACTAGACTAATGGGAGAAAGTCCAGCAGGTCCGACAGGCTAGAGGTCGAGAGAGTCAGGTAACAGGATTGAGAAGAGGCCCGATCCTTGGTTCCCGCTGTCCCCTTGGGAACTCCTTCCTACGAGTCCTAGCACAGAAGCCCCTTCTTGGAAAGCCCCGTGTCCCACCCACCCCGAGTCCGCCCCTCTTGGGTCTGGGCCAGGGTGGGTCCTGGGAACTCTTAGCTGGGCTGAGGCTATGAGGAACACGGGGGTACCGACTCAAGAAAATAACGTCCCTACTACCAGGGTCCAGGCTGGCGCAGCGCCCCATTAACAGTCCCCGGGCAACGACGGGGTTGGCAGCGACGGTCTGAGGGCGTGGCCCCTCAAAGTCGGAAAGCCGGCGATTCCCCACATCCCACCAAGCGCACCCCATACTCAGCTGCGGCGCTCCCGAGCTCTCGGCGGGAGTTCCTGCTGGGGCTGGGGTTTCGCACGTGCAACTGGCTGGGGCAGGCAAGGGGTCTATGCTCACAGATCCCTTCAGAACCAGCCCCGCCCCTCCTCTCACCCGCAGGGTCCTGCAACCCCTCGAAAGCCCCTAGTGCAACAAAAAACCTGCGGAGGCCAGAGCCCGTACCTCTCTCCCGCCTTCCATGGAAACAGCCCATTAGGCCTCCACCGCCACTGGTCCAGGCAGCCGTGACAACAGTTCCGCCCCCACCCCCCTAAGCGAGGATTCGCCTCTGCTCTCGCTGTCAGCTGGAAACCCACCCATCCTCTGCACTAACCTGGCCGCTTCGGCCCGGCCTGGATTTCCACGCCCGCCTGGCTCCACGGGACTCACTCTGCTTCCGGGTGTGCGCGGAGCGGAGGGGCGGTACCCCAGGCCGAGCCGCCCCGTCCGCCTCGGTGTCCCGCTGCCCCGGCTCCCCGCGACTCCTTCCCGCCCATTGTCCGCCGCCGCAGGCCCCAGCCTTTAGGGAAAGCCCACTGGTCCGCTGAGCAGGTAAGACAATGGCGCCTGAAGTTAGACGGCAGGAAGGAGGTACTTAAAGGACTGGCAGCTCTTACGAGGCCAGGGGGCACCGGGTGAGAACTGCCCCGCTTCCTCCGGCGGAGCACGGATCAACGAAGGAGCGCCCCCTGGGGACCAGAATTTTCGGGTGCCTTCTCGGGGGTCAAGCTCGATGATCTCTGATGTCTGCTACTCCCTGACACTCAGAACTGAGTAACAGTGGATCCAAGGCTGAGGCCTGGCAGAAGTTATCTGAAAGCCCTAGAATACACGAGGCGTAAATTCTAGCAGGAACCGTTAGCCAGGAAAATATGATGAAACAGAAAACTTGACCGGCAAGTGGTGTGTAGCGTTGTGTAGGACAACCTTCAAGAACCTTAAAATTGGCAACTTCAAAGAGGACGCACACTTTCCACAAAAGCCGCGCTTTGAAGTGGGTGTGCGTAATTCCAGCCTACCTTAAACTGCGCAACGGGAGCTTGGGCTGCTCAGGGCGTCAGGACCAGAACTTGAACCCAGGGCCCCCAAGCTTTTCTCCGCCCAGCCGGCCTTTCATTGGAAGCACCCAGGATGTCTTCGCCTAGAGATGGCCCCTCTCAAGGCGAATTCAGCTGTGCCCCACCCGAGCGCCCCTGCTTCCTGCTTGGTTTGTGAACCCGGCCATTTTTAAGTATTCTCTAGTGCTCCCGTCATATAACCCGTTCCTCACTTTCTGGCGACTGAGGGAGCCTGGGTTTCTCAACTTGGGACCTGTGCAGTCAAAAGGTGCTTGCTGAAATTCAGATTCCTGGGCCTTACTCTTCCAGAGATCCTGATTTAGTAGGTGGGGCCGTGGAATCCGTATATTGTGAACAAATGTCCCACTGATTCTTATGTCCTCTGCCTTCTGAGAAGCCCTAGGTTCAATGGCTCTCAAGGCGGAGCTTGAGCCCAGTCCTTCCCTAGTAGTCAGGGTCAAAATTGGGAGAGAAGCAGTTCAATGACCCCTGGGAGACCAGTCTGGGCTGTTTGTATGGGGAGGGGGAGACGATGGGAGCTCTCTGAGCTGTAGGGGAGGGCGGAGTTATTCGGAGTAGAGGCCCGTGCAGCTGCCCTCCAGCTTGTCCGGGGAAGACTTTAATAACTGGAAGATCTAGTAACATCCTCCCCAAATCAGGCATTCTGCTTTATCGACTTTGCAAATATATTGTGATTGCGTTCCTCTAATAAGCATAAAATGCGGATTTGTTCAACAAGTGAGAGTGTAGTTTAAAGGAGAATCAGAAATTCTTTGGACATTCAGAGCCAACTCAATGGGTCTGAGACCTGTGCAGTTGCACAGGGCCCCATGCTTGGTTTAATAATTTGGTTAAATGCTCTGCTGTCACCGTCTTGAAATTAAGTTTTCAGCAAAGAACCCCTCATTTTCATTTTACACTGGGCTCTTCAAATTACGTAGCAGTTCCTGACCCTGTCTCTCCAGGCAGGAGCAGCTCACCCAACACCAGACCATGGCTGAGCCTGGAGAGCAACTGCCAGAGGAGGTGCTAGCGCTAATTTTCCGTTACCTGCCCCTGAGGGACCGAGCTGCTGCAGCCAGGGTCTGCATAGCCTGGGCTACTGCTGCCACCTGCAGCGCCGTGTGGCATGACACGAACATCAGGTGAGCCGGCTCTTCTTCCTTCTGCCTCATGTGGCCCTCAGGCCTTCTCCTCTCTCCTTGGAGTCGGGGGTTGGAGAGATTCAGTGACTCTAACCATATTTAAAAACTTGATCATTACCAACATTTAATTGACCTCCTATTACCATTGTTATAAGTGCCTTACATCTATCAACTTATTCCTCATGAAAACCGTATGTGATAGATAGGTAGTAGTAGTATTATCTCCATTGCACAGATAGGAAATTGAGGTACAGAGATTTAATCACTCCCTGCAGGTCACTCAGCTAAGGATTGGCAGGGGCAGAATGTGAACTTCTCAGTACCAGAAGCCACATCCCGTCTCTTTAGAGACCGTTGAGAAAGTGTAGTTCCTAAATTATCATTAGATTTTCCTGCTGGGTTTTCAACTTGTGGCAGATGTATCTTAAGTCTTCTAACTGAATAGGGTGGGATTTCCCTATTATCAGCGGCTACCTTGGGGCAACGAGGCAAGGTCGGGACAGGGAGGTGTGTTGGTAGGTATGTCTCTACCGGTCTCGGGGACACTGCTGATGCCTTTTCTCCACCGCTCTTAAGTTGCGACTGTGAACTAAAAGACATGCTGTCACCGTATCTGTCCGCCTGCCTGAACCATGTTCACAACTTACGGCTGGAATTTGAACCGTCGAGGGTGCAGAGCCGACAGGCGGCAACCGAATTGCTGACCGCACTGGCGGGCTGCGTTAGTGACCCAGGGCTTCGAAGCCTGCGTCTAGAGTGCCACGGAGAGAAGCCACTCTTCGATGCGGGACTCGACGTCCTGCAGGCCGTGCACGCCATCTGTCGGGCTTCCCGCACGTTGCACCACCTCGACCTGCGGCTCTTGCCCTTCACGCTGGACGATGCGTTGGTCCTGCAGACGGCACACTGCTGCCCCGAACTGCGCAGCCTTTTCCTGAACAACCGTACTTTGGTGGGCAGTGTGGGGCCTGAATCCGTGCTGGAGCTCCTAAAGGCCTGCCCGCGCCTCTGCGCCCTCGGACTGCACCTGGCCAGCCTGTCGCATACCGCCCTCAAGGCGCTGGCGGCACCCGACCGTGAGCCTTTTGTTCTCCTGGCCCTGCGGTGCGCCTGCCCCGAGGATGCCCGCGCGCCCACCCTGCCCGACGAAGCGTGGATCGAATTGCGCTCCCGCCACCCCGGACTTGCGGTGGAACTGGAGCTGGAGCCGGCCCTGCCTTCTGAGAGCGTGATGCGGATACTGCAGCCTTCTGTTCCAGTGGCTGCACTGCGCCTCAGCCTCTCTGGGGACACTGTAGGCTCGGTGCGGTTTGCAGCGTGCCACTATGCCGCAACCTTGCGCATACTCGAGGTGCGCGCCGCCGCCTCCACCCAACTGGACGACACGCTGGAATTGCTTGCGGCGCGCTGCGTGGGCCTGCGCGAAGTGCACTGCTTCTGCGTGGTGCGACCCTCCGTGCTGCACGCCTTCCACGCACATTGCCCGCGCCTGCGCAGCTACACTCTCAAACTAACGCGGGAGCCACATCCTTGGCGGCCCACGCTAGTGTGCGGGATGGGGCAATCCCCGCCCATTCAAGCAGACGCATGGCCTTGAGATGCTCAGTGAGTTTGCCCAGGAGCACACCTGCTGCCTGCCTGATCCTTCAGGACTCTGTTGCCTTTTGTACCTTGCAGGGATTGGGGCCTGTGGATGGCGTTGGGACCAGCCTGGGTCGCCCTGTGTCCACTCAGTGCTCTCAACATCTGCAGACGCCCGCCGTCCACACTGTGCTGTGTCATCCTCCTCTAACCCCATTCCTCTGCAAACGCAGCGCTAGCTCCGCGGCCGCGCGGCGTGGGGGAAGGGAAGGCACAGGCGCAGGCTGGGCTTCAGGGGTGAGTGTGAAATAAATCCTGCAGTAGCTCTGCATCTTGTGAAAGACGGGGTCGGCTCTGAAGGGTGAGACGGGGGATTCCTGAGTCCCGAAGAGCCGTCCGGGCTGGGGTGGGAGAAAGATATCAAGGTCCATTGTACTGACGCAGTTGATGGGGACAAGGGGCGGGACACTCCGCAAACTTGGAATGACAACGCCGCAGAATTCGGCGACAGAGTGCCAGATTCTTTCCTCCCCACCCCCTCCTATCTGCACTCTCTACCCCGAGCATCACTGTGCCCACGGCCATCACCTTCTAGGACTCTCCCGGCCCACACCACGGTGCGCACGGGCGATTTCTCCCAAAGAACAAAGGAAACGGAGGGCCTGAAAAGGGTGGAACTCAAACCTAGGTCACCTTTCCCACCGCACTTGTCCCCACACAAAGCAATCTCAGCCGCGATCCGAGCCCCGCCCCGTGAGTTCGCACGTGGCCCCCACCTGACCTGGAGCCGGGAGGCGGAGTAGGGCGGGGCGGGCGGCAAGCGCAGCACTTTCTGCGGCTTTGACGAGCTCGCGGCAGCCGGCCCGAGCGCTTAACGGGTATGAGACTGCGCCATGCAGGAAGCTTCAGCCGCGCTGCCCACGGAGCCGGGCCCCAGCCCCGTGCCCGCCTTCCTCGGCAAGTTGTGGGCGCTGGTGGGTGACCCGGGCACCGACCACCTTATCCGCTGGAGCCCGGTGAGGGCTGGGGCCCCTCGACTCCCTCAGTGGTCCCCGGGATCCCTCCGTATCAGTGAACATCCATTCCCACCAAACCCCACCTGGAACAAGGCTTGTGGGTCCCTCGATCCAGCCGTCCAGGGTGATTTGCTTTGGAGGGGGTGTGTGACATGGGAGTGAGACAACTTCCTCAGGGCGGAGGAAAGGGTAGACACCTTCTGGAGACCTAGAGCCCGAGGGATGTTAGAGGTCTTTTAGTTCCCACCACATCCCATCAGACAGATCGGGAAAGAGAGGTCAGAAAAATGGAAAAGCTGAGTCTGATTGTAGTTCTTAGTCTCCTCGCGGGTCTGGGACCCATCTGGGGCTGGAACCCAGGTCTGGCCTCTACTCCTCCTTTCTGATAACCACTACTGAGTCTGGGTCGGGTTGGGGTAGGGATTCACTGTGGTCCCCCCAGGCTAAGCCTCCGAGCTGGTTCTGGCCTGGCCTCGTCCCATGTCCCCATGAACAGTAGGCACGGTCCCAGAGTGAGTGCGAGTGTGTGTGCGCGCGCGCCAGAGCGCGCGCCTGTCCGTGGGCGGGCACCGCTCACGAAGCCGTCTGGTCTCCGCCCGCATGGTGGGTGGGTGGGCGGGCGGCGTTCTCGGCAGAGCGGGACCAGTTTCCTCGTAAGCGACCAGAGCCGCTTCGCCAAGGAAGTGCTGCCCCAATACTTCAAGCACAGCAACATGGCGAGCTTTGTGCGGCAACTCAACATGTGTGAGTCCCTAGTGCTGGGAGGGAAGCAGGTGTGGGTGACCTGATGCGCAGGAATGGGGCAATTTACTCCTCCACTCCCTACTCCCTAGATGGCTTCCGGAAGGTAGTGAGCATCGAACAGGGCGGCCTGCTCAGGCCTGAGCGCGACTACGTTGAGTTCCAGCACCCAAGCTTCGTGCGCGGCCGTGAGCAACTACTGGAACGCGTGCGGCGCAAGGTAGGGGCGCCTGCGGGAACCAGCAAACCCAAGTGGAAGGAGGTTTGGGGACGTCTGGCCGGGTTCTGTGCGATGCTGACATGATGGTGCCTCCTACTGCAGGTGCCTGCGCTGCGCAGCGATGACGGCCGCTGGCGCCCGGAGGACATGGGCCGGCTGCTGGGAGAGGTGCACTCTTTGCGGGGAGTGCAGGAGAGCACCGAGGCGCGGCTGCGGGAGCTCAGGCAGTGCGGAGGAGGGGGCAAAGGAGGGCGGGGAGGTGGAAAGAGGATCCGGGCCAGAGGACACTGGCCGCCGGGTGGTTCTAGGCAGCTCCTTCTCTCTTGCCTTGGAACCTCCATCCAGACAAATGGGCTGAGCTGGGGAACTCTGCTCTCTATCGATGGATAATCAGCCCAGAGGTTGTGGGTTCAGTCCTGCCACTCTGTGTAGTGGGCGGGGTGGTGACTGGGCGAACTTCCAGATGCTTCAGCACACTCCCCCCACCTTCCCCCAGGCAGAACGAGATCTTATGGAGGGAGGTGGTGACTCTCCAGCAGAGCCACAGTCAGCAGCACCGGGTCATTGGCAAGGTGTTCCTCTCCTCCTACCCCACTTCCCTCTCCCATTCCTGAATACCACCTCCTCCCCCAGCCCTCAGACACATCTGGAAGTGCCATGTTAGGATGGGGGCAAGGCCTAAAGTAATTAATCCTTTGCTTCCTCTTCAGCTGATCCAGTGCCTCTTTGGACCACTTCAGGCGGGGTCTGGCAGTACAGCAGCTAAGAGAAAACTGTGAGAAAAAGCCAGGGATACCCACTGCTCCCCATCCCCACCCCTTTCCAGACCCCTCCCTGCCAGAGGCCCCACACAGGAACTTCTTCACCTGGAATCTACATTGCTCCCCTGACTATAGCTTTCCTCACCCCATGGCCATCTCCCCAAGAGCCCTCTTCCAGGACTTTCCCCCTCTCCCCTCAACTCCACCATCAAGTACCCTACTCCAAGATCCCTCTGTACCAGGAAGCAAATTTGAGGGAAATTTCTACCCTGGCAGCCCCTTCCCTTTCATCCCAAACCCTCCAAACAGCAGGGGGTCTAGGGCTCAAACCATACTCCCTCCCACCCCTCTCTACCCCCAAAGGGCCTCTTTATCTGGGAGGAGCCCATTCTGCCTCCAGCATGTGACTGATGCCCTGGCAGCAGGCCTCAGCTCTGCTGACTTGGCTGCTGGGGCCTGTGGGAGGGAGGTGCAGGCGGAGGGGCATGCACAGGAACCTGCCCCACCCCCTGCACAGATCCCTGGTGCTGGATGAGGGGAGCTCATGCCCAACACCAGCCAAATTCAACACCTGCCATCTACCTGGTACCCTCCTGCAGGACCCCTACTTTACCCAGTCGGTAGGTTTTTGTTGCCCCTCCCTTCTCTAGGGCACAGCTGGGCCTGTGGAGAGCCTATTCCTTTTCCCAAAAGATAGAAGCCAGCTTTCCACCTGACCAGACCAGGCTCCCCAGCATAGACTGAGCTTCCCCTCTCAAACCTTGTCCTAGACCTGGTCCATGTGGGTACTGTTTGGGTTCTGGTTCTCCCTGTGGTTTAAGGTGAAGGATTGAGCCTAGGTTTCTACTTTCAGCCCCTCCCAGAAACCACACTGGGCCTCAGCAACCGTCACAGGGCCAGAGGCCCTATTATATCTGACATCAGTGAAGATTCTCCATCCCCTGATGAAGATTCTCCCTCCAGTGGTGGCAAGAGGTAAAGAGGACAGGGGTTGCTGTCTGGGGAGCCTGGCAGCCCAGATGGTTGGGAGGGGAGGAGGAAAGGTCAGTGCCAGGGTCTGGTTGAAGCTTTTCTCTGGTGCAGGGAGAAAGGCCTGGCACTGCTCAAGGAAGAGCCAGCCAGCCCAGGAGGGGAAGGTGAGGCCGGGCTGGCCCTGGCCCCAACCGAGTGTGACTTATGCGTGACAGCCCCCCCTCAACTGCCTGTGGCTGTGGTGCAGGCCATCCTGGAAGGGAAAGGGAGCTTCAGCCCTGAAGGGCCCAGCAGCGCCCAACAGCCTGAACAAAAGGGTCTCAGGGAAGTACCTGACAGGTGAGCAAAGAGCCCATTCTTGACTGAGCCACTTTCGCAGATAGACCAGCGCTAACTAGCCCTCCAAACTTCCAGCCTTGTCTGCCCCTTGGTGGTGGGGAGGGAGGTTGAGTACTTAACAATAGGACCTGTCTTCTCAAAGTTGCTTTAAGAAGTACCAGCATCAAAGTCCCCCAGAAAGTAGAAATTCCCATCAGGTCAATCAGCATCTCTGGTAGGGCTCAGGAATCTGCATTTAAACGAGTTCATTGGGGTGATTGTAAAGTACAGAGTAGTTTAAGAACCACTGGTATTGGCAGCTGCATAGGAAGGGGACATATCCCAAGAACTCAGTGCCATAATCCAAACATCAGGCCAAAGGTAGGAGGCAGAAGCATTCTCTACATACTCCTCTATGTGGGAGGTCCTTCCTAGCATGTTGTAATTGTTGTCAGGTTTAAATCCTGATGTATCCAGGTTCCTTGAGGGTGAGCCAACATCAGTTCTCTTTGCACAGGGGACCTCTGGGCCTGGGGAGGGGGGTCCGGAGCCCAGAGAGTCTGCTGCCTCCAGTGCTGCTTCAGACCTCCCCTGAAAGTGTGGAGCCTACAGGGACACTGGATGTGAGTACCTTCAGCAGGGTAGGGATATGGGGCTCAGTGGGGTCCAGCTGTGTGTACAGACTGGGAGGGCACCATTGACACAGAGCTCCTCCCAGGTGCTAAGCCCCAGCCTCCAAGGGCGAGAATGGTCGCTAATGGACTTGGACATGGAGCTGTCCCTGGTAAGATGGGGGTGGGTTGGGCAAACCCTTTGGTCCATGGCTGTTCTCTCCCAAAGCCCAGCTCTCCTCCTCAGCTCCCAGGGTTCCCCCATGCAGATGCAGCCCTTGGTTCCAGAGAGGGGTGAGACTGAGCTGACGATCAAGGGGTTAAATTCTCCAGTCTCAGGTAATAATGGTTGTGGTGACTCAAGACCTGGGGAAGGCCCTGACTGGTGAGCTAACACAATTGGTTGGGCTGGGGAGTTTGGAGGGAAATCCCCAAAACTCAGGCTGCCCTTTAGAGAGCTACTAAGCCACCCATCCCGTCACTACTGGGTGAGAGTGGGGAGGTTAAGAATGGATGTTTCATCCTAACTGACCACAGGGCAGGGCAGGTAAGGCTCTTCTTCCCCAAAGAAAGGCAGGAGACAGGTTTCTCCCAGCTGAGCACAGCCCCACTCCTTGTAGGGAAGGACTCCACTCTTGGAGCACCACTCCTGCTGGATGTCCAAGCAGCTTTGGGAGGCCCAGCCCTCTGCCTGCCGGGAGCTTTAACCATTTACAACGCCCCAGAGAGCCGGGCTTCCTACCTGGGCCCTGGGGCCAATCTCTCCGCATGAGACCTGCTCTACTCTGAAGCCAGCCTGGCTGAGGGGGCTGACCTGCAGCAGCACGCCTTTCTCTGCTTCCTGGTGCCCCTTTGCAAAGGCGGAGCAAAAGCCCCTTACGTTTTGCAACCCCTCTCCATTACCGAGCCCTGCACATAAACCGCATTTTTGTGTGTGTGTGTTTCTGGCCTCTTTTCTCTACAGATCAGGGAGCCCTAAAGTCATGGGTGGTGGTGGGGAGGAGGTGTGCTTTGCATTTGCAAAAGCGCCCAGATCCTAGGGTTTAATGGAGGAACCCCTGGAGAGTGGAGGTGCTTGGGGAGCCAGCCGTTAATTCTGCTTAGGCCCTCATCTCCCGGGCCCAGATCCAGGGCTGCGAGTGGCCACTGTAACTTCCGAGAATCAAGGGTTCCTGGGGTCACAGTGCATCCGCTATGATCCTGGGTAGCGAGCCTCGTTCTCTGAGCCTTATCTGTGGCAGGCAGAGAGGGGTCGACGAGAGGATAGGCCTGGAAATTGCCAGGCCCAGAGTGGGCGCTGGATACTCGGGGCCGCGAGCCGAACTGCTCTCTTCGCATCTCCTCTGGTGCTCCCGGAGTGGGATGAAAAAGTTGACTACTTATACAAGCACAGGCGGTGCGCGGCCAATGCGGTTAGTCTCCTGACGTCCTCAAGAACGAATCCGTCCCGCAACCCCTCCCGGTTCCCAGCAGCCCTGGCCGTCCCGCCCCCGCCACAGCTGCTGCCCCCACCCCCACCCGGCGCTGTCCTTTCTGCGTCGTCATCTGCCGCGCAGAAGCTCTACCAGTGAGTGGGGCTTCCCGGAACGAATCGGACCGGGGCCCCCCCACCTGACCCAGCTGGGGGCGGGCGTAGAAACAGATTGAGCAGAATCCGCGCCCCACCACCACAAACTGCGCTCGAAGGTCTGTGAGCTCCGCCCCTCCGCAGAACTCCAGCTCTGGGGCTGGGTGGAGGGGAAACGGGGCGGGGGCGGGGGCGGGGGAGACGGGAAAAACCGGCTGTCGCACATGCGCAAGGGCTCCCTCAGTTTCCCACAGACCTAGTGTCCTAGTGAAAGAGTCTGGGCAGCGAGGTGGCAAGATGGTCCCAAACCCCTCTCCATACCTCGCACCTGGAGCCGCCTGGTGTTTCGGAAGGACCTGGCCTGTGGCCCTTGAAGGACTGGTCTCGGTATAACTTCTGAGCTATATAAACTCTCAGAGGGAGGTCCCAGACTAGCTGGGGTCTCTGCACCGCAGACAGGACAAGGGGCAGGGCTTGGACTAATTAGGGGAGGAATCTAACATAAAAATAACTTGGGAAGGAGTGAGAGGGGCCAATCCAATTTAGGCACCTCCCTTACACCTGTACAGAGCAGGTTCTGTCCCCTCTCCCTTTCTGCCCCCGTGATTGGGAGGACAGTCTTGGGAAGACTGCTGAAGCGGGCAGAGGGTCCATGTGTACAGTGCAGCGATGTCAGTGTGGTGAGAGTACATGCTGTTCACTGGGTTGCATAAGGAGAACGAACCAGTCTGCCTTTGGAACACTCATGGTCCATGTTGGGGTTGCAACATGGTGGTGTAAGGGGGGGCAGGGGCAGGGCCTGTCCTGGAAAGATGGACCTCAGGCTCTCAGCACTATGTACTTTGGGTGCAGAGGGGATTCTGGGCTCTCCAGGGTTCAAGCTGGAGATAAAAGACTAGACTAAGTAAGTGGTGAGGATGACAGAGAAATATTCAGCAGACAGACTGGAAAGGACTTGACTGTAAGATGAGTGTGGGGTATTGGGACCAATTGTAGGTCTTTCTGCCCGTTATAGCTGGAAAGCAGGCTGGGAGAGAAATTAGTTTGAATAAACTAGTTCTGTATGCGGCATCAGCTGGTGACGATGTGTGTGTGGCGGCAGTGGGGGGTGGGGGACTGGCTAATTCAGGAGAGAAGTCCCGACTTGGGAGAGCGTTCATAGAAGATAGGTTCCTGGGAGAGAGAAGAGGAGAGCCATAGCTGATTATTTAGGGACGGAAGAAGCCTGAGGAGGAGACTAGAAAGAAGTTCTGGGTAGGCAGGAGCACAAGGAGTCCGGTGCTGCGGAGCTATCTGGCTGCCGGGGTGAAGGTGAATTTAGATCCCAGCCACGTGCGCTCACTGGAACCCTGGAAGAAAGATCAAGGGCAGGAGAGCCCAGGCCTCCACTCTCTCTCTCCCCCCCTCCCTCATGCAGCCCCAACCATGGGTAATGCTCAGGAGCGCCCGTCAGAGACGATCGACCGCGAGCGAAAACGCCTGGTAGAAACGCTGCAGGTGGACTCCGGGCTGCTGCTGGACGCGCTGCTGGCGCGTGGTGTGCTCACCGGGCCCGAATACGAGGCATTGGACGAACTGCCTGATGCTGAGCGCAGGGTTCGCCGCCTGCTGCTTCTAGTGCAGAGCAAGGGTGAGGCGGCCTGCCAGGAGCTGCTGCTCTGCGCCCAGCGTGCCACACGCGCACCGGACCCCACCTGGGACTGGCAGCACGTGAGCACTGGTGAGCGCGGGGGGCGGGGCCTATGCCAGCAAGGGGCGTGGCCTGTAGAGACCCGGCCCCGGGTCTCCCCGAAAGATGGGCGTGTGCAGAGGTGTAAATTAAGCCCGAGACACTCCCACCACCACTACAGGCTACCGGGAACGCAGCTTCGACCCTCCATGCCCAGGCCACTGGAAGCCTGAGGCACTCGGCTCTGGAACTGCATGTCCCCGGATGCCCAGAGCTTCGGACCACGACGATGCTAGGGGTCCTGAGGGCTCCGAGGCAGGGCAATCCGGAACTCTCGAGGAGCCCGAGCCAGAGCTGGAAACTGAGGCTTCTGAAGAGATTGACACGGAGTTGGAACCCCAAATGGATCCAGAACCAGAGCCTGAACTTGAACAGGAGCCCGACCCAGAGCCAGAGCCCGACTGCGAGGCTGGGGACGAATCTGAAGGTATGAGGTTGCCCAAACTCTGTGCCTGGCTGTCCGGAAGGCAGAACCCACCTGACTGGCCACTTTCCTCCTTTCATCTCTAGATTCCTGAATGCCAGAGCACTGACAGGCTGCTCTCCACCCAAGCTGGATAGGACCTAGGATCCCGTCCAGGCCAGTTGCAAACCACTAAGGCTCGATCTGGCCCAGTATCACTGCAAGTGAATAAACTTGGGAGGGTTGGCTTGGGCTTGCTCTGTGATTTTGGTTCTTTGCCCAGGAACAGGGTATGGATCCCTGCCTCTGAGTCCTAGTGACCTGGGCAGCCCTGTGCCCCACTGCTCAGTCCTCAGCCTCATTCTGTCCTCAATATCTCAAGCTGCATCCTTGGAGACCCCACACCCAGGCTCCCAGAAGGATAAGGGCTACAACACCTGGGCCCTTTTACCCTCATGAACAATTCAGGGGATTGTGTAGTCACTAGTCCTACCCCATGTAAGCCCCTGGGCCTGATGCACAGAGCCAGGGCAGAGGACTTCTCTTCACTTTGGGAGGGCTTGAGCACACAGCGTAGGGAAGTAAAATTAGTAGAGAGAAAGAGGACGAGATCTTGAGTAGACAGAGCCCACACACTTCATCGTAATTGTTTTAATTGGCTTCTCTCTGGACTGGGAGCTCAATGAGGGTTCTGACCAGTAACTGGCACAGAGAAGGTGCTCTATACATGTTCACTGACTAAATGAATAGGGGCTTCCCAGCTCCATTTCTTGGTTTCACATATGGGAAAACTAAGGCCAAGAGTGGGAGTGGGCCTGGGTCCATGTCACACAGCTGAGTCTGAGGTGAAACTGGAAGCAACAACTCTCCTGGTCCAGGAGGTGCTCAGGACTTGGGACACCAGCTAGGGTGTCCCCCTCAGGCTTGATAGGGCTGCTACCAGGCTATGTCAGCCTCTGCCAGAGACCAGCTGTGAGGGTGTGAGCAAAGACAGGAACAGCACAGGCCAGTGGAGGGGTGGGAGCAGGGCCAGGTGAGCCCTTGGGCTCCACTCACACAGCCTAAGACTGCGTGCGTGTGCCTAGGTGTGATGACAGTGGGGCTAGGAACAGTCAGTGCCTTCCAGAGGAGCCCTGGTCCCTCCATGGAACCTTCAGGAGCTGCTGCCTCCCAGCCCCAAAAGTAGAGCATATAAATAGGGAATAAATATGTGACCAGTGGGAGAGGCAAAATGCTGGAAAGCACACCCCAGCCCAACTGGGTCTCCACTACCCCTTGAATCTCTATGAAAGCCAGGACCTCAGGCTCAGGCAATCACCCCAGGAGAAGGGTGCCCCCCACCAAGACCCAGTGAGAGGTAGACAGCACGAAAGCTGAAGGAGCACCAAGGGGCCACGTGGGGGAAGGGAGCCTGAATTATGCAGACACCCAAAGTCATCTCATACAAAAACAAGTTTCTACTCCCAAACCAACCCCCATCCCCACCCATGCTCAGCTTCCTTCCTGCCCCCAAGCTTCCCCTCTGCTCAACATTGAGAACTGGAGGCAGAAGGGCAGACTCAAGTTTGCCTGACATTCATAGTGCTGCTGCTTCTAAGGCCCCAGGGAGGCTACCAAGGGACACAACTCCCCTGATGTTGCCATTCCTCCCTCCTGGAAGGCTCCTGTGCCCCCAGTTCAACAAGAAACACCCAGGCTGTGGAAACAGAGCAGCCAGCTTCATGTTCTGGAGCTTATCTATAACCTTCTATCCAGAATCTTTGTCTTTAGCCCTCAACCAGCATCAGTCAGGCAGCAGGCGGCCTAGCTCTGCCTCATCCAGCCGATTGGTGGCCATGATGTGTTCCAGCTGCTGCTGGTAGCGCGCCAAGTCCTGCATGAAGTGGGGTACCCGGGTATTGTCCAGGACCCCATGGGGCCGCAGGTGGTCCACATCCTCATAGGATACCTAGAGGAAGGAAGCTGTGCCTCAGTAGTAGGCAGAGCACCCTGGCTTCCAGACAGCTGGTCCCATCTCTCTATCAACAGCTCACTGTCCTTGCTCCTGGAACTTCTCTTTCTCCCCTCTAGATCCACTCCCAATGTTATGCACCCTGAGGCTCAGTTCTGACCCCACACCCAACACCAAATCCTGAGTGCCAGCTTACGTGTCAGCCTCACCCTCCTTACAGCTACATAGGTCAGCTTCCAGGGAAGCGGCCTGGAATCTGACCCTCCACTCAGAGTGGCCACTGAGTTAAAGGGATTCCACTCTCTGAAGAGCTCTCTCCAGCTTGCCCCCTGCCTCTCCACCTGGCCCCTGCTGGCTTAGGCCAGACCACCATCAATTCTGCATTAGTGTTCGGAATGATGGTCTCTCCCTCCCCCACCACTCCCTTCCCTAGGCACCTCTCTCCATCCATCTCCCCTATGACATCCAGAGGGAGCCCTGTAAATCAAACATTCATACCACTTCTCTGCTTAAAGCTCCTGATTGATTCCCCATTGCATCTGATGAAATCCACCTTCCTCAACCTGACACAAATACCCAGGGCCAGAGACTTGGTCTCTGGGGTCAATTCTCCAGCCTCCTTCCCCAGGTCTTCCTGACTTCCCTTGGTCTGAATACTCACCTCCTTTAAGATGCAGTCACACACCTGTGGGCCAGGTTAAGTACCTGCTTTTGGCTGCTAGACTGTCATTTCATCTTCTGTGCTCACCTCTGTCCACTATTCTGCCACCAGGGAAGTCTGGCACCCAGTCTTCAGTCAGGCACCAATCAGAGACTCAGGGAATACTGACTGCATTGATGGGGAGAGCTAGCTGGGATCTCTGAAGGCCCCTCACCTTGCCCAGGGAGGTCAGCAGTGGGAAATCGATGGTCCGACGGTGCCGCAGAATGTGCACGATGCCATCCAGGTACACCTGATCCTTGCTGAAGCAGCCTGTGGGCAAAGGAGAGCTTTGAGCCCCTAGGCCTGAAGCCCTACCTTTGCTCCCCTCACACCCTGCCACGCCCACATGAGGGCACCCACCGGGCAGCGAGGTGTCTGTCTGGCCACGCTTGGCACGCACGCAGTACTCCCAGCGCACATCAGCATCCTGCACATAGCACGCCAGGTCCTGGAAGAGCTGGCGGAAGGACATGCGTGCAGCGCGATGAATGGTGTAGTACAGAAGCGCAGCACGCCACAGAAAGGGCTGCTTGCGGAACAGCACGCTGTGCAGGCTGGCCAGGCCCTCCTCGGTGGGGTTCGCTGGCCGCAGCCCATACTGTAGCCGGCCCTCTGTGCTGTGCCAGGGCTGCCGCGCATTATTCACTCCCCGCAGGTAGTGGGTGCCTGTGGGGAGGGTGAGCCGGAGGCAGCATTGGATGGGGCGTCCAGGGGACCCACCTGCTGGCCTGTGCCCTGCTCCATCCTGCAGGTTCTTTAACCTGTGACTCAAACATCCTCGTGCCCTTAAATTCAAGCTCTCACAAGTTCTCCCCATGCCAGCCCCCACCCACTGCCTCAAACAAACGCATGCTTACCCAACCCCAGGCAGCAGAAAGACCCTCCTCAGTGAACTCTCACCCAAGTACCCAGAGTCTCACATGGGAGAGTCTTCCGTCATTTGTTCAGAGCTATACACACACACACTCCTCTCCCAAACTCATACTGCCCCCAGCTTCTCCCACGCTAGAGAGGAGCAGGAACTCACACACCACCCTTGCCCCACATCCTACGTGCCCATTTGGACAGTCATGTTGATATCCCCAACAAAAACCTCCTTTTGCTCACAGCAACAGAATTCTTGATGAGGAGGGACAGAGAAAGGAATAGTAATTAGTCTCCAATGCTCTCCTTTCCAGCTGGCCTATCTGCTCCTAAACCCAGCTCTGTGTGTCCTCAGCCAATTTCACTCTTAGGATCTGGCCTTCCAACCACCCTGGAGAGCCGGCATCTTGGCTGGACTAATGGGACTCTCAGGGTTCTCCCCCTGGCCTGCTTGGGATTCAACAGTCTTGCCCCACTGTCAAGGGAAATCAGAGGAAGTAGAGGGAGAAGATACCCAAAAAGAGCAAGAGATGAGGGTGAGCCCAGAGAGTGGGCAGGCATGTTCTGGCCTCCCTCTGTGAGCCAGAGGGAGGAGGTAGCTGCTCATGAAGGGAAAGGGCCCATCCTCCTCCGGAGGGAAGGGGAGAAAGAGAGGGGTGGGGTTACTGGGGCCCCTCACTCCACCCCCCCAGGTCCCAGCCCCCTCTCATCCCTACCCACCCAACCACCTACCCCCACTCTGACCTATCTCATGCCGCAGCATGCCCTCCAGCCAATATTGACGGGCTCCAGTCAGGTTGATGGCCAGTGTTGGTCGGCTGTTCTCCACCATCATCACTGCCTGGGACAGCAGGTCCTCACTCAGCTGCACCACAACCTGCAGGCAGCAGTATCCTAAGCCATAACCACCGGCTCTGGGGCCAGGGTACAGGTGGACCCACTGATGCCAAGAGCAGCCAGGCTGAACACTTAGCCAGGACACCCACCCTTCATCAGCTCTGCTCAGAGCCAGCTCCCAACTTACTGGGGCAGAGGCAGGGATAGGGGCTTGCCTGGGGTCACTAGTTAGCCAGGCGTGGACATGGGCCTGGCACCACCCACTTGGCAGCCTGGTTGGGGCATGTAGAAGAGGGGCCTCGCAGGAAAGGCAAGCTCACCTCCCCAACACAGCCCTCCTTCTGCATGTATTTGCGCACAATGGACCAGATCTGGCACTTGGTCAGCAGCTGGCCTCCAGTCGCAGCCTCAAAGTGTTCATAGGTACCAAACTTCTCCAGCACAGCCTCAATGATGCCAACTGCCTGCACACAGGGCCACATTGGCCGGTGAGGCCAGGCCTCTTGGGTGGTCAGGGCCAGGGTGAGGTGGGCAGGCTGGACTGACCTGATGGATGAACTGTCCAGAGGCCTCACAGTACTTCTCCAGCACAGCCATGGGCATAGGCTCCTGGTACTCGAACTGTGGGTTGTAGGTGTAATGGGACTGGAAGAACTTGTCCCGTTCACGGTCCATATTGGTTGGCCTCAGGGCCACCAACATGCAGGGGCTCCTGCTGGCACCACGGCCTGTATCCTTTCGAGTCTTAGCAATGTGAGGCAGGGAGGCCGCAGATCGCAGGATACCCCCACCTGGGTCCCGTCCCCGTCCAGGTGGGGCCCGACCTTGGGTGCTGCCCCCGCGCCGACCAGTACTATTTATGGTGAAAGTGCTCTCACTGCGACGCATGTGGCCACGGTGGCCCAAGTGCAGTTCTGAGAAGGACTGCAGTTCAGGCCGGGGCTGCAGGGCTGAGGGGGCTGACAGAGAGAGGGGCAAGGCCAGGGAGCGAGGCCAGGGGTACAGCAGTGTCCCATCTCGGTCTGGGGGCTTCAGCCTATGGCCCAAGGATGAGGGACTGACTGGTGGGCTAGGGGGTGCCTGTTCATACACCTGAGCCCCTGAGTCCAGCACCATTCTGTCCTGGGGGTCACATCCAGCCGGGTCACTCCAACTCCCCACACTGTCGACTTCTGGGGACACAGAAGGGCATGTGGAGGCCAACATGAGTGGGTGTGGCCTGAGGCTCAGCAGGCCCTGTGCTCTACACTGCCTTTGCTAGGCCGTTGGTGGGCCCAGGGCCTGCTGCCAGGGATCTGGGTGGCTGCCTTCTTACCTGCACCCCAGTGTTCATTCCCTCCAGCAGACTCACCAAACAAGCTGGACTGGGGAAGCAGGAGGAAGAGTTTTACACGCCCATCTAGTGGTTCCTGAATCCCCTCAGCCTGTGAGCTCCTGAGAGCAAGGCCTGAGCCCCTACTCATGATTCTCATCCCTGTGCTCAGTACCCACCCAGACTGGGAGCTGGTACAGTGCTGCCTCAGCAGCTGGGATGATGGGTGAGGAGACCTCACTACAGACGGCATTTTCTCAGTCTCACCCCTCCCCTTCCACCTGGCTCCACCCACCCCCTCCAGCCCCTGTGGCCTCAGTCAGTTTGAGTGCCTGCGTGCCCCCTTGTTTATGCTCGCCCCTCCCCCTGGAATGCTCTCCCTGCTCTGTGCCATCTGTTCCAATCAAGAATAGAATCAGTTTGTGGGGAGCAGAGGGATTCTTTAGCAAATCCGAGCCAATCGTGGTCTGTCCCCTATCAGAGGCATCTTCAGTGGTCATCCAAGGCCAGAGGGGGCACTCACCCCCGACTCTGTACCAGGGTTCCGCCCGATACAGTCTCTCTCCACAGACTGACTGAAGGTTCCAACCTCTGAACTCCCTTGCCTGCTCAGGTGCACAATTCCAGTATTTCTCCTCTTTCCTACATCATTAATCTCTTCCTCTCCACTGGATTCTTTCCATCAGCATAAACACATGCTGTTATTTCTCCATCTTGAAAAACAAAGCCCTCATTTGACTCCATGCTCCTCCAGCTCCACTGCATCTCCCTCCAGCTGCTTGTCTCAACAAGGAACACCTCACAACACCTCAAGTCATCTGTACTCAGTCTCCAATTCCTTCTTTCCTGTTCTCTCTTAAATTGCACTCTAATTAGGCTTTTGTCCTCCACTTCTCATCAAAACTGATCTGACCAAGGTCACCAATGATCTTCATCTTGATCAGCAGCACATTGACATAATTAATCACTTCATTTTGGAAATATTTCTTCACTTGGCTTCCCAAATACACTCAAACATAGTTCTACCTCCCTGGCTCTTTGTTCTTGGTCTTCCTTGCTGGGCATCCCTGCCTACCCGACCTCTTCACACTGTAATGACCAAGGACTTGGAAACCTCCCCTCTTCTCCATTTATGCTCACAACCTAGGTGATTTCATCCACTCTCATGGTTTTAAATACATCAGCCCAGACTTCTGCCATAAGCGTCAGACCAGTATTGCCAATTCTTAATTCAACATATTTACCTGAATATATAACAAGTATCCCACACTGAATATGTCCCATCTGGAATGCTTTCCTCCATAAAACTGCAGGGGCACTCTCTCTTTCCTCAGATTTCTGCACCAATATGTTATTAGGAAAGCTTCCCTAACACAATCTCTATAAAATAGTGAATTTCCTTTCCCCTTCCCTCTACAATCTCCCCTTCCTTACATTGTTCTCTGAAGCAGTTATAACCATTTAAAGTAGAGTGTATGTGATTATTAGTTACCTGTTTTCTCTGACCCAGAACAACTGCCCAAGAGACCTTCTCAGAACTGGAATTATTCCTTCCCTGCACTTTGTTTCTCCATCTAGATATGATCCCACCCCCACCCCCCATCTCCCTCATTCTGCCTAGTGACCAGCTGTTAGAAAATATTTTAAGCTTCACTCCTAACTGTACACTTTTCTAGATTCCTCACTAGGCTCCAGGCCTCCACCTGGACCAATCTCCCCTTCTTTCATTCTACCTACCTCTTCACAACTACCAGAATATCCCCGTTTCAAATCTCAGGTCTTTCTGCCAAAAATGCCCTCCCAATGTCTCCCTGTAGCAAACTCCTGACCATTTTTCAGGGCTCGGTTTAGGCCTCACCTCCTCTTGGAAGACTTTCCGGCGTCTTAGAGAATCCCAGTGCCTAGACGGCTTCTTTGCCACCTAGGCTTTCACTATCGGAGTCTAGGTCCGTGTCCCCCCACCATTCCCTTAACTCCCCGAGAGCAGGGACGGGTCTGATTCACCCCCATGTCCCAAGCACCCAGCACTAGAGGCACAATGAATGAAAGATGGTTGGGGGAGGAGCCCAGACTGAAGGCGGAGACTGGTGACAAATGAGAAGGTGTGGCCTGCGCCAATAAGAAACTCCGAGAGGATAACGTAGAACAGCAGTCAATAGGGACAGAAGATCGAGGAGGGGCGTGACTTACAGCCAATAAGTGGCGGTGGAAGGGGCAAAGGGCGTGCCCAATAGAGGGCGGGGCCAGTGGACAATGGGCGGGGGTTCCCAGGTGGTGAGGAAAGGTCCCGTCGCGCATCTTATCGGACTTCGGAGGGTGGGGGGGATTCTGTCCGCGTGCCGCACCCCGACCTGTTCGCTCCTTTTCTCGTCGCTGCTGTTCCCGCTCCGCAACACAGGTTGCCGCTCGCCCAGCCCTCAGGAGCCGGCGCTGGTGACGTACGTACTCGGGCGCGCGCACGCTCACGGGAAGACGCGCGAATCGCGTCAACCTCTGTGGCTGCGCGCGCCTGAGAACACAGCTGGGGGTGGGGCCAGACAGCGCGCCGAGTCCGCCACCAGGTCACGCCTCTGGGCAGAGCGTTGTCTTAACTCCGCCCCCACCTCCCACGGGAGCCAGGCAGGTTTCGGGGCTTCAGGTGCTGCTACACTACCCGAGGCAGGCGGAGGAGACACGAGTTCACTGCCCAGCGTGGATATGTGGTAGTGTAGTCTGCGTACGGCGGCAGAAGCCCGAGTACTTGGAACCGCAGTCCACATACAAGTCTGATGCCGGGATAGGTAGTACGCATGCCGGGATAGGTGGTGCGCAGCCCATACATCAGGACTGGAGCCAGGATACCTTAGACGTGCCACTGCGCGTGGACCCCTAATCTTCGCGGGCACTTTTATTTCATCTCCCCCTCCCCAACACAATTTAGGCGTACGGGGGCCGTGGCTTTATTCTGCAGATAGCCGGGTGTCAGGCACAAGACCCCGAGGGGAGGCAAGAGGACGGCGTGGGCGTGGGTGCTGGCACCAGGCTGAAGAGTGCGCGGTGGCACGCGGGCTGCGAGGGCTGTGGGAGGGACTGCAGGGATATGAGTGCAGCCAGGCGCTGCTCTCGGGACACATCCCCGCGCAGGTCCAAGAGGGCAGAGATGTGATCCTCGCTAGGGGGACACAAAGGCTGTGTGTCAGTTCTGGCCCTCCCCTCCCAAGTACCTCCTCACTCCCGGGTCCTCCTCCCACCACTCCAATCTTCCCACCTCACATCCGGAAATTTTTGGCGTAGGCCTGCTACCTCGAGGCCAAGCAGTGTGGGATCGCGGAGGTTCAGCAACTCCCGCAGAGCGAGCAGCACCGGCGCACACTGAACGCTTTCCTCCAGGCCCTGGGCACGTGGGGATAAGTATCGCGCCTGTCCTTGGCCACCACCTAATCACTGAAAGTTCCACCCGTCTGCTTGCCCTATGAGCTCTCACCAAACCGAGGAAAAGCTCCCGAAGCTGGGCTGCATCATGCTTCAAGCGCTCAGCTGCCTTGGTTCTCTCGTCCGCACCGCGGCACACTAGGCGGCCTTGCATCAGCGCACGAAGGTACTGCAGCACCACGGTACGCTCCGCCTCGGCCAGCAGCAGCTGCAGGGGGCGTGATCACGAGTCATGGACGCCTTTCCAATGGGCGCTTCCCCCACTCTTCAGCCTTTAGCCCCAAACTCACCTGGACCGCGGGATTCCGCACTCGCTGGAAGTCCCTGCAGAAGCGCGCCGTCCGTTCACACACATCTTCCAGCAGCTCCGAACTCGACAGCCACAGGCGCGAGGGCAGAGCCGCGAACAGGGGCTGGGGAAGGGCAGACGGAGACGGGGCTGGAGGTCGATTGAGACAAAACCTTCCCCTTCGAAAGCCCCATAAACACGCGGTATCCCCTCCCTCCACGTCCGTGCCCACCTGAAGCCTCACCTGGAGCTCAACCAGCAGAGCCTCCAACACCAGACGGCAGATCCTCCTCTGCAACTCGTCCAGCGCTGTCTCCACTGGAGCCAAGACCCCTGAAGCCACTCCGTCAGACTGCAGGACTGACACGGAGGAGCTGGACCAACCAAAAGTACCGCTTCAGGACCAAGGCTAAGGCCCGCACGGACCTCTGTTTAGCCACTCGGGCGCCACCTAGTGGCGTGGCCGGAGGGTGCAAGAAGGGCTGCCCCCACACTTCTGAAGATCTGGGGCGTGGACTGAGGCTGGGATTGGTGGGTTGAGAGAGCTAGAAGGGGCACAGCCCACTCGGACCTGACTCTAATTCGCAGTGTGACCTTGAGCAAGTCTAGTCTATCGCTTTGTGTTTCCTGAAGTGGAAAGAGGTAATCCCAGTGAGGAGAGAGTAAAAATCATCATTAACTTGTTTGTCCTCTCTGTCCTCACTCCAAAGAACATACCGAGGAGGAACGGAATTGGTTTTCTGTTTTGTTCACAGCTGTAACCTCAGACATTACCTGGCCCTGAGTAGGGCCTTGATAAGTATTTGTTGAATCAGTGAATAATTGACACGATGTGCCAGCCACTGTGGTAGCTGCTTCACATCTGTTATTTCATGTGATTGTCAGAATGTCTCATTATTACCCATTATAACACTGATGAGAAAAGTGAGATTCAGAGAGATTAGGTGATTTGACTAAGGTCACACAGCTAGTAATTCGAACTAGGATTGGAACCCCCGGACTATGTGAGTTCAAAATTCCTATGGCCTATGGACTGGGTCCATAGCTAGGTGTTCAGTCAGGGGTTAGTGAAGGTGGTGTTCTGTGGGGGCCTCCTGGTACCTGAGTGCTGACTGGTGATTGAGAGTGGCCAGTAGGTAGTGCACATAGTGAGGGGCCACGGCTTCCCCCCTGAGGTGGTCTCGGGAGAATCGGATCAGAGCATCACTGAAGCTGCAAAGGGCAGAGGTGGCTCCTGTACCTGATGTCACTCTGGAGTCCCCTTAACCCCAGTCCCTGATATTCCAGCCCCACCTCCAAGATACCCAAGGCCCTGTTTTGAAGGAACTCTTTCCCAATGGTGTGCCTTAGTCACTCAGAGCCCCCTTGGGCAGCCCCAGGAGTAGAGCCAGGGGTTGGGAGTGGGTTAGTGCCTTGGCAGACCTCCTCAGAAATGTGCCCAGTTCTGACAGTGCCATGCCATGCACTCGCCGCTGCAGTGACTCACTGACCAGGCTGGTCACACGAATATTCTCTTCCAAGATCTACAGGCAGGAATGGGCAGTCATCAGGAGAGTCCCAGTACCACCCTCCTTTCTTTTCCCTAGGGGAGCTGCCCGCCTGCCTTACTATTCCCCACCTACCTGCAGCACGATAGCTGGCATTGGTGAGTGGTAGAAGCCAGATGGGTCTTTGTCAGGTTCCTGCTCTCGGCCCCACTCAGCTACTTCCCCATCTAGTGCCTTCTGCATCCACTGGGCCACACTTGCCTGGGGGAAGGGGTGAGGGGCAGCAGGATGTAGCAGGACACCAGTACTGCTAGGGACAGGTAGACATGTGACACTACAGACACAGACCCACAGCTGGTGACAGTTTCTCTGGACCTTTGCCCAACTACTCACTTGGACTTTGGCCACAAATGTTGCCTCTAGCTGCTCGATGTTCTCCAGGGTCAGGAGGGGCTCCAACTGAGACACATCAGCCTCAGGCCCCAACTCTAGGCTCCCCATCATTTCTGGCCTGGAGATGGGTGGCCCAGTGTCACACTGCACCCCAGCCTCTGATCCACCCACTTCCCCTTGCCCAAGGGCACCGACCCCAGGTACACATGCAGTGCCCAGTGCAGCAAGGTGAACGCATCAGCAGCTACCAGTTCAGGCCCTTTCAGGAGTTGCTGCAGGCAGCGGCGCAGGCCACCATGCAGGGTGTGGGCCCACAGCTGGACCACCTTGTAGTATGGTGGGCAGCAGGGTGCTATTAGTGCCTCAGCTGTGGCCAACTCAGCTGGTAGAGCCACCTGCAGAGCCTCCAGCCACCCTGCTAGGGCCCCTGGCCCAGGCAGCAGAGGTGTTCCAAAGTGGGTCTTCTCCAGGCCCTCCTGTAGTGCCCGCAGACAGCGCTGCCGCCAGTCGCGGGGGGCCTGCCCAAGGGAGGTTGTGCGCCCAGCATCCAACTCTGCCACACGCATAGCAGCCACCAGCAGGGCTGGGTCCTCCCGGGCCAGCTTCCCTGCAGCCCCTGCAGCTGCCTCCACAGCCAGACCCAGAGCCTCAGCCAGAGGACCCAGCCCCTCGAAGACTGGCACCTCCAGCCCCCCTAGAGGTGCCCATGTCTCCTCTTGCAACTGCTCCAGCTCCTGAAGGCTCACATATGCCTCCAAGAGCTGCTGGCCATCAATCAGGGTCTGTGTGTGGGCCACCGCAGCTGGTACTAAGGGAAGAGAAGAGGAGATTAGTCCTGGGTCTCAGTCTCAGCCTTCCCACCTGTGCAATGGAGATGCAGCAGGGGATGGTGAGAGCCTGGGGGTAGGGATGACGTGTAAGATATTTAATAACCAATACAGTTGAGCATTGGCCAACTGAGAGGACCCAGGGAAGGGCCTAGATGCCTGATGGGCCAGGTGTAAACCCCTGAGCTAATGGAACATGAGGAAGTCATGAATCCTGGAGGAAGGTGGGGAGAAACTAGGGGACTATCTTAGTGGCTATTCACCTACCCTGTTAGGGAAATGTTTCAACAAATTAATGACCAGGGTGGGCAGAGCCATTTGAGTTGGTGTCAGTCCTTATTCAGACATCCGATGATTGGGAACACTAGAACGAGCTACTTTTCACCCTGCTTCATATGCCATTTGAAGCCTGAGATACTCTCTGGCAGGTCTCTGGTGTATCCCTCCATGCAATCTCCCACCAGTGCCCCAGCCCCTTGATCAATGATGGGTGTTTGGTGATTCACTGTTGTAGGGCTGAGGCCCAGGGCCCCCACATACTCACCTGCCCGCAGCCGGGGCATCAGCTGAGACAGGGCCTGCAGTTGCTTGTGCTGTGCAACCTGCTCCCTCAGGGGCTCTAGATCCTGTGTGGCCTCAGCCATGCTCCGGAGCAACCCATGGGCCTGGCCCAGGGCCTCACGTGCTCCCTGTACTGCCTCATGGGCCTGGACCAGCTGCCACACACCAGTCTTCACACCCTCCAGGTATGACTGTACCACCGACTTGGGGAGGGAAGCCACCAGTGAGACCTGTCCACTCCTGCAATCCTCCCCCAGCACCCCTGCCCTTGCCAGATGCCCACCTTGATGCGTGCTTCCAGGGAGCAGGTACGCTGAACCTCACGGCTGCGGTACTGGTCCAGCCTGGCCAGCTGCTCTGGCTGGTAGAAGATGCCTGATGCCCATTTCAATGCTGCTCCTCGGGCCAGCTGGTCCGCCCTCTCCTGCTCTGGCCACTCAGGCTCTGGGCAGGAAGAGCCTGGGCAGCCACGTCAGTGGGGCAGGGCCTGCAGGAAGCAGCCCTGAACCTGCTCCCCTTCCTACTCCTTAGCCTGTTCCCCAGGGCAGTCCACTACTCTCACCACCTATGCAGCTCCCTCCTGACCTGGTAAGAGGCCCCCACCCAACCCTTCCCATTTTTCTTCAACCATCCCTCCCTCAACCCACTCAGAAGGGCAAATACCAGGAGAAAGTGCAGGCTGCATTTCAACCTTGGTTGCCGCGTCCATAGCAGGCCCTGGAGAAGCCCGAGTTGAGGTAGGAGTGGGTGCGAGGATCTGGGTTAGGGCAGGCAGAGTGGATGCCCTTTGAGCTGCAGCCTCTCTCTAGGCAGGAGGAGGGGGGTTCGTGCCCAGCCCCCTCAGGAAATGAGAGGGAAGTGGGTGTGACTGGAAGGCACCTGAGAAGCCTTGGCCTGTTGAGCGTTTCTGTTTATCCTTGCAGATGTCTCCTCTGGCCCTCACTTCTGCTCTGAGTTGCAGAGGAAAGTTTGGATGGAGCTCAGCAGCCTTGAAAAGGCATGCAGTTCTTCCTCCAGTGTAAACAGCCTTGGCCTTCAGGGTGGCCCTCTCCCCCAGCCCTGATGGCAGAGCTGGGTGCTCCCTCCACTGGCTCACGAGACCTGGGTGGCTCTGACCTGCACCTTGGCATGCAGCAGCAGAATTCCTCTCTCCAAGGAAGCCTCTGTCCCACCTCCCTGCCCAGGAACTCCCTTCTCCTCTCTCTTCAAGGCCCCTCCCTCCCCAAGGTCACACACAGAAAGGAAGGAAGCTGAGTCTCTGGTGCTTTATTCCCAACAGGAAAGAGCATCTGCACTGTGGGATGGGGTAGGGAGGGCTAGGCACAGATTCCTTGAGGGGAAGGGGGTGTACTCCCTGTGATCATGAAATCTTGACCAGCCCATCCAGGACTTCTTAAGTGCTCAGTACACAGACATGAGCTAGAGGGCCCCAACCCAGGGTAGGGAGCGGGGTGTGCAAATATGGATGCAGACAACATTCCAATATGAAAACTGTTTTGCTGGACCCCTCAGAAGTGAGTGTGCACTCTGCACAGGAATGAGAGACTGCAGGCTGTTGTGAAGGTGTGTGGTGTGTGATGGCAGGTGAGGTGGGGACAGGGCTCTGAAAGCTGTTTGTCTTCAGAGTCAAAAGGGGCTGTGAAAGGGAATACAGAGTAGTAACAATGTAGTGGACAGTGGTTACCACCCAAATCCACCTCCAGGACAAAGACACTCATTCCCCTGACTGCCAGGAGTATATAGGCTATTGAGTCTCTTGGTCAATGTTAAGGTACAAAGGCCCAGTACCCTTGCCTGGATGTGGAATGCTTTTGAAGGGCCCAAGTTTGGAAACCCAGTTTCAGTGCTCCTCTATTAGGAGGGTCTGAGGCCTCTATTATAACTGTATCACAGTTTAATCCTTCCACCACTCCCATGCAAATGTGGATCCTCAATAAACTTCCCGCTGGCAGATCCCTGTCTCTAAGTGGTTTTCCAGAAAACTTGATGTAAAATAAACAGTAATAAGTAATGACAATGTTGAAAATAACAAAATCAGCTCTTAAGTGTTTCTATATGTTTACACATAGGTAACCATGTTTGCACTGGCTGAAAAGCGGTTGTAATTCCCCGGCCTCTGAGCACTGCAGTGTGGAGACAAGGGAAAAGGAGAGGCTGGGATCGGGGAAGGGAAGTGGGGATGGAGATATGTGGACAAAGTTAGTGGTTGCTGTTTGGCAGGAATTGAGAGACAGGAATAGGGTAGATGACCCCAAGATAGTGGGGCAGCCTCTAGTAGCAGGTTGGGGTTCATCAGGCAGCATGGTCTCCATTCCTGAGATAGGGGCTGGGGCAGGTTTTCCAGCCGTGGCTTCGCTGACGGGGCTGTCCACCGAGTTCTTCCACATTCCTCCGCCCCAAGTCCTGTCGCGAGAGATCCCCGGGTTGTTTTCGTCCTTTTCGGCGGCTAGACATTTGCTCATGGTCCCCTAAATTTTGCGATCATGGTTGCAGAGAGGAATTACGCCAGATTCCCTGGGAGGGCGCGAGGCGGAAGCGGAAGTAGCGTCGCTGGCGCCGGCGGCCGGGTGGCCAGGAACGGAAGCGGAAGTGGCGGCGGCGCCGGCCTGGCCTGGCCTGGCTGAGGGGAGGCGGCGGGCGGGCGCGATGGCGGAGGCCGGGCCACAGGCGCCGCCGCCCCCAGGTACCCCAAGCCGGCACGAGAAGAGCTTGGGACTTCTCACCACCAAGTTCGTGTCGCTTCTGCAGGAGGCTAAGGACGGCGTGCTTGACCTCAAGCTGGTGCGGCCCGGGCTAAGGGGAGACGGGGAATGGTGAACCAGGCAGGCCTGGGCCGATAGCGGGAACCCCCGAGGCGGCCCAGCTGAGCCCTCAGAGTGCTGGCTGCCATCCGTGTGCTTTCTCACAGGAGGGAGGCTGGGAGCTGTTTCATTCATTCCGCCGAGGCCATTGGGCATCAGCTATGTGTCAGGCTCCGGGCTGCAGGTGCTGGTCCTCGTGGCCGTCCCCGGCTGGTGTGGGGAGAAGAGCATCAGAACGTCAGTTCGGGCTGCGCCAGGCCTCTTCCCGCCTCGCGGTCCTGAGCTGCTTTGGGCCTGGAGGAGGGTTGGGACCAAGTCTCAAGATAGCTGGGGATACACCCGAGAGTGGCACTGAGCATCCTCCACTCTGTTCTGTCTGCCAGGCAGCTGACACTCTAGCTGTGCGCCAGAAGCGACGGATTTACGACATTACGAACGTGCTAGAAGGTATTGGGCTGATTGAGAAAAAATCCAAGAACAGCATCCAGTGGAAGTGAGTGGGGGCACCTGGGAGGGCAATGGGATCTTCTGCCTTAAAGTGTCAGGGGTGTGGGGTGGAGGGAGCAGAGACCTTGGGACCCAGAGTTCTTGGCAGTTCCTCTCAGCCCCACTCCCGGGGCTCAGGGGTGTGGGGCCCGGCTGCAATACCCGGGAGATTGCGGACAAGCTGATTGAGCTCAAGGCAGAGATCGAGGAGCTGCAGCAGCGGGAGCAAGAACTGGACCAGCACAAGGTGTGGGTGCAGCAGAGCATCCGGAATGTCACAGAGGACGTGCAGAACAGCAGATATCCTCCTGGTGGTCCCTGCTCCCGGGGAGTGGGTGAGGGGCCCTCTAGTCCAGCTGGGTTTGCTCTTTGGTGCTGTAGGTACATATTCCTCCTGGGAGGATGGTTCTATAACTCCTGGCCACGTTCCAGCCTCTGGCTACCTGCTTAGAGCCCCTCCACTGCCATTCTTGGCCTGTGATCCTTTTCCATGTAGAGCTTATGCTCCAGGTCTGTCTTTGAGGGCTTGTGGTCAGATTTTTGCTAAAGAACTGGATCTTCTTTGTGGTCTGCCATCTATCCCCATAGGCAGGGTATCAGCCATTCTCCTTAACCCCCACACTTTGGCCTACGTGACTCATGAGGACATCTGCAGATGCTTTGCTGGTGAGCAGAGCCTGGGCAGGGGGAAATGGGGTGGGGGTTGGGCTGAGTTACAGCCCTGAGCCGTGGGCTCAGAGCCCAAGGAGAGTTCCACCTCTTAAGAGGGTTCCTGGGGCCTGCCCAAAGAGGAAGCAGGTAGGGTAGGTCCTGGGTTTGAGGGTCACTAGTTCCCTGTGGAGGCAAATCATACTGAAGGTACAAGAAGTCTGGGTTGGGTCCCTGGGTCAGTCCCTATGTACTGTTTCCTGGGTTTGGCTTCTCAGGCATCACAGAGGCATAAGGGGGAGTGAGTGTGTATACATGCTTGTGCATGCTTGTATGCAGGGGGCAATGGTGCCTACTTCCAATTTGTAGTTAGCTTAGTTACATCATGAGCACGGGAACTGTTTCTTCTCTAGCTTGTGTTCCCCAGATAAATCTTGTGGAAGGGATATTGGCCTTAGCTAGAACACCTGCACCTAGGGAGCAATGCTATCAGTCAAAGAGTGAGATGCCCATGCCAGCAATCGTCCACTCCACATGTCTGAACCCAGATTTTCTGGTTACTGATTCCTGGGCTTTTGGGAGGAGGAAAGCTTTTGTTCTGTGTCCCAACCACTGTGGGGATGGGTGAGGCCTACTCATCCATGTCCAGCCCTTCAAAGACCATGATCTCCTTCCTTGTTCCAAAGGATAGGCACCCCCATTCTCAGCTCAGATTGAACCCATGGGTCCTGACCCATTCTCCTTGTCATTATAGGGGACACCCTCCTGGCCATCCGGGCCCCATCAGGCACCAGCCTGGAGGTGCCCATCCCAGAGGTGGGTGCTCAGCCAGGCAGGCGGGGTTGATGGAGGGCGGGTGCTGGCTGTGGAGCTTGATAAGTCCCGGGTGGGGCAGGTAGTGGGAGGCCTGGGGTTTGGGGTTATCTAGAAGAACTGGCCGACTGGGGTGGGAGAGGTCACTGTGGCCACGGCCCAGGATCAGGCAGGGTCAGGCAGGAGTTAAGCCCGCTTTAAATATCACTTGTCCCCCATTCTCTACCTCAAGGGCCTCAATGGTCAGAAGAAGTACCAGATTCACCTGAAGAGTGTGAGTGGCCCCATCGAGGTATTGCTGGTGAACAAGGAGGCATGGAGCTCACCGCCCGTAGCCGTGCCAGTGCCGCCACCTGAGGATCTGCTCCAGAGCCCCCCTCCTGTCTCTACTCCTCCGCCTCTGCCCAAGCCTGCCCTGGCCCAACCCCAGGATTCTTCTCGCCCCAGCAGTCCCCAGATGACCACCCCTGCTCCTGTCTCCAGCAGTACTGAAGCCCAGGTGGTGGCAGCTCCAGCAGCTGAGGTCACAGGTGAGGCATGACAGCTGGTGATGGGGTGATCTCTGGGGCCCAAGAGGCAATACCTGTGTGTTGTGGAGTGCCACAGGAGTTGGAAGGGACCCTGTAGGGGCTGTCCTTTCTCTGGCCCCAAGTTGGTCTGCCCTTACTATGGCAGTGAAAGCCCTTTTTGACAGAGAACCTCTGACTGTGTGAAAGGGCATTAATGGTGATAGGTTTCCTGCAGATTCATCTGTGTTTCACTTGCTCTGGCAGGCCCTCTTCAAGTGTGGTCCCAGCAGTCATGTCATTCATGAGTCTCCCTCTCAGAGGTCATTTCTGAGTTACCTCTTTAGGGGTGACTGGCAGTGCCTAACTGCTTGGGCCTGGGACTCAGGGCTGTGGTCATACTGGTTGTGGGTTCTAGCACCACCAGCTTCAATATCCTGCTTCCTGCCCCCAAGTGACTGGGTTCAGGGGATGTGCTTGCAGTGAGTGGTGGCCCTGGATCTGATAGCAAGGACAGTGGTGAGCTCAGCTCGCTCCCGATGGGCCCGACAGTGCTGGACACACGGCCGCTGCAGTCCTCTGCCCTGTTGGACAGCAGCAGTTCATCTGGGCCCAACAACCCTTCTACCTCCTTTGAGCCCGTCAAGGTGGACCCCACAGGTGGTGAGTACCGTTCCTCAGGAGCAGGCACAGTCCTGGGTCAGAAAAAGTGGAACTAGAACTCAGGGCTCCTGTGTCCTCACAGAGCTAGACATCCCAAGGCCTAGCTCCCTGCCGTCAACCCCTGCCTTGACCCCAGAGCTTGGTCTACCTTGGTACTGGTGCCCATTTGCCCACCTTCCTGGGCTGACACTTTCAAGCCTTGCCTGCCACCCCTTGGACTCAGATTGCAGGAAGGCATAAGCACTGTCCTGGAGAAGGGGCTGTGGGATGGCCTTCAGGCTCCAGAGGTGGGCAGCACCTTCTCAGGAGAGGCGAAGTCCATCCTGGGAGTCGAGAGTTTGCTTCTTCCGGGGCTCATTCTCTTCAGCTCCCAAGTACTGCTAAGAGTCTACCCACAAAATGACCCTTTGTCCTCTGTATCCCCTCTCTCACCTTTCTGTCTCCTCTTTGTTGGGACTCCTTGGAAAAGTCATCTCCACTGCAAATCTTGGTCTCCTAGTCACCTTTTCAGTTACAGCAGTGAGGACCCCTGCGCCCCCCGCATTGTGCCGGTGCTGCTCCTGCTACTCCTGGTGCCTCCCTCAGGCTGCTGGCTCCAGCAGCATTCTTGGCTGATCTGCTCTGGTGCTCCCTGGCTCTGTGTTGAGGGTTTTTTCCTCCTATGGCATTAATGATGTCAGCTCTGGCTCTTCTCTCCCACTGGCTTCTCCCTCTCATCTCTCCCTAGCACTCCCTTAAACATGGGCATTTCCCAGGTCTCTGTCCTATTCCACACCTGTGGAGGGCTCCACTTCTAGGTAGATCAATCCCGTTCTCACTCTCCATCTTGCGTAGGTCTTTTGCCTGAACTTCCCACTGTGTGACCACGTGCCTTCCTCCATATGTTCAGTGGGCACTTCATTCCCTCATGTCCTCATCTAAACTTGTTTTTTCTAGCTCTGTGCATACCCTGCCATTAGCTGTATTCCCCAAGGTCTGAACCTGCCTGTCACTCCAGTTCTATCCCCCTCTCCCTCTTCTTCTGCTGCTCCTCACCCTGCATCAGCTAAATGAGTTCCATCCCAGATGTCTCCCGTCACTGGTTTCAAGTATCCTCAACACACCCAGGATCCCTGCCAGCCACCTCTGTCCTAAATTCTTTGGCATCCTTCTCTTCACTGTGACTGACAAGGATCTGTCTGAAACACAGCCTGACTGTGCCATTTCTCTGTACTTTTATCATCTCCTAAGGCCCTCAGGATAAAACTGGAATCTCTGAACCTGGTATAGGACATCCCTCATGACCCAGCTCCAGTATCTCTCTCCAGCTCCACTTTTCTCTACTTCCCGTGTGCATCCTCCTAGTCAGATGTTTGTAGCAGAGTTGTCGCCTTGTAGCTCTGGCTTCTATTGAAGTGGCTGCCCCCTCTGCCAGGTGGCCCAGCCTGGAGTGTGGTCTCTGAGCCTGGCACCTAGCAGGTGCTCAGCAAATACAGAGATGGGGCATTCTCCCATCAGACAGATATGCCTGCTGAGCCCAGAAAGGGAGGGGGTCTACAGTCCTTGGACAGTACTCCTGAGTTGGGAGCTGTACAAGTCACCTACGGTGGGCCTTTGGTACCCTGGGCTCTGCACTGAGCGATTCAGGTCTAGCAGGGGAGACTAGTAGACATTACAGTCTTGGCCTGGGGAGGGCCTCCATCTCTTCAGCTGTATGGAGCTCTAGGGTGGGTGGTAAGGGGTCTGAGGAAGGCAGGGCCTAGGGTGGGAACAGGCTGGATCTCTGTGTCCTTGAGTATGGCTTTCTTGTCTTCCAGTTTTGGAACTCCCCAAAGAGCTGTCAGAAATCTTTGATCCCACACGAGGTAGGGATGTGTTTGTTCCTCCATGGGGCTGGGGTAAGGGGCACAGCTCACTGGGTCTCATGGCTGTCTTCTTGCCCTTCCAAGGACGTTTGGTTGCACTTGGTGCCTGGGCAAAAAGTAAAGTTCCTGACAGGTGGCTGGAGGGTTCTCTTCATGGACTCTGGTGAGTGGAGAGGCAGGAGCCAGGATGTAACTGAGTTCTCCCTCCTTCTCCAGAGTGCATGAGTTCGGAGCTGCTGGAGGAGCTGATGTCCTCAGAAGGTGGGTGGCCGAGGAAGGTGGGGTGTGGGTGTGGGCCGGGGGTTGGGCAGCTGCTGGGTGGGGCCTCAGCCTGGTGTTCTCTGCAGTGTTTGCCCCCCTCCTCCGCCTTTCTCCACCCCCTGGAGACCACGATTACATCTACAACCTGGACGAGAGTGAAGGTGTCTGTGACCTCTTTGATGTGCCTGTTCTCAACCTCTGACAGGAACATGCCCTGTGTGGCTGGGACACAGACTGTCTGACCCGGGGGCTGCCTGGGGACCTCACCTCACCCCACCCCACCCCTACACAGCTTGAGAGCCACAGACCCCTGGCTTCCCCAGCCTTCCCTCACTGCACAGTTCTAGCCACACTTCCCATTCCTGCGCCGGCAGCTGTACCGTGCTAGGAGAGAAGGGATGGGCTCAGCCTCCTACACTGTGGAGCCAAAGTGTTTGCCTCTCCTTTTCTGGGGCCTTCTCTCACCTTATGCCCTCCCAGAGCCCAGGCACAGCTGCCATCCACTGGCACAGAACTGAGGACCTGCCATAACCCCAATAGGGCAGCTTGTCCAGCCCCACTGCTGTTTCTGCCTACACCCCCACCCCACCCCAGAGGGAAGCCTGGGGTACAGCAGGACACTTGCCGTATCCCCCCCCAGCCTCCTTCACTTCTCCCCACCCCCTGACCCTAACAGCTCATCCTGGACCTCTTGTGTGGCCCCCCCTTCTGATGGGCCCTTAGCCCTCAGAACCTGTAGGTTGAGAGGAGCTGCGGACAGGAAGGAACAGGTCTCTAGCTAGGAATCTGGGTGGGTGAGTCTGAGGATTGGCCCAACCTCCTGCTGTCCCAAAGCCCCCACCCCCACCCCATTTATTCATTTACCTTCATTTAGAGCCATTTGCAGAGATTTTAGAGAGATTTGCAGTAACGAATGAATTCCTATATAAAGATTATTTTTATACTTTTTGCAGCAAAAGGAAATTGTAATATTTGTACAGTGTCCAAGTGAATAAAGGCCATGCCTAAGGCTATGTCTGATCTGGTTCTTTCAGGGCCCCTCCCTGGGTCTGTGCTGGATTGGTGGTGGACTGGGTGGGTTACCTTGCTGGAATGGGAGGTGTGCAATCGCTGGCAGCCCGCCCTCCCCACCTCCACCTGCCCCACCTTGGGGCGGGGCCGCCTCTGCGGGGGCGGGACAGGGCAGGCGCCGACCTACCTTCCTACCCCCGGCACTCCAACCCGGAACTATCCTCGGCTACCTCGGGAAGGCTGTGGCGCCTGGCCCTGAGTACAGGCCAGCGGGTTACAGACCCCGGGCAGAGAGACGCACTCGTCTTCAGGGGCCGCAGACCAAGTACATACTTGGCAGGAGGTTGCACGATCTGGAAAGTACAGACGCCCTGGCCCCTGCTGGACCATGGCGCCCCAGCGGAACGTGGTGAAGATCGCCGTGCAGATGCGTGACGCCATCCCGCAGCTCATCCAGCTGGACCAGGTCACCCAGCCAATGTGCCCTCCATCCAACCCACAACCCACCCCGGGTCGCCCTCTTCCCGTCAAAACAGCGCACCCCACCCCTTCCCCAGGTTCTTTCCCACTCCCCTCCACTGAGTGACCGCTCCACTTGCAGGCAAAGCCCCTAGCCTCTGTGCTGAAGGAGGTGTGCGTCGCGTGAGTTTGGGCCTGCGAGGGGCGGAGAGTGGGGGGGTGCGGTGGTGTTTTAAGGGGCACCCCCTTCCTGCCTCACTGAGCCTACGCTGCCTGCAGGTGGAACCTGGTTTACCCTGAGCGCTACGCCCTGCAGTTTGCCGATGGGCACAGGAGATATGTCACTGAGAACGTGAGTGCCCTCTTCCCTGGGGCCCGATTCCACTCTCTGACCCCTTGTAACCCTCCTGGCTCGTATTCCACTGTCCCGGATGTGAGCTTTTACTGACTCCCAAATCCTCCCTCATTGACAACCCCAATTAACTAATCCTCAGAGCCCTTCTTGACTTCGCTCTTTTCTGCCATTTTCCTCAGAACCGCTCCGAGATCAAGAATGGCAGCATCCTGTGCCTCAGCACTGCCCCAGTAATGCCCCTCCTGACACCACCGTCATTCCCTGCCCCTCTACTATGCCTCCTTTCTGCCCGCCTGCCCTTGGCCCCAGGTCTGGAGGCCCCAGCCCCCACCCCAGCCCCACCCCAGCCTAGCATGCCCCACCTAGTGGACAATGGAGTCCTCACACCTCCAGTTCCCATTCCTCACATCCAGTTGCTATTCCTTACCTCCTCCCAGCCTCCTTACCTCTGCTCCTCCTCCACCCCTGCCAGGACCTTGAGGCTGAGGGGCTGTTGAATAGGCTGCAGACTGGGAATCATGAAGGGCACCGGGAAGCCCTGCGACTTCTCGTCCTGCTAGTCTCAGATATAACCTTCGCCCAGGAGGTCATCAGCCGTGATGGGCTTCAGAGACTAGGCACTATCATTGAGGATGGGGACGAGTGAGCACAGGGTTGTGATGGATGGTGGACATGGTGGGGCTGGGGGTCCTGGTCTGGCCCTGCTCAACCCCAGATGTCCTCCCAGCCTAGGAGAGGTGCTGGCCCTTGCACTGAGGGCCTTCTTGGAGCTCATGGAGCACGGCATGGTATCCTGGGAGACAATTGGCATCCCCTTTGTTAGGAAGGTGGGTGGGCTTTTCTAGGGGCAGCAGGTGGGGCTCGTGGGGATGGTGTCAGGATCTGGCCCCCAATGGTGGTGACAATTCCTTACTCCTCTTACAGGTGGTGTATTATGTGAACATGAACCTGATGGATGCATCTGTGCAGCCCCTGGCCCTCAGGCTGCTGGAGAGTGTGACCTTGAGCAGCCCTGCCTTGGGTCAGATGGTTAAGAGTGAGGTGCCACTGGATAGACTGCTGGTGCACTTACAAGTGTAAGTGTCTGGGGGTGGGATATGGATGAGGGAAGCGGAGCCAGGCCCTGGACAGCCAGATGAGTCCTCTTCCTGCCCCAGGATGAACCAGCAGCTGCAAACCAAGGCCATGGCCCTGCTGACAGCCTTGCTGCAGGGGGCCAGCCTTGCTGAACGTAAGGTGAGTGTCCAGCTGGTGACTGGATGGGGGCAAGAGCTGGTGGGCACTGTGCTCCACCCTGGGCCTATGGGGGGATGCTCTTGGTGGGGCCAAATCATCTATGCCCCCTTTCCACCTACCTTAGCACATGCTTGACTACCTGTGGCAGAGAAATCTTCGTCAATTCATCTATAAGGTAGGAAAGACTGAGCCAGGCAGGCCTCTCCCCACTCCTCCTTTCCCAGTGAGCTTATACTCATACCCATGGACTGACTGTTCTCCAGAACATCATCCATAGTGCAGCACCACTGGGCGACGAGATGGCTCATCACCTGTATGTACTACAGGCCCTTACACTGGGGCTGCTGGAGCCACGCATGCGAATAGCGCTGGACCCCTACAGCCAGGTGGGTGCCTTGGTTGCACAAGGCTGGAGATGCCTGGAGGTTGGCCTTGAATCTTTGATCTTGACATCATCACCCTCCAAACAATGACCTCAGGAACAGCGGGAACAGCTGCAGGCCTTGCGCCAGGCTGCCTTTGAGCCAGAGGGGGAGTCCCTGGGTAGTGGACTGAGTGCAGACCGTCGCCGTTCCCTCTGTGCCCGCGAGTTCCGCAAACTTGGCTTCTCTGTGAGTTATCCCTCCCTGTTCCTGCCTCCACCCAGGACTGCTATTGTTCCAGGGGCCTGGGACCTCTCCTGAGCTGCCTGTCCCCCTTCCCCCAGAACAGCAACCCTGCACAGGACCTAGAGCGCGTGCCTCCCGGCCTTCTGGCCCTGGACAACATGCTCTACTTCTCCAGACACTCACCCAGTGCCTATAGCCGGGTCAGTGATGGGGCAGATGGGATATAGCAGTTTGCCCGCCTTGGCAGGGTTCCCATGACTCCCCACCCCATTCCCTCTCCCACAACACCAGTTTGTGCTGGAGAACAGCAGCCGCGAAGACAAGCATGAGTGCCCCTTTGCCCAGAGCAGCATCCAGCTGACTGTGCTGCTGTGTGAGCTGCTACACATAGGAGAACCCTGTGAGTGGGACTGGGCACAGTGTATCCGGCAGTGGGAACGGAAGGGCAGAGAGGGCCAGGGGCTGCACACACTTTCTCCCTGAGCCCTTCCTGCCCTCCCACTCCAGGCTCCGAAACGGCCCAGGACTTTTCACCCATGTTCTTCGGCCAAGACCAGAGCTTCCATGAGCTCTTCTGTGTGAGCATCCAACTGCTGAATAAGACCTGGAAAGAGATGCGGGCCACACAGGAGGATTTTGACAAGGTGGGTGGGATGGGAGCTGGGAGGCTTGGGCCAGGGCTATTGTGGGTAGGTGCCCAGAACTCAGGCCCTAAGCTGAGCTTGGGGTGGCCTCAGGTCATGCAAGTGGTGCGGGAGCAGCTCGCCCGCACGCTTGCCCTGAAGCCCAGCTCCCTGGAGCTCTTCCGAACCAAGGTGAATGCGCTCACCTACGGGGAAGTGCTACGGCTGAGGCAGACTGAGCGGCTCCATCAGGAGGGCACGCTGGCCGCCCCCATACTGTGAGTTGGGGGGAATGGGTACCAGTCCTCACCCACACCTTCCCTGGTGCCCCATGGGCCTTGCCCTACCTCAATCCCAGTCAGTGAGCCCCCTCCCTCCACCTAGGGAACTACGGGAGAAGCTGAAGCCAGAGCTCATGGGCCTAATCCGCCAGCAGCGTTTGCTCCGCCTCTGCGAGGGGACAGTTTTCCGCAAGATCAGCAGCCGGCGGCGCCAGGGTTATTGAGTGGGCAGGGTGGGCAGAGAGTGGCTGGGTTGGGATCAGCGCCCCTGTCTTCACTCCTTCCCTCTCCCTCTTCCTGCGCACAGACAAGCTGTGGTTCTGCTGCCTGTCCCCCAACCACAAGGTTCTGCTGTATGGGGATGTGGAGGAGGTTGCTGGCCCGCCCATCCCCGAGAGCCTGCCTGAGCAGCGTAAGGAGGGTGGGGCTGGGCTCGGACACCCGCTTTCCCCGGGACCGCCTGGGCCCCAGTGGTCAGCCCAGTCTTCTTCCTCAGTCCCTGTGGCAGACATCAGGGCACTACTGACAGGCAAGGACTGCCCCCACGTCCGGGAGAAGGGCTCGGGGAAGCAGAACAAGGTGAGTGCAGGGCGGGCTAGGGGCTCCTTCCCACCTGCCCCTGCCCTGCCCTGTTCCCTACTCAGTACTTCTGGCTCCCTTGCTTCCACAGGACCTCTATGAGTTAGCTTTCTCACTCAGCTATGACCGTGGGGAGGAGGAGGCATCCCTCAATTTCATTGCCCCATCCAAACGCGAGGTGAGTCTGGGCTGGGCCCAGCCAAGTTGGGCAGATGGGCAGGGGAAGAGCCGGGCAGGCCCTCAGGAGCTGGCCCTGTTCCCAGTTCCACCTGTGGACAGATGGGCTGAGTGCCCTGCTGGGCAGTCCCATGGGCAGTGAGCAGACCCGGCTGGACCTGGAGCAGCTGCTGACTATGGAGACCAAGCTGCAGTTGCTGGACCTAGAGAATGTACCCATCCCTGAGCAGCCACCTCCTGTTCCCCCGCCCCCCACCAACTTCAACTTCTGCTATGACTGCAGCATCGCTGAACCTTGACAGTGAGGTTGAACAACCAAGGGCCATAGCTGCTACCACTGTGGTGGCCGTAGAGGGTGGAGGGTGGAAAAGCACAGATATCCTGACTAGCAGAGGCTGCAGCAGCAGAAATAAAAGTCTGCTTGGCTCTTGGTATGTGTCAAGCCCACTCTGAACGTTGTGGGCCAAGCCTGCCTTCAAACTTAGCTGGCAAATGAAATTGAGGGTCAGATCAGAGTCACAAACTTGGGCAGCCAGCTGGGGCGGCTAGTGTTCTGAAGGAGGGTGGGGATAGGCTGGCCCTGATGTCCTTTCCCAAGATGAATCCTCAGCCTCCCTCAGTTCTGGGCCTATAGAGGAGGATGGCCTGTGGTCTGGGGGCACCAGCCAGTTGAGGGAGAAATGGCAGGGCAGAAGGCATTGCCCCAAGCAGATGCCTTTCTGGGCAGCTTTAATGGGCTAGTTTGGGAGCCATATTTCCAGAAGTCTCCTGACAAGTCTGAGCTCAGTCCTCAACCCTGCTTGTGTCTGCCCTGTATCTTTGTGGGACTTGGAGGCTCTCTGATAAGAGGCATGAAGGGAGAGATGGGAGGCAGGGCCTACTTTGTGCTGAAGGGTAAATGCAAGATACCAAAGGCATTCCCAGGCGGTGGCAGGATATGGGCTGATTGTGAGAAGGAAATTCACTGCAGGAAGCCCTTCATTCTGATTAAAAAATAGCACAGGAGCACAGGTTGGGTGGGGGCTGCAGAGAGGCCATAGCCCCTTGGGCCAGAAGCAGCTAGGGCTGTTGGGCTCAGCTGGAGGTCAGTCTCAGAGGCTATTGTCATGGACCCCAAGCCTCCAGGGGAGGAGGAGCACTGCAGCCCACAGGAGCCACAGAGCAGTCAGAAAGCTGCCACTATCCTCTGATCTCCTGCTCCATGCCTCTCTTTCTCAGTGCTCCTCAAGTATCTCTTTTAACAGTGTTGACCATCAATATGTTACCTTGAAAACTGAGGAAATGGCACCTCCTTTGGGGAATGTGCTGGGGGAGCACTTGCTCCACCTCCCCCAGCTCTGCTTCTGACTTAGACATCCAGGGCCTGACATGCCCACTCCTGCATTCAGACACTTCCCACCACAGTTGAAATAGTCTGCTTTTGAGTTCAAGGAGGAAAGCGGGGCAGGGATCCCAGATGCAGCTAAGTCTCCCAATACCATCAATTCTTCCTTCTCAAGGTCTCCCATCTTATGTCCTAGCCACTGTCATCTTGGCAAGAACCTCCTGACTCCCTGCCTCTTGTCTTGCTCCTCCAGTCCTCTCAGTCCCAGCTACCCCACTGCTTTCTCAAACATGAAGCTGATCTGATTCCACCTTCACACACCACCCCCATCCTGTACTCCTTAATGCCTCCATTACCCATGGGCTAATGATCATGGTAGCGTGATTGAGCAGGGTTGAGGTGGGTTGCAGACATGGTAGTTTAGGTCTCTTAACCAATGCCTGTGGCTTGCAGGGCTCTTGGGGCTTGGTCCAAGCTGGCATCCTTGGTGCACCCATCCCCAGCTCCAACTCTGGCCTGCCATGCACATTACCCAGTCCCTTCTGTCTGATTGCCTCTTCTGTCCCTCCTGCCTGCTTTTCACTGTCTGGGGTCCTTCCTTGGCCTCCCAGACTAAGTTCTTTGCTGCCCGGACTCCTGGTCTGAGGTGCTTGTTTGTCCAGTTGTCAGTACCCTGCACAGTGGGCCATCCGTGCCTGTTGGCTAATCTGGTCTGGGGGCAGTAAAACCTCACTTTGCATGCCCATATAAAGCACAGTGCCACAGGCAGGAATCCTGGCTAGCTGCTCCTAGAACTGATGAACAGATAGGTAGACAAAATGTGGGTAGATGCATGGAGGGCCAGGTAGGTGGGGCTGCTCAGAGCTGCTGTTGAGAAGTCACTGGCACTGTTTAGGAGGTTGGATTAGATGACCTGTAATGACCCTTCCTACCCAGAAATGCCGTCTTCTTTCTTGTCCTTTTCTTCCCTCTGTCGTGAAGGCAGCCTCCTTCACTCACTGTGCTTAATCAGCATGCTCCTGGGGTCTGGCTGGGACAGACATGCCTTTGCTGTACACAGAAGCAGGACATGCCTGAGGCCTCATGCTATGAGAGGCCCCTAAGCTTCTGGAGTCTCCCACTCTGTTGGGAAGCTAGGACCTGCTGGGGGGGTGGGGGGAGGGTGCCTCTGGGGCCTTGGGCCAGGCAAGAGGAAGAAGTTGTCTGTGAGCCTCTAGTGTCCTCCACACTGTCCCTAGGATGGACCAGGCTGCTTCCACTGAGGTGGGGAGGGGAGGCGCCCTTTAGTCTGAGAACTTCAGAGGAGGTAGGTTTGGAACTTTTAATCTTGTTTGGGTTTACAACAAAGACTGTGGCTTGCCTGCTAAAGCTCAGTGCGGGTAGAGGGTGAGAGAGCTCCCTGTAGGAAACAAGGTGTGGCATAGGCCTTAGGGGTGGGAAGAGGGCAAGAGGCACAGGGTCTTCTCCTCCCTAGCACCACCTGTGGGTCTGGCCTCTGGACCCAGTCTTGGCCAGGAGAGCAAGAGCTGGCATTTCCAGAGGCCTGTGGCAGTGACATGGCAGCTGGAAAAAGGCTCCTGCTGGGCTGTGGGACAGACTGGGGCAGGAAGCCCCCTGGGCTTTCCTGGATTAGTCCTACCCACAGTCCTAGAAAAGGGGATAATAGCCTGGGGAAGGAGCCCTAGGGTATGTGGAAGAGTGAGGCAGGATGCACTGAGTCAAACTCAGGCCAGGGCTGAGGCCTATGGAGGTGAGAGAGGCTGAGTCACAGGACTGGTTACTGATGTGGCCTCAGAGCATTAGGGTCAGGTCAGCCCCTCCCATGAAGCGGGACTGGACGCAGGTCACCTGGGGTGGTTGGGCTTGGAAGTACCTGACAGCAGCCATGCTAACACCAGAGCACATGGCCACATCTAACATCCAAAGCTGCTTGCATGCCTGCCCTATGGTATCCAGCGTTCTGCAAGGAGACTATGGCTGAGAGCCTGAGCCAGTGTGGGGCCCCAGCCCAGCCATGCACTGTGGCATCATGGGACACACTCACTGCTCTGTGAGCTGATTGCAGTTGTACAGGTTGAGGTGCTGCAGCCTTGGCCAGAAGCTGGCTGCCTGGGCTCAGCCCTCATCACTGAGGAGGCTGCAGTGGCTCAGCTTCAAGCACTCCAGGCTGGGGCAGCCCCTGGCCACTGCCACCAAGCCTTTGTCTGTGAATTCAGGTAACAGGCTCAGTGAAAACTGCCTCAGCTGGGGGAACTGGAGTACCTGAAAGAATGGGGGTATGGTGGGGAGTGCAGTGTGGCGCTGGAGTCCAGGTCCCTTCTAGGTTCCCCCACCCCCAGCCAGAGGAATGGCTAAAGGTAGCAGAAGTCAGTGAGAAAGGAACTCCTTGCAAGCAAAGAGGAAACTACCCCAGGCCCCTGGCTTCAGCCCCAGGATCGTCAGCCTATTTACACCCCCAGCCTCACACCTTGGCCAAACTGGCATCAGTCAGCTTGCTGCAGGCTGACAGGTCCAGCTCCTGCAGGGCCTGCAGTGTGAGCAGTGAGGGGCCCTGGGGCTGTGGAGAAGGGTCCTTGGGGCCTGAGGCCCGATACTCCAGCTCTCCATGTGGCTGTGGGAAGACCCTGCTTCTAGGTTCCTCCTGCGTTTGGCTCTCAAATGCTCTTAAAGAGTCAGGAGGGGTAGCAGGGCAGCCGAGCCCAGGGACCACCCCACCTTCCATGATCCTGAGGGTCTCACACCTGGCGCCCCTGTGCAGAGTCCTCTCTTGGTTCCCCCAGCCCCAGAAGCCCCCAGTCTTGGAGTTCCTTGCACCGGGCCAGGCGCAGGTCTGAGAGGTGAGGTAGGTAGGTGGGTAGGTAGGTGCATATGGCCTGCAGGGTCTTGTTGGTGAGGGCCCCCCAGGAGACTAAGTCTAGCACCCTGAGATTTGGGCCCAGAGATGGGATCAAGGAGAGCAGTGAGGCGTCCTAGGGGGGAAGGGGAGAAGGGAGAGAGCAATGGAGATGTGGTTTGTACCTGTAACCTGGCTCAGCAGGGGTCACTAGGCAGGTTATGCCCAAGGTTCCAGGCAATAGGGGGCTCCCAGAGGGTCCACAGCGGGAAGCAACAATGTCCCTATGCTGGTGAAAGATAGGTTATAGGGGTGGGAAACCAGGAGGGTTTGCTGGAAGTCAAGGGTCTAGATTCTCTGGGGCAGGAAGGACACAGGTGGAAATTTCTAAGGTATCTGCCCTGCCCAAGCTCCCAGCCCCTGCTGAAGGGGTGATCTGAGGCAGCCCTCTGACCACAGCTTATTGGACCAGTGGTGGACATCTGACCTACTGAGCCAATCAGACATACTTTAAAATCTGAAACAGAACTGTGAGGTCACAGTGAGAGTAGGGCTGCCACCTGCCAAGAGCAGGAGCTACATGCAGGCAGAGTGGAGGGAGCTGGTCTATAGAGAGATGCAGGCACATGATCATGGAGCCCTAGAGAGAGCAGCTAAAAGATGCACAGGATGATAGTAAAGGGAAGATGGAGTGGGGGCAGGAAAGGGAGGCACTTATTTGGGGAAAGGTTGATGGTTTTCAGGTTGGGAATACCCTGGTCACAGTGACAGGCTGAAGGAATAATCTGCTAAAGAGAGAAAGACTGACATTGACAAGACAGGGATGCGACCCAGAGGGACAGGGCTGAGCCCTACGGAAGGAGCAGGCTTCAGCCAAGAAATGACCCTGCTGCTTTCATATCATGCTGCCTCTCAGGCAACCACTTCTGTGTAAGCTCAGTGCCCATTCCCCACAGGGCTTGGTTCTGCCACCCCTTCCTCCAGCTACCCCACCTCCAGAACACCTGCCCTTAGTTGCCCCTATGCAAATTAGCAGTTACTGAGCACTTGACACGGGAGGTGCATGCCACCTTGTGGGCTGGGCCACCCTTGTCTCTGGGACCTCCCCCTACCTAGGCCCACAGTGGGGGCTGCAGGGAGGAGTGCTGGCAGCAGCCCTTACTGTCTAGGCTTCTTTCCCTTCCAGATTGTCCCAAGTTCAGTTCTAACTGCTATTCCTTGGACATAAGCACTGGGCAGTTTCCCAGCCCCGGCCCTGGAGAGGAAGGAGAGGGATGGTGTGCTCACCTTGAGTGAGGAGCAATAGGCCAAGTTGAGGGAGACCAGTGGGAGTGGAACTCCGTGCTCCGAGCTCAGGGCCTGGGCCAATTCCTGCCCTTGCACCAGGCAGCACTCGGCCATATTGAGGCTCTGCAGCTCCCGCAGGTCCCCAAGGGCTGTGCATCCCCCATCCGTCAGCCGCTACAATATCCTTAGACTCAGACGCTGCAGGTGCTGCAGACCCCGGCTCACAGCCAAGAGCGCCCTGCCAGCCAGTTCTGAGCAGCCGCTGAGGTTCAGGGAGATAAGGTCTGGTTGCTGATGACAAAGGGTAGCCACAGCTTCTGTGGAGAGGTTCTGGGAGCTGTGCAGGTTCAGCTCCTGCAGCTGCAGCCCAAACACTTGACCCAGGGCCTGCAAGGCCTCCGGCAGCAAGCCAATGCCACTCAGGTCCAGGGCACACAGCCTACCAGCCTGCCTCTTTACAAATTGCAGCATGTTATGGAAAGAAAGTTGGGAGGGGGAGGAGTCCTGGGGGCCAATGCAGCCCCGAGCTGGACCAAGCTCAAAGGTGAGGTGACAATAGGCCAAGGAGAGGCGCTCCAGGCTGCTGAGCCGGTTGAAACTGAGGTCAGCCAGGTCCCGCAAGCCAGCCAAGTTGAGCTCTTGGAGACCACTCAATGCCTGCTGGACCTGCTGGGTTGTCTCAGGCTTAGCCAGTAGAATGCCTGATGTGAAGAGGCTATTGCAGCCACTGAGGTCAAGGATACACAGGGCTGGGCAGCCCAGGATCAGGGCCACGAAGGAAGCCTCTGTGGGGCTGCCCCCACTGAGACACAAGCTCTCCAGGTGTAGGCCCAGGTGGCAGGCAACAGACTGCAGCACCTGGTTGGAAGCTGGTGAGCCATCCAGGTTGGTTAGGCTGATGCAGAAGATGCCCCTGAGGCCCCACCTCTTGAAGGCTGGGAGGGAGGAAGGGGACACTGGAATGTTGTACTGCACCTTTGTCTAAAGGGCAGCAGCAGGACCAGGGTTAACTCTGGGCTTCAGAGGGTGCTTGGGCCCTTGTATACTGGGGACCCCCTGTGGTGTGTGGGTAATGTGTGGTTGAGGGGGTACTGATGGTTAAGTGGGAGCTGGGAGGACAGGCCATGTTGGGACTCAAAATAAATTATCATAAGGGGAGGGCAGGAAGGTTAGTGATGAACAGAACTTGATGCCTATGGAGGGGTAGGGACAGAGTGGGCAACTGGCATGCTGGGCACAGGGAGACTGGGGGATGGCCTGGAGGAGACCCAGAAAAATTCCCAGGGGGCAGGAGGACAAAGTATTCTTGATCCCAAGCTTTGGGACTTTTGGAAAGTGGTCCTAGGACTCGTGGACTCAGTTCCTACTCCAGGGACTTAGAACTCAGCATTAGCTAAGTAACCAGCCTCCCCCACTTTCTCAAGAGCATATAAATATCCCTCAGAACAGGTAAGGTGGGGAGAAGTGAGCCAGGTGTCACTTACCACACCCTTGTGGCCCAGGTGCCAGAGGTCTAGGGCAGGCAGTGAGGCCTAGGTCTCCTTCAGTGTCTTAGCCACAAAATGTTTGCAGAAATGGGTTTTGTGTGTAAGTGAAAATGAGTGCATGCACATGGGTATGTGTCTGTGCACCCACACTAATGTGTAGGCCCTGCATGCTCTGGAGTTCAAGATGTGCTTGGGATCCCTGAGGCTCATCTTTAGAGAGTCTGGTCTATCTGGGTAAGGAAGGAGAAGCCTCCCATTTCTGTTGGTGGAAGCTAAGAAAATGAATCTAATGTGCCTAGGAATTTAAAGTGGTACTGCTGTAGAGGAACAGGGAGGTGAGAGTTGGGTAGGGCCTTGAGGCAACTTAGGGCTATGTTGTGGGAACACGCTGGCTTGTGAAATTTAGGGAGCCCAGTTTTTACAAAACCTTCCCTGATTTTGTGCCAGAGAGAGCCAAAGGGAAGCTGGTACAGGTCTGTGTGGACCAGGTCTGTGGAAAGAAGAAGGCCTGGCCTCTAACATCCCAGCCCCATTTTCCTATCCTTGACAGATGCCCAGGTTGTACGCAAATGATACTCAAAGAAGGCTCTTATTTTCATGTATGAACACAATCCTGATGCAGGAAAGCAAGCTCCCTGTAAAACCTGTCCTGTCAGTAATGGCAAGAACAGGTTGATGTGCCCTGCCTGTACTCCACAGAATGTCATCACAAGGGAATCAGAAAGGTAGAAATGACACGTAATAGGCTCTCCTGCAAGATATATAACAGGATTCTCCCAGGAAGACACATGGAACTCATTTCCAGGTGTGGAGAAACCAGCAGCAGCCACCTATGGCTGTCATTTTGGGAAGAAGTATGCGGTAAGAGGTGGTGACAGTCCCAGGCTAGTTCCACAGGAATCAGTGGCCTGCTCAGGCTCCCCTTCCAGATCCCATTCCCAGAACAAGGTCAGTGTGGATGGGAGGAGTGCTACAGCTCCTCTTGTGGGCACTGGGGTAGTGAGGACTCCCAAGGGCCTAGGTCCCTCTCAGATTTCAAGAGAGCTGTGAAGACCCCAGTGTGAAGGTGGGGAGGAAAGGTTTTAGAAAGGAGAGAGAGAGCAGCCTCCAGCCATTTCAAGCCCTGCTTGACAGATGAGTCACTCTGATGATGAAAAGAACTATGGCTGGGGGAGTACAGAACAATTGCCCAGGCAGCACCAGCCCCCACCATCACATGCCATCCCACAGGCCCCAGCTCCAGTGGCCTTCAGTCTTCCTTCTTATCTCTTTCCTTCCTGAGCCTTGGTGGCCAGGAATATTCTCCCCTCTCCCCCTGCCTCCCTATGAACAAGGCAGATAACAGCCAAGGAAGGACACTGGCAGTCAGCCCAGGGTTCAAGTTCAGGGATGGCTGGTGGCAGCAAAAGCCCTCAGATAAAGGAGCAGGGCCTGGCCTAAAGGTCTTCCAACTATTGGAAGGTTATATGGGTTGAGATTTGAGACCACCTCCCTGCTCTCTACCTTCTTGGTGTGAACAGGGCAGCTGCTAAGCCATCACCCAGGTGGTCTACCCCAGAAGCCCAGGAGCAGGCTTTTAGGGATATTTATCATCTGCGGAGGGCAAAGCAGCAGACTCCTGGGATCTGGGCTTTGGCCTCGGTGTAGGAAAGTGACCCTTCCTGGGCTCTAGGAAGATGCTTCTAGAGACCCAAAGGAGGACTGCAAGAGTACTGGTCCAGCTTCAGCTGCCCCATCTACAGAGGGGCCAAATAGCCCCCAGTCTCCTCCTTTCCCAATGCTAGCATCTTAAGAGTAAATGCACAGTCATTTGGGAAATGCCCAAAGCCTGCTAAAAGTGAGCCATGTCCCTTGACTGTGAGTGGCCAGGATTTCATTGTGCCTAGTGAAGACCCGAACTGAGACTGCAGGACTGGTGTACAGGCTTGGGAAGCCATCTGACAGAGAAGTGGCCCTCCTGTCTGCTGGTTCAGAAATCCAAAGCTACCATACCTGTTCTCCAGAAGGCCTTTGAGAAAATGTACGCCTTGACACCAGAGGCACTGGTCTCTACGCAGGAGTGAGACCTTGGGGATTGTTTCCAGAGGATCCTCTGCACCTTTATAACACCTCAGGCAGGAGAAGGCAGCAGAAGGCAGGAGCTGAACTGTCTTGAGTTTGTCAGTGACCAACTCAGCAGCAGGTGAGCAGGGGTACTCCTGAATGGGCAGAGCCTGCATGTATGGGGCAGGGTGTTGCCATTGTCTCCCTTTCTATTAGAGAAAAATTGGGATTAAGTGGGGGCAGGTCAGGGGGAATAAGAAGTCACCAATCCAGCATCCTAGCCTGGCCTAATGAGGCATAGGCTCCAGCTTGGCCTTGGTGAGCCGGAACCTTCAATAGTACCTACTAGCCAGAGGCACTACCTCCTTATCTACCTGCCCACACCTGGGCTCTGAGAGGTGGTTACTGCCAAAAGGTTCTGCAGATTGCTGAATGTCAGCAGGGCCCAAGATGCCCACGTACCTGTGGCCTAGCCTCTCAGTGCTCCCGGCCTGGGTGGGGCTGAGTTTTGCAGAGGCACCAAATGTGTCTTTGTCAGCATCCTATCTGGGAACAGCCCCAGTGCTGAAATGGTGGGTTCTACTGTCCCACACTCTGTCTGACCCTGCGTCCGCCCTCTCCTCACTCTCTGACTCCTATTCCAACCTCATCTGTACTCCTGGGGCCTGACTGCCTGCTCTGCCTCTCTGCCCTCCTCTTCCTTGCTGGGCTCCAAGAGGCCTCCCCACTGATGACCCCTCCTCAGGGTCCTGTGACCCTGCCCATCGTGCTGCTCTGCCCATTCTCCCTGCCCCTACCAGAGAGGGATAAGGAGCCCGCCACCTGCTCTGGGTCTGTGCTGGGGATACTCCTGAGGGACCAGACTCTCCCCTCTTGCCCATACCATCAGCACTGGACCCCTAACTCCTGCCATCTCCCCGCCTCCCAGCTGTCTTCTCATCCCCCTCAAGATTTCTCTCCAAGCCCACCATCTTCTCCAGCCCCCAGTGCCACTGCAGCCCCCTCCCCTCCCTCCAGCCTTCTCAGAGATGACTTGTTCTGTTTCAGAGAGGAACCAAGGCCATCATCAGATGGAAGGCCCTCCTTTTGTCCTGTTCACATCCACCAGTGACTCATGGCAGGGCCTATCCTAGCCTCCTCCTTTCTCCTGCTCTTTGGTTCTAGGCCCCTTCTTTTGGCCTACTGAGCCTGTCTCCCACCTTCTCCCTTGGGAACCCTACAGCCTCTGCCTTTCCACTGCTCCTTCATCAGAATCACAAACATCCCATGGTCTGAAAGACCAAAAAGCTTCCCTCCATCATGCACCCTCCTCTCACCTCTCCTGTTTCATCCCTTCCTCTGCAGCCATACTTCCTGGAAGCACACAGGCCCACCCACACACACCTACTCAACCGTTGCCTCACTCATTTACCCCTCCACTACTGCTCCCACTTCTTTCTGGCATCAGTTTCCCTCCAGCAAGATCATCCGCGTCTGGGGGATCTTTTGCAGCCTCCCCCAAGTGTCCTTTCTGCCATGCCACCTGCCATGGTTGGCCAGTTTCTCCCAATACTCTTTAGGGGTTCTGCAACTTTACTATCCTGGCTGTCCTACCTTCTAGCCTGCTCCCCATCAGCCTCTTTTGGGGTCACCAAGGAATAGAGAGATCCAGTCCATAGACAAGTGGGTTCCCCAAGGTATGTTCCACTCCACCACACACATGCGCAGGCACACTCTTTGTCCCCGTCCATGTGCACCCCAGCAGACTGTACCTCATCCCATTCCAACTGCTTCATTTGGAGTCCATGTCTTTTTCCAAACGGTGGACCCTGAGCAGTTACCTAATGGACCTCTCTCCAGATACACGGATGTAACATGCCCAAATATGGATTCACTGTCTTACCCCAACTCTGCCCCTTCTAAACTCTCAGTGCCCTCTATCAAGTCACCTAACAGGGAAATCTAGGGCTCATCCCACACTCCTCTCTCACTCCCCACAGCCACAATGATCAAAGTCCCTTCCATTTCATCTCCTTGATATACTATAGGATGTCCCTCTGTTCCCACCTTACTGCCTGAAGTTCGGGTTCCCTTGTTTATCAGAACACATGACAGCAGTTCCCTCATCAGGTCCTCGCCTCCAGTCTCTCTGGCTCCAATCTGTTCTTGGCACTGGCACCAGGGTGATCCTTACAAAAGGTGAACTGACCATGCTCTTCAGACCCTGGGGTGGCTCTCCTCTCCACAGGACAGAGGCTGAGCTCCCAGGCTGGCGTTCAAGTCCTTCTCTGCCAGTGCCCTGTGCACTTCTGCTGCGCCTTTGCCACGCCCTGCTCCCCATTCTCCCAACCCTGTCTTGGAACGGCAAATTCTGACTCTTGTCTCATGTTGCCACGCCTCAGCTCAGCTGCTTTTTCTGTGTGGTTGGGTGGGGGGTCCTCACACCTCACCTACTCCTATTTGTCTACTTAGCATGTAGTTTTCCTCTCTCAAGACTCAGCTCAGGTATTCCCTCCTCCACAAAGTCTTTTCCGAGTCTTTCCTCTAAATCTCTGCTGTGCCTCACACGACTTGAATGCAGAACCCCACCCTCTCCTTTTGGCTTGTGCTTAACTCCCTCTGACTACCAACTCCTGAATGCTGTGTCTTCCCCAGCCCTCAGCCCCAGAGCCCAGCACAGTGCCAGGCACAGGCAGGCGGTGTCAACCTCTAAGGGAGTGAGGCCTCTTCATGTAACTTTCTGTCTTCTTTCTGCCCCGTGAGTATTCTAACCTCTGCTGAGGCTCTGCCCTCTACGTCTCTTATCATTCCCCTAAGATAATTTGGCCTT